ACAAGGACCAGGATATGGAAGTCTGGATTCCAGCCTTCTTTTTTGTTATGAGGCTGGGACTAACTGTGCCCATCAACAGAGGACTGGAGGAATCTTGCTGAGCCAGGAGCACAGACCCTTTGGCTGGTCAGTGCACTTTCAAAAATAATTCAGATCTCAGGTGAATCCAGAAGTACTCTGTCTGAAAAGGTTATCTTGGCTCTCAGTAATTTCACTTAAGTACCTAAAATTAAATAAGAGGAATCTTGGCTAGAACAAGTCATCATGTGACTTAGAAAAATTAGCATTATTGGCTACAGGAACAAAATATATATGAGAATAGTAGAATCACTCACAAAAAATAGTATTTCAGCCAGGAGGTCTGGATAATAGTGCAAGTACTATCTTCTAATACTTGCGGTGATGTTATTTTTGACCAGCTTTATAAAGTAGATGTTCATAATGGTAACTTTGGCCAGAGAAGTAGACCCCCATAGCTTCAAAATGTACTCCTGCTTTGGGATTTCATATACCTGCCTTGAAAACTCTGTGGTACTCAAAAAAGGCTGTAAGAATTGACAGAAGTCAGATTTGTTCACAGCCCTAGGTCCACTTTTCTAGTGTTAGAGAACATGATGCAGTTCCCAGTATCTTAAGCTCACTTATTTTTGGAGTTGATGGGCATCCATACCTCCTGAAGTCAACAGGACATTTAACTATTTGCGCTTTTAATAATCAGGTCTAGGCCCAATGTGTTTCAGAGTGAGACATTCAAAAGCTAAAATACATAAAATTAATAACTATTTTGCTACTTTGATCTCTTCCTTATGTGTAAAGCTCAGACTGTTATGGGGGAATAAACTGAAGATATAGACTTCTAGAAAGAGAACTCTGAGGTCTGCTGCACACAATTTATTTTCCTATTACTCTTTGAATATTGTTGATTTGACATGTCATATATCTTCTTGTCTCCCCCTCCTTTTTATTTTAATTGGGACCTGGTTATTGGCTGGAAATTCCACTAACATGACTCATCCCCACTCTGAAAATGACTGTGAACAGGCATCGCATTGTGGGATTTACATCCCCCTGCTTTTTTTTTTTTTTTTTTTTCCTAAGTGCTTTAGCATGGCACGAGCTTGTAATAATAAACTAGGAAGGAAGTTGGAGCTAATCACTTGGTTCTGAATGCACAAGCCCTGCCAAATTTCCCCACAGGCATGAAGCAGCCGCTCAAGCTGTGACACCAGCAAATTAAATCCTGGAGGTAGCTGACCAGAAGTAATGAAATGTGTATTTACCATACTGATGCTGTCAGTCCTAAGACACACTGGATTTACGATCTAGTTAAGTGGGGCATGTTTGTCACTTCCAGTGGTGCTTGGAAAAAATACCCAGGTTTGTTCCTAGCCTTCTTTCCAAAATCACAAGCACACCTCATATAACATGAAGAAGAAGATGCCTGGAATGGTCTGTTCTTTTAAAATGTTGCCAAAGTGAAATCGATATCCCAAAGGAGATAAGTTGTGCAGTCCTATGACATGTTAATTGCCAAACCTTCTTATTCATCCCTTATCTGCTGCTTCATTCTCTAAATCAAACCTTAGAGCTGAAATGAAAGAACAAAAAATACTTCAGGAGCCCATGGATAAAATACAACAGATGCCTCCCAGAAACAATGTGTCCCATGCATGCAGCAGCTTCAGATCCTAGGCACATGCAGGTGTGGGAAAGAGGGCCACATAATCACTGAGTAATCACAGAGTAGGTACCACTCAAGGAAGGTATGCGTTACACAGGTGGGAGCAGGCACACAAAGGAGAGAGACTATCATTTCACAATCCCCACATATTTAGGTGGTAAAGGACTCAAAAAAAGTTATTTTCCCTGGTCAGGTCTTGTCATAAGTAACAAAAGCATGTGTCTGTGAGTTTTTGTGTATTTAGCTAGCACAGGCACATTATGCTAATTGTGCAAGAGCTATTTAAGGTGAGCTTAGCAGATCATCTGCTGAGTGGTACTTTCTGTGAATTCAAGAAAACATTATGAGGGGAAAAATAAAAGTGTGCAGTCTTCAACGTGTTTAATACAATACCCGTGGAAGAACCAAAGAATAAAATCACACCCCATACAAGCAGTCTGAAAGCATCTAATTATATGCTAGGAATGTCTATAACTCCGCAATTATATGCTTAATTTCCAGCTGTACTTGATTAACATCACAAATGATTTATAATACCACCAAATACAAGGAACTTGCTTTGATCTATTTGTTGGAATGTATAAAATTTTGTGCCTCTTTTGTCTTTTTTTTTATTTTTTTTATTTTTATTTTTCATAGCAGGGTAGGTACACTGAGTTAGTACCACACAATCCAGCAGCAAAGTCAAAGGAACACTAAGACTCATTTAAGAGATAACATTCTTCTCTTTCCACTAGCGCAGCATTCAGGTTCAAGTCTATATAAGGTCAAAACCCACAAACTTCTGTGGGATTATACAGGCTGGGTATATGTGGATATTCGTGGATGAAAAACTGAATATGAACTGTCAATGTGCACTTGCAGCCTAGAAATTGTAATTGTATCTTGGGCTACATCAAAAGAAGTGTAGTGAGAGGGAGATGATTCTCACCCCTATTCCACCTTTGTGAGACACCACTTGGTGCGCTGCATTCAGCTATGGGACGTGCAATATAAGAAAGATACAGCCCTGCTAAAGTGGGTCCAGAGGAGGCCATGAGGCTGATCAGAGAGCTGGAGCACCTCTCCTATGAAGACAGGATGAGGAAGTTGAGGTTGTTCAACCTGGAGAAGAGAAGGTTCCAGAGAGTAGCCTTTCAGTACCTAAAGGGGACTACAGGAAAGATGGCAAGAGACTCTTTATCAGGGTCTGTAGTGATTGGACAAGGGGTAATGGTTTTGTACTAAAATAGAGTAGATTTAGATTAGACATCAGGAAGAAATTCTTTACTCAGAGACTGGTGAGGTACTGGAACAGGTTGCCCAGAGAATCTGTGGATGCCCCATCCCTGGAAATATTCAAGGCCAGGTTGCACAGGGCTTTGGGTGACATAGTCTAGTGGGAACTGTCCCCCCTTACTATGGCAGTGGGGTTGCAACTAGATGCTCTTTAAGGTCACCTCAAACCCAAACTGTTCTGTGGTTATATGAGTGTACTTCAACCTTAATACATGGTAGTAACCTTGCTGAATCCATTCATTTTTCTTGTGTTGGTCTTGGAGAAAATCATACTTTCTGTGATATGGTAGTGCACACACCTCTCATAGCAGGTCTGTGGGTGCATCCCTCTCCCATCTCCCCACATCAGGAAGCTGAAATAGGAGTCCTTTGACATTTTCTTAGTGAGGAGAGAATGGGGAGAAAGAAGGATAAAAGGATTCTCTTATTAAAAAAAATAAATAAATAAATTACCTGGATCTATATATAATCTTCAGTTAAAGATTTGAGTCTGTGGTGATCCTAAGTGCTGTATCAGGATTTAAGGTAAAATACAAACATTTGAAATGTGGTATTTTGATCTACTCAAGGCTAAGCCTGTTGAATTCAGCCAATGTAAGGCAAACAAACACATGTAAACTTTAGCATAATTGTGGTCTTATATTGTAAGCTGTTTGGAGCAATTACTTTGCCATCTGTGAGAAATTACCCAGACTACCAAGGTATTCATCCACTGGTAACATTGACTTATATCATTCTCATTTTGGCTTATATCAGACTTGAAGTCTTTTTTTTTTTTTTTTTTTTTTTTTTTTTTTTTAAATAGAGTAAAGAAAACTGCAAATCAAAAGCTGAAATTGTGTTACCTCTATTTGTATTCTGAAGCTCAAAGCTATTTAGACTGGTTTTCTTGTTCAGGATGAATTTACAATATGCTTGTTACCTTGTTCTCATGTTGGGTCACGTAAGTGAGTTTGCTTAGGTCCTTTCTTCTGAAGCCTGAAGCTCTAGCTCTAGTACGTGAACAACTAGACTGGCTGAATAATCTGAAAACTAGGCATGGTTGCCCACCCTGTCCTCTAAACAGAGCTCTCAACCTGTGAAATACAAGGGAGTATTAGATACCATGGAGTTGGGAATTTAAAATATCCTATATTACAGTTTTCATTGGGGGTAAAATAAAATAAAATAAAATAAAATAAAAACACCAGTACGGCTTAATAAATAAAAAGGCAACTCTAATGTGAGCTTGAACTTTTCCTTCTCATTAATTACTATGAATCTGTTTTGAAATTCCTGTAGAGAACAAGTGCTACTTGCCGACAGCTGGTTTGCAATTAATAAAAAGGAAAGTGTTTTCAGCTGGCAACAGCTTAAAATGCTCATGATATATGAAAAGGTTAAATTGCTCCTTTCTATCTACTATGTATAAAAGAAATATTGAAAATGAACTGATGCAGCTTAGGGAATGAAAAGTGCTACCCAAAGCTATGGACATAGTGCTGAGAGCTGCTGATCAGCTGGTACTTGCTGGAATGGGCATATTTGTAAATGCTTAGCAAGTGCCAAAAATTATTCTTCAGTTGCAGACTTCTAGAATGTATTGCGTTCAAGATGATCCTGTTTCTGTAAGATTAAAGAGTCTTGATTTAATCACCTTTTTTTAAAATATATGTTTAAGTTACTATTACATTTTATAGTTTTATTGGAAATCCTCTTGCCATTGATACTGTTTTTCATCTTATCATTCTTCTGCTTTATGCCACTCTCCATCAGGAAAGGATGGCAGAGGCTTGTTCCTCAGGTTCCAGGGCATTGGCAACACAAAAGCACGTGGCAGGAACCAGCACAGAGGGAATGGCCTGATAATCAGATGCCCGTGGACTTCATCTATTAATTGCATTATGAAAAACATTCTAGAATTTAACGTTAATGATCTTGCAGAGTATGAAATGTTACCTTTTACAAAGATAACATGACCATCCTATAAGTACCAAAGGAAATGGGTACAAGTGAATTAATATGTTTACTTCAATTAAATCTTTTTATTCTTGTCTTGCAGAATGCAGAACCATTCCAAGTTACTGTCCGAGAAGACAATTGTATCATTGTCTCCCTGGAAGCATCTGATGTGGTGAGCTCATCCTCTGTATATGTTGTGAAGATAGCTGGAGAATCCAAGAACTACTTTTTCCAGTTCGAAGAATTCAATAGCACTTTACCTGCCCCTGTGGTTTTTAATGCCAAATACCATGGCCTATATTACATAGTAACTCTGTTGGTAGTGAACTCAAACATGGTTTCCAAGTCAGCAAGATCAATCACTGTGTTAACCAGTAAGTAACACCTTCTTCTTTTTTCTTCTGTTTCTTCTCGTTGTGTGTTTTCTGTTGGTTACATTGTTCTTGTTTGTTTGTTTCCAGAAGTTTTTCTTGTGGAGAAGTTTTATTTTCATTCTTTTTTAATAGGTTCTCTTTGTGTGTAGGATGAACCCTTTTGTGAGAACAGTAAAGCAAATGTGTTGAGAAGGCTTGTGAGAGAAAATTCACAAGGTCTGGGCAGGAAGAAGGGGACAGCTGTGGGTTTCCCCCGGCTGACCCTTCCTAATCAGTGACTGGAGAGGTTTGATATACTGGGCCCCACATAAGTGGGGTGGATGAACCTCCTCCCTTGGTGTTCATCCTAAACACTGTGAACCAGGAGTTCTGAAGTTCTAGTGGAAGGCATGAAAAGTGTTGACTGACATTTCAGTGTAAATGCTCCTGTTTCATGGTGAAGTATATTCTGTTTTAGATGCCATGACAATGTTCTTTGGTTGCTAGCACATTTAAGCAGTACTAAACCTGGAAAGCAGACATTAGTCACCAAGGCAATGTGTTTCTGCCAGTAGAGCTGAAGATTTCTATGGTGGAGATCATACCTCTCTGTCTCTTACTACCTCCATATGCATTGATCTTGGGGGAAAGATGTGGTTTGGTTTGTTGTATCATGATGTGAAGTGCAGCAGGTTCCTGTGTAATTTCTATTATGTTTCTGGGTCTCTGCTGTCATTCTGATGCTGCTTCCCCGTGCCCACCAGAAATAAATGTATAGAATATAAAATGAGTTCTTCATCTTCAAAAGTGATTCAATGAATGACAAACAAAAAATTACTTGGATGAGATAAACCCAGTTGCTAGTTCTTGTTCTGTTATACACTAAGGATTAACCTTATTCACAATCAGATTTCTGTGGTGAATTATTGTCATATGCACACCAATACAGACATGCATGCTCTTTTCCACTGTTTGATGGGAGGTTAGTTAATGTCTTCTCTAACCAGGTGTGGAGGTCTTGAGGGGAACTTCTTGATAATGAGTGAATTTATTGGTTAAATGGCACCTTGGAGTCTATAGCTAAATTTATTTGGTTTGCAAATGAGGAATGGTATGATTTTGCATACTTATATTATTTTGTCAATGAGGAAATGCCATCCACTGTAATAACATTCCCAAAGAATATCATCATAGCCTTTTATGTCGCAGAGCGAGGTGCTTGAAACTTAGAAGTTACCAGATTTTATATCATCCATATGGTCTTCATCCTCCCCATGTGTGCTCAAGTTGTGCACTAATGAGGACAACCATGAAGGGTCCCATAGGAAAAATATCATGTGGAGGAATAATGCAGGTCTTTCATAAGGCACACATTTGTGTAGTGAACAACAAAAGGCTTCATAGGTAGATTGGATTTATTTATTTATTTTCGACTGTTTTAATGTTGCAGATAAAGTAATAATTCCTATTTAAATGCTTTTGTAAATATATATATATTTTTAAATAATAATGAAATAAAAAAAAGGAATCATATACAACTGAACGAATGCCTCACCAAGTATTTTCAGTGGGTTTTGAGTGCTGTACTTGCAGTAATGCAGTAGGACTAATTGCTGCCTGATTTCCAGAGCCCATGAGGTCACTGTTACCAGGGAAAGGTGTGATCCAGAATGGCAGATGGAGCATGCACTCCTGTGCACGGAATCTCTGAAGGAAGAAGATAATCAGTGGCACCTATCAAAGCCAGCCCCAGATCGCCATTTCTGACTCAATGGGTTTCCATGAGGTGTTTCCAAACAAGTGTGAGGCCGCAGGCTCCAAGGAGCCTAGCCCACATCACTCTCACTTCTCTACAGCTCAACAGTGTCCTTTCTGATGGAAAGGACACCCCTTTTCACCCACCCCTTTTCACCACCTGTCTTAAGGGGGTGCTCTGGCAGCTTCCCAGAGTTTCCCACTGTGGCTTCTGCTGCTCACCCAGACCTTAGAAGACCAGCGACTTTGGCAGTTGTCCAGTGCTGCTTGGGGAACTGATGTGACAAAAAGAGAACAGTTTGTCTCAGCAGAAAGACAATCAGGTTCATGGGGGGGAGGAGGGAAGAAGGCATTTCTGTATTTGCAGCATTGAAGGACGCTGTACTAAGCATAGGTACGATGTAATTTGTGAGCTTCCCAGGGTAAAGGACCCAATATCCTTCCTAGTATTTTCTGTTAGGCTGACTAACAAGTGCTAGCTCTCCTGTTGCGTCTTTGGCTACTAATGCAGCTTATTTTTTCAAATATAAGGGTAAAGGAATGAAAATAAATTTGGAATTAGAAGTTCATGGTATTTCAATACGGTGTGTTTGAGAAAACATCTTTAAACTCTTTTTATGACCCCTGGCTTCTCTAGAAAACTTCATTAGACCATAGTTGTTCCCCCCACACACACACACCTTTTTTTTCTTTTTATTTGTATTGTACAGTGGCTGTTTCACTTCTTTTTTTCTTCTTTTTTTTTCTTTTTTTTTTTTTCTGACAATTAATTAACTTGAAATTTTGGCAGATAATAGTGATAATAGATTCATATTTTTCTTTATGCTATATACTATTTCTGCCTGATTAACATCCTTTAGTTTATTTTAAAAGTGTAAAGACATAACTATCCAATTTATCTATATCTTACACATAAAAGAATGTCACATTGTGACTAGCATCCAGGACAAAATTAATTCCTGTTCTAATTTCATTGGTATCAGGAGAGCTTTTCTAGTTGTAGGTTGGCCCCATTCATTAGCCTGTCAGAAGTTAAATCAAATAGGATAGCCGGTGATGCCAATGTGGTAATTCCCAAAGCTATACTTAAATATTTCACAATAGTTTTCTGGGATCTCCAGACATCTGCAAAGGATTCAGTGCAGGGAGATGGAGTCTTTCAGCTTGGCCATATGCTGGAATCCTGAGCATCACACACAGCAGTGTAGAACCAAATTGTGCATGTTATAAATTCCGAGTCAATTTAGCTGAGGGTAAGGTCCTTCAAGCAGATTGTTTATCTATAAATTCAGTAAGAGTCACAAAAGAACTCTGTTCATTAATAGTATATTGTGATGACCTTTCTTTTTTCCTATTCACATCCTTTAGTGATGTGCTGCTTCTCAGCATGTTGGCAAGAAAAAGGTATGTCTCTTTGCAAGCTGAAACTTCATCTCTCTTCAGTCAAGAAAAAATTTTGTTTTAAAAAGTTATTCCTCAAAAGAAAGATGATGTCAAAGCTAACAAAATATATATTTTACATATGGGTGTATATGTAATTATATATGTAAATTTGTAAATATTATATACACATGTATTTATAATTACATACAAAATGGAAACATCTACAAATTAAATAAATATATATATGTATGTGTGTATGCTAACATCTGAGCTATCTGTTGTTATCTTCGGCCTTCTATACAAGACTGAAGAGTTTATTTTCTGCATGTCTCTGACTGCAATAATTTCAGGGTTTTCTCAAGTTAATCAAAACCACACAACCTGTAGAGTTTTCTGTATTCTGGATTGTTGTAACACTGAGTGTGACCTACTTGTTGCAATATTTTTTTCTCAAAGCCTAAGGGTGTTGTCAGTTTGAGTACAGCCCACATCCTCACATTGCTCCTGAGCTGGAACTTCTAGAAGCGTGAGATGATCAGGGCAAATTCAAGTCCTAGGCAGGAAACATGTAAAATAAAGTTTGAGTACAAAATAGCACTTTTTCTTCTGATTCTGTAACAAAGTGGTGTTCAGAGAATTGGGCTTGGTACTTCACTTGAAGGAAAAAACATTAAACTGATGCCTTGACCACTTTACTATTAAAGATCCCTAAGATAGATTTCAAAAGAATAGGTGTATTAATCTTGCCATCTAGGCCAGATTCCTGTGTGTGCAATTGTGTTGTGCATATCTATATGACCTTCCTTCCAGTTTTCAGTCTAGACAAGATTAGAAGTAGCTCTGGTATCTAACAGAGTTATTTTCAGTCTGCCTTCTTATGCTCTTAGAGTTTGGGCTTGTCAACAGGATTGAAGTAACTCCAGAATTTATAGCATTAATTTAGTGTTTTGAAATACTTGAAAGAAAGTTAAAAGACATAAAATTTATTGCTAATATGCTTTAAAGTAGTTTATGAGAAAAATAAGGAGTATGAATCCAAAATCAGTGCTTAAAATTTTCACTCATCCTACATATTCCCAGCTTGAAGTCTTATTTTATTCTTTCCAGGGTGACTCACATCAATATATTTGTTTGTTTATTTGTTTTAGAAAAAAAAAAAGTTCACTGTAAATTTTTCTTTTTGTTGGGGAAAAAATCTTTGCACATTTAAAGGACTGGAGACATTCTCATGGTACATTGTAAAGTTATTGTGTGCTGTAGAAAAAAAAAGCTCTGCTGGGAATTGGAAAAATTGGGATCTGGGACAGTAAGTAAGAAGAGTTCTGTCTGACTTTTATTTTAGCTTGTGATTAGGAGTTTTCAGTGGTAAATATCTCATTGTCTCAAAAGCCTACAATTCCTTACATAGATCACTGTAAAATATATTCCCTTTAGGGAGAATTCTGCCTCACTCTTCTACCAAAAAATATTCTCCTCAAGAGACCAACAAGGCCTGCTGCTGGGGGCTATGATCTCTTCCGCTCTTAGAAAGTAATTGGTATTAGACCTAGTTAATGTTCAGTTGTCATTGTGCCAGATGCTGCAGGAAGTGATTCAGCAGGTCAAATCCATGCCTTCAGCTCGTTAATGGATCAGGGCTGCTGAAGTAAGAGCTTCAGAGTGTTTTTTTTTTTTTTCCTGATAAAATTTAGTACTGAAGCCCTTCATGTTTATCTTTCTTAAAGGATGATGTGGAACTTCTTTAAAAAGGCTGTTTTTTCATGGGAGCCTTAATTTTGAATTATAACTTCAAAGAATATCTATATCCCTGAGTGCTCTGGTCTCCCCAGCAAACAAATCATGCTATCCCCTTTCTAAGGCAAAATCAGAATCAAAGGAGGAAGAAAAAAAAAAAAAAAAAAAAAAAAAAAAGCAACCAGATGAATATTTTTCCTGCAATAATTTCTCTTAGAAGGCTGATTTAAAGTATTGTCCTAAATCTGTTCAAGATTAACTGATATACTTTTGTTCTTGTGCCAACATTTTTGTTTGTTTGTGCAGTCTTTTTATTTGTCAATTTATGTGGGCATCTAGAAACTGCAGGATACATCAGCATTGCTCAGATACTGCCTGCACTCACGTTCCCCTTTCATAAGCAGTTGCACACAGTATTCTCTATTACGTATCATAAACTTGAACATTATGTTCCTAAGGTATTAAACAGAAGCTATTAAATCTCAAAAATAGTTGCTTTTTAGCAAGAGATAAAATGATCCCTAAGGTTTATAGCATAATGAAAACATTATCCTGGCTATGACTTATTCCCAGTAGCAATGCAAATAAGAAAATAGTGTCATACTGGGGAGGAAGTTACATAGTTCACAACTTCTTCATGTGAATATAAAGGGGATTAGCCATAGGAGTTACATCACTCCATTAATGGGGCTTTTTATTTAGGTAAATTGTGATATGAAGGTAAATCATGATTAATCTGTTTCTGAGTGTGAGATGCAAGAATGTTGATCTGAGTCCCATTTCAACCATCCATTTGTAATACTACATCTAACCTACCAAGGTAATCAATCATTAATTCAATCTGTGGAGTGGCCAGATCTATGAATATTAAAAATAAATTGATTTGGACTGGAATACGGCACTTATTTTCAATGTTCTTTTTTTTTCCCCATGAATTGCAAAAGCCACCTAAAACATTAATGTGTCTGGTGCACATTTAATGTGTTTATGGAAGATTTAGCCTCCAGAATTTTCAGGGCATTTGAGGAAGAGGTTAGCCGCATTTATTACGCTGTCTTGATGTTTGCATAATGCAAGGTATGTGCTAGATGCAAAATGCTGTAAAGTCCAGTAGAAATGCAGAAGTTAAATTTTCCACAACATAATTGGAAAGCAGTTGCTACAGGACCAGCAGAGTCTGAGACATTAAGGAAAAAAAAAAAAAAAAGTGACATTTTGGTCTTGATCCTGCAAACTTGTCTATGTGATTTTAATATAACCCAGAAGTCTGAAAATAAAGGCATTGTACGTAAAAAGTGCCTTAAGCATGCTAGTAGAGGAATACTGAAGTCCTCTAATTCCCTTCTGCAGTATGTCTTGAAACATCAATCTCATGCCACATGTTTAGGAAGCTCTGTTTTCTTACGTATTACATTACAATGATTCTTATTTCTTAAGAATCATTGAAATCTGTGAAAAGCTGGGTCCTAAATGCTACAAATTGAATAATGAAAAAGACCAAACTGTTTATGCTCTGAATTATAAATATAAATGGTGAAGAGTGACATTTTGCATATTCTTTAAGCTTTTATAACCCTAGGAGCAGTCAGTAAGTGAAAAACAGAATATGATTTTCATCTGCTGAGTGTCCTTTTAATTTCACAGTGTGCAAATAGCTTTTGATGTGAATATTTGGTGCCGAAGGAAGTAAGATAATGGAAGAACCTTTAAATTGCATTATATCACTCAAACTACTCTGCTAACATCAGCCATGAGCAAGGAGAGGCTAGTAAGCGGAAGATAACAACAAGAAAGAGACTCTGTGGTGATTACCACTTAATTCAATTATTGGTTAATTAAATCAAAACATCAGGAGGAGAAATCATTTGGATTAAAAATGAATATGGCTTCCATCCTTTATTTGATTTGTTGTAGGAAGGAATAAATGGGCTAATTTGATCACTGACATATGAAAGTTTCAATAATTCTTTCAGAAATAAGGAGACCCAGATCTGAATGAGATAGCAGAAGCAAGCCCAGGGCACACCCGCTAACATGAAAGATTACTATGTAAGAGTTGTGCTATTTAGAGATTGTTATTGACATTTTAACTACTGTCATGTGCTGTGTGAGCTGTGATATGAAGCGTCTGGTCATGTCGATTGTCAGATCAACTGTTTATTTCAGAATAAGTAATGGGAAAAGACTCAGCAGAAATAAAAGGGTAGGCTTTGTTTCCTGTGATCTGCTTTACTCCCATTTATTTCTAGGCTATCACAAACTGTCAGCAAAATTTTCACAGATTCTGTCATTGCAGTGACTGTTGGTATCCATGAGCTTTGGAGTTTCTATTTGTCAGTGGTTAACATACAAATATGCTGATATTTGTCTGAAACTAACAAAAATTATTTGCCATGAGAAATAAACCAAAAGCTTCATGTCATATTCCCATGCTCTGACAAAGTTGAAAATGACAACATAACTTCTTGTTAAGACCTGGGGAGAGATTTTTTTTTGTATCTATTGCTTTTGTTTTTAATTGCTTTTTTCTTCCCTTCTCATTAAAAATGGAAATGTAATGGCTTGGTGAAAATACTGTGCTAGTAAGTAAGATTTAATTTTTGCTTGCACTACAGGCTTGCTTTTCCACCTATGATTAACCTATTCGACCTTCTGTGGGATAATTCCACTTTTGAAGCTGATACTTCTGTCCTTTTCATCTACCTTTTCTCGTCTGTCATGACCATGTGCTCTTTGGGGAAATTTGTTTTATTAGTTTTTCTCCAGGGTCTACTGCAACAGAACTTCGTACTCAAATGTGTCCCAAAAGTGTGTAGTAAGACCATGCTAATGAAGAGTTTGAATTTTTTCAATCTGCTCTCTACAGTGTGCAAGAAATAAATCAACACGATAATACTGAAAAAGATCTGAGCATAATTACTGACAGTTGTGCATAAATTACCTCTATTGAATTATGTTAATATGACAAATTCTGACTAAAACTATAACCCTGTTTTGAATTTCTGCTTGGTCCTCTTAACCAATATATAGTTGCTATCATTTCTTCCTTGCTGATGAGAGCGTCAAGCAGAAGGTTATTTATTCATTAATTTATTGTGGATAAAGGAGGCTGAATAAAACTGACTCTATTGTTGTTGGTAACAATAAATATTATTAGTGACTCTCACCTGCAGTGAATTGACACAGCCTTCTTTTAGCTGATGATGCTACACTGATCTATATGTTACACCAAAGGACACAGGCTACTTTCCATAGCCCACATAGGTCAGATTTTAAAGCACTAGATTGGCAGTTCTGTACTTATCCCCTTCTGTGTGCAGGCTTTCCCCATACCTGTGAGTAAACCACTTTAATCCTCTGTACTTTAGCTTTTCATCTGAAAAGAACAGTAATGGCACCACTATATTTTTGTAGAAGTTTGGTGTGGATAAGTGCATTGGAGATAGTGGGCCTCTCAGATATGGTAGAAATGCGTAATTACCCATGAAGTAAATAAATTAATATGTATAAAAATAGAAAATCTTTATTCAAATGTTTTCCTCTGGTCAGATGAACTTCTCAGCTAATTTTAAAAGTTCAGATTTATGCCAGCATTATGAGCAATGTTTCAAGTGTTCTGTTGTTTTTGTCAGGGCACTTTTACTTGATTGGCAAGCATTAAAGATGAAAGTCTTGCTGGGGTGATGACTGTGAGTGCTTAAGTAATAACTGTGATTTCAACCTTGTTTCTTGTGCCTACTCCTCTGCAAATGTTTCTGGTAAAGTATAAGTATCAAGTGAACATGTTTTGTGGGAGAACATACAAACCTAGGCTTTGACGGTGTCTCAAGTGGCTTTGCCCCAGACCTCTCTGAAGCCCCAGATATCATCTGCAAAATTTAAGAGCCCCTGTGCTGTACCTAGCAAAACTCTTTCTTTCTTGGACGTATATGTGTGAAGAACTCATATTTGCCTATTAATCTTCTTTTTTTTTTTTTTTTCTTTTATTTGTATATCCTTTAGAACCCCTTCCTGTGAGCAGTGTTTCTATCTATGATTACAAACCATCTCCAGAAACAGGAGTGTTGTTTGAAATTCAGTACCCAGAGAAGTACAATGTTTTTACCAGAGTAAATATAAGCTATTGGGAAGGAAAAGACTACCGAACAATGCTGTACAAAGGTAGGAAGAAACTATTCCACTAAAACTTAATGTTAACTCTACTGGAAACATTGAAACAGTAGTTTTGGCATGTACTGGTTACGATTTATATTTCTGGTAAGGTGTATATAATAACTTTTATATAATGAACTAAGAAATCAGTATTCAAATGGAGTTACGGAGTTGGTGGCTCAGTTTGGATTTAAAACTCTTTCCCATCTCAGTCTTAGTGATGTTTCTTTTCTTTCGGATTTTCAAGGAAGATGAAGATTGGGTTTTTTTCTTCATTTTTTTCTTCTTTTTTTTTTTCATTTTTTGTTTTGTTTTCTTTTAAATAAGCACATACTAAAACTTTCCACTTTTTTTTTTTTTAATTGTTTTCTGCTGCTGTATAGTGCCCCCCTCAAAAAAAAAAAATAAAATGGGGGGGGGGAGGGAGCAGGGAGGAGGTGTAAAAAACTCAGTAGAAAGGACAGAGAAACACTTTGGCTTCCTAGATGTAGTTGTTGAAATCCCTGGATTGCATTCTGTCTCAGTTGAAAGCATCAATAACATTCCCATTTTCTTCCTTCCGGCCAAGATTTCTCTTTGGTGAATAGCTGACAGTGCTCAGGGATGCACCAGATCTGGGGAAGCCATTCAGTATGTTTGATTCCTGGCAAAGTGTTTGAACCTGGTACCTCTGTATCACTGTAAAGTCATGCAGTGCTAGTAACACTATGCTGTATATTACTGTATAGTACTGTATTGTTTCGTGTTGTCCCTGAGCTAATAAACCCCTGCTGCATTTTATCAATTTTATCCTTCTTAAAACAATCTAACCCTATGGCAGCCAATCTAACAATCTAGACAGTCAATCTAAACAATTTAAACAATCAATCTAACCATCTAAACAGTCTAACAATGGCAAATTCTGCTTCCTTTTTTATTTGTTTAAATCTGAACTCCCTTTTGTCCTCCAGTATAGCTAAAGCATAGCATTTATCTGAAAGATGTAAATGGGATTGTCCTATGGAAAGTATCCTAAGAGGTGAGAAAGGCATTACATATCCTGCAGGACCTAAAACCCAGCTGGTTAAGTATTGCATGGTGGCAATAAAATTTCTTTGAGCAATCTAGTAGGTGCTGAGTTGAACTTTAGGTATGTAAGAATCCTGATGTAGAAGCCTGGTCACTGTAAGCCCTATGTGGAGTCAGCAGAGGGAGATACACCCCTCCAGAAGGAGGCTGGAAAACTTCGGTATCTCTTTGTTATTGCTTCAGTATGGAGGTGGGGGACTAGAATCACATTTGCCTGACTGTGAAATGCCAGGATTTAAGAATGGTGATTCTGGATCATAGCACTAAATACAGGTGACCTTCTTCCAGAGAGCGAAGGTGCTACTAACAGTAATTTTTGTCTTTCCCAGCTAGTACACAGTTTCTGGGGCTGTAATGCTACTGCTGCAGCTGCTGAGAGATTAAAAAAAGTCAACCTGAGTTAAGGGATTCACTAATCAACTAGCATACTCCTTCCCCTTGCTAAATAGGCATAAGCAACTTCTCTTCAGCTCATGCATGTGCTGATGTTGGACGTGAGTCCAGCGCTCAGGACCGAGGCTTGTGCCCAGCTGCATTGTGGGCTGCCCTTTGAGCATCACCCCTGAACATTGTAACTCAGTCAGCAAAAGACCAAAGAGGTTTTTGCGTGCAACAGTTAAAGGTCTGCAGAAACCGTCAGATGCTCTTTGAGATGTTCAGTGTCACATGGCGCAGGTTGCCAGATTCTGTTCGCTTTCCTGTGAAATATAGTTCATGCTTCTCTTGCTGGGCTTTTTTTGTAGCAAAGTGGCTTTGGCAGCCAAGGAAAATGTTGGCAAACTGAATTATTAGAATTTCATGTCTTAGACCAGGCTGAGCAACATTTAAACATCTGAAACACTGCCAGTTCAGCATGTGTAGCTGCATTATCAGAAAGTGAACGTTTGATGTTTTTTTCTCTTTTTTCTTTACTTTTTTTTAATAACTTTTATTTTTAAACCTTCTGCAGATTTCTTTAAAGGTAAAACAGTTTTCAATCACTGGCTGCCAGGAATATGCTACAGTAACATCACATTTCAGTTGGTATCCGAAGCGACCTTCAACAAAAGCACGCTAGTGGAATACAGTGGAGTCAGGCACGAGCCTAAGCAGCACAGAACAGGTGAAGAAAATTGTTGTTTACCATTTGCTCCAAGTCTGTGTGTCTGCTTTTCTTTCTGCCATGGGAGGAGATGGATTGCAGTGAGGGCGGACTAGATGGGAAAAATCATGGGATCTAATCTTGGCCAGGAGCATGGGAGGAGGATGCTGTGGCTGGTATTGGGGAGGCAGGGTTATGTGTGCAATACAGTACAAAGGGAAATATGTTCAGAATTAATTTTTAAACCACAAGAATGCCATGATGAGCATACTATTGATCTAGCTATTTTGGTCTGTCTCCTCTTGCAGTGAATCATAGCTGTACTGCTGGAGAAGGGCTTCCTCATTGTGCAGTCTCCTGTCATGGAGAAGAATGTCACAGTCACCCCACTTGGCAGCCAGTTTATGCCCTGAAGCATGAACTTTTAATTTCTAAGACAGCAATGTTGCAAAAGCTGAAAATTGCATTTGTTCAGTATCCAGAACTAATTTAATTTGGTCCTGGGACCTTGTCCCAAACTTTCCAGCTAATCTGTTGGAGCATAGGCATTTTCCAGGGTCCAAAGTGAAATGAACCAGTGGTAAAATTAAAAGGCCAAATCTTCAGGTGAATACGCTGATGTTGGTCCATAGCTTTGTACAGAGCAAAGCCAACTGATTCCAGTTGAGTTATGTCTCAAGAATTCTAAAGGTAGTTATTGAGATACTGAACCTTAAGAATTCAACCAATAGGATTATATTTTCTTCTTTCCTGCTGCCTTCCTATCCCTCATTCTGTACATGAAATGCAATCAGACTGTTGTGTCAGTTTTCGCATCAGTGGCTGTGGCTGGGACAGGAAGAGATGAACAAATCAGTATGTTTTAAGGTGTCAGCTTAAAATGTATCATACAAAATCTTTGCATGGGTTTCTCACGTTTATCACAAATTAAGGGAATATAGGCAAGCAATTACAGTGAGTAAGACACAGTGCTCTGTGTGATCATTTCTACAGTGCCTGCTGGCATAAGTGGAAATAACTTTGCATGCTATAACTTTGTCTTCTGGAGACCAAAATTTGAGATCAAGCTTTCACAAATATTAAAATTTAAACTGATCTTTAATACTTGTGAAAAGGTGGCTGCTAAATGCATATGAAAAGCCCTATGGCGACATGAAGGTCATACTTTTGAAATATGAGCTATGCCATATGGTAGTTGTGCAGGTGCTTTTCAATTCATTTCTGCAGAGGTATTTTCCCATGATCAGAAGATTGCAGAAGACGTAATACATGAAAATCCACACTTTCAAATTCACGCTTAAGTAGTATTGCTGCAGTAGTAGCACTGAAGTCTGATTTACTGTGACTTCATGTGTATTCTACATCCTGTTATAAAAAGTACTGATTTTTTCTATGAATTTACACTAAGCACAATTCCACCAGAGTCCTTTCTGGTATAAATTTCCATAAGAGAAGGAAGAGTCTTAATAAGAATAGGTAATTTCAAAATATTCCTAGATACAATGGTTTTCTGCAAACAATATTTCCCTAGGGAATTAACATATCATTAAGATACACAGAACATACCTATTAAAAGATTAACCCTTGCTTCTCTTTTAGTTCCCTACCCACCTCGAAACATTTCTGTTCAGATTGTGCCAATCAACAGAAACAACTGGGAAGAGCATAGTGGGAATTTTCCTGAAGAACCATTCATGGGACCACAAAAAATCATAGGCAAGGAAAAGCTTAGCCGTTTTTCTGGTGAGCCACCTGTAATTCCAGCAGTGAACACATCTGCAGCCTGGCCAGATTACCGCTCTAACAGCACTGAGTATGAAGCCACATCGCAGCCATATTGGTGGCCTAACGAAGCTGAATCATCAGAGGGCGAAGAAGAGTTTGTCAATGCAGTTCCCAGTGATTATGAAGCCAATGAAGTCAACACATCTGGAAAACTCACACCAGAGCCTGCCCCTTTTCTTCCTGTACAAATGGTGCTGACTTGGTTACCACCAAAGCCGCCAACTGCCTTTGATGGTTTCCATATCAATATTGAAAGGGAAGGTAAATCATAGCCTTATACCCTTCTCATAACCCATTTCTATCATTCCATTGGAGGGTTTGTCTCTTCTACAAATTATTAATTACCTGGTACTGTGCCTCAGAGAACTTTATTAGATCTCTTTTGTTTCTCAATAAGTTTCTTGTATTGAATAGTGTGTATTTCTGACTGGGACTCAAAAAGTAGGGGAGGAGGAGTAAATCATGGTTTGCAATTCTCTTTTGTGAAACAAGATTTACACTGGTGTGCATGTTCTTGCATTGTTTACACTGCAGTTATCGTAAATCCATTCTGTTATTAGGGAAAAGAGAAACAAGCTGATAGAAATTTGAGATGAAGAAGGTACATTATATCATGTATCTTTGTCAACTACTGAGAAAGGTTCTCAGGGGGACTTTGAATGGAGGAGAATAGAGAAAATTCATTCTACAGTCAGATTAACAGTTGTCTCAGAGGACAGCAACTGAACATATTCCTTAGACCACAAAGAAGCTGTGGTGGAGAATGGAGAGACTTTTCAAGTGGTGGAGCTACAATAGAATAGCTGTGTAACTTAAAGATTTCCTGTTTTTATAATCTGTTTTCTCCAAATGAATTTTTTTTCCTGACAAGCAGTTTTCTTAAGATTCCCCACACTTAGGGCTAATACTTTTTTTTTTTTTTTTTTTTTTGGCAGAATAAGAAGGCAATAGACAGAAAACTGTAAGCTCCTTTTCACTTGCACAGTCACGGCAACCCTATTTTATCATCCCTACTATTGAATTAAATTTTGGTCTGGTCTTATCATTCCTGTACACTTAAACTGCAACCTTGGTCATTAATTACTATTGTGCTGATGGCAAGAAATAAAAATACCTAAATAAATCCAGTCCTTTCAGATACCTTTTGATCCCGCAGCAGAAACTGATATAAATCATTTTCTCAGTAGCTGGGACCTCTCAAATTTCAGTTAATCCATGCTATTTTTCCCCCTTGATTTAGAGAACTCCACAGAATTTCTGACAGTAAGTGAGGACACTCACAAATTTGTTGCTGAACTGAAAGAACCCGGAAAATATAAGTTGTCTGTAACAACGTTTAGCTCCTCTGGCTCTTGTGAAGTTCGGGAAAGTCAATCACCAAAAACACTCAGCTTTTACATCAGTAAGTATCTCAATTAATCTTTATCTCCCAGACCAATATAATATTAATGCACGGGGAGTTTGACCACTAACACACTGTAGCAGCTGTGGCATCTGCCTCAGTATCAGAAAAGTCCAGTCTCTTCCAAAACAGAGTCTCCTTTTACATCTTCTAAAGAGAGGATTTATTTCACAGAATTAAATCAGTGGTTGTAGAGATTCTTGAAAATATTTAACTACCTTACTCCTGGAGGCTGTGTGTACTGTGTTACAGGCGAAGGGCTTCTCAGGTCGAGAGTGTGGGAATTGCACAATTAAACACTGAACTCTGAAATTAAATGGTCTCTGAGAGCACACAGGGCAAATTAAGGTAGATGAAATAGTTCAGCCTGCTAAATTCAGAGGAAAAGTAGTAATTTATTATTTCCCTATAGGATTCTAGGATTTCTCAACTGAAGATTTAGTAAAAGACACAATCACAATAGAGTACTTAGTAAACTAAGATCAATATTGATGATTAGATCAACATGTGAGACAGGTGTAGGTGAATTCAGACTATTGTCCTTCTGAAGGCTGTGGTCATCTTTGCAGAAACAAGGGAATGAGTAGCCTGAACAAGTATACCAATCAACACACATATACAGTCTTGTAGTACAAGGGGGGTAAATATAGCCTACAGAGTGCCCATAAAATGAAAACAGCTTGCAGCACTACACGGTTTTGCATGCAAGAGGGTAGTGTCTCCCCCACATCATGAATGCTGCAGCAGGACATGGTAGCTGAGGCTCACAGAAATACTTGTATCAAAAGGAAATATACTTAACACATTTTTTTTAAATTAATACTTAAGTATTTAAGTAGCTCATAATATTTACAAATACTATTTAAGCTTAAATTCATCATAATGGTTAACTGCGTGCAACTGAATTCCTCTATTGCTTCTATATTTTTAACAGCTTTACAGTTGAAAGAAACTGTGCTTGGAAGACAAAGAATGTAAGCAGCTCATGAGAGAAAGGGTCTCTGGTGCTGTAATTTTACTGTCTTCTGATTTTCTGTAGGAGTAGTTAGTAGGCATCTTCCTTATATGAAAACATTAAAGTACATGTATATATAAACGTATACAAATAAATCCAAGTATACATAAATAATGTAGCATTTCTATTAACACCAAATATTATTCCATCTTAAAAAGTGTGTTTTATTTCTATTAAGCAACATACAATGTGTCCTCCATGAAGTTTATCAACTAGGGACAGCAACCTCTCAGAAAATGAGAAAAAGTTAATCAAAAAGTATAGCTATATGAATTGCTAGATTAAGGATGAACTTGAATTTCATTGGTTATAAAGTATTAAGTTGTTAACAGGAATATAATGGCTATTTTTGTGTTACATGTAATACACAAGGATGTTCGTTTTTCACGCTATATATTTATTTATTTTGATGAAGTATGTCTGTTAGGTTTGTGGGCTTTTAGACACACAAGAAGATTCTTGACAGTTGACCTATTTATTCTGACTAACTCAAGAACCTTAGTATCTTAGGTACATTTCATATGGATTACCGACAGTATGTCGAATCTGAGATGTGCACAAGTACTCTTAAGGTGAAACTGTTTTTCCGTTCCTCTTTACTAGCCTTGTATGGTAACTACATCTTTGGGCCCTGATGGGGATGGAGCCCTGACATAAGGGAGCTTAGTTCCCTTATTGGCAATGTTGAACCAATTTCTGAATAGAAACAGCTACACATATATCCACAGAGACTAATCTAATGATCAAATTCTTCTTTTTGCCAGGGTTGGTGTGTGTCTGCTCTCATGAATAAATTTTGCTCACAGCTTCAGCCTTATCTTATCCTTGTAGCTTTCAGTCAGTGAATCATCCTGTTGAATTACTGGCTCGTGTTACTCAACATTTTTGTTGGACCCAAATGGCAGTCTGGATTGTCAAATATTATAGGCTGATCTTGCACAAAATCCTTGCTCTGGCATTTGTTTTATTTTCTCAATAAACTTAAAGTACTATTAGAATTGTGTGGAGGAAAAGAAGAATGTCAAGGAGAGAGCTGTCAAAAGTGCCACTTAAAACTGAAAAGAAAAGCTCAAAATTGTCATGAAATTTGACCAAGTCTAGCTAAAGTTATTTTCCAAATTGCTATTTTATATATATATATATATATATGTATATATATATTTAAACAAGTGCTTCAAATAGCCTGATGGAGAATGAGGTTTTTCATTATGGTAACCTCTGTGAACTCAATTTTCACACTTCAGGGACACGGTGCACTTGGGTATTTTAGTGCATGTAGAAGGGGGGGGGGGGGGGGGGGGGAATTGTGCTTATCCTTATTTGTCATGGATCTTGGATATCACTGGTTTTAAAATATTTAATTGGAGCACAACTGATAATGCTGGGTGGTTTCTAGTAAGCAACAGAGAATACTGTAATCAAATTTTCAAAATGCTTATGTTTCTCTTGTCATCTCCTGCTCTGCTACAAGCGCAATGGCAGTGACTGCAGGCTGTTTCCCATCTTTGTTTTGTGGACAGCCACCAGTCCAGCCTCATCCCTAGTAGTAAGTAATCTTGTGAAAGAAAGATATTTTAACATGAGTGCCTTAAAAGTGTAGAGTGGCTTGCTCACACATGCTTTTTGGCATGTCCCAGGCCCCACAGGTGAATGGATAGAAGAGCTCACAGAAAAGCCCCAGCACGTGACAGTGACGGTGCTCAGCTCCACTACTGCCCTGACATCCTGGACAGCCTCACAAGAGAGTGGTGGCAACAGCACAATTGTGTCTGTGGTCTCCCTGACATGTCAGAAGCAAAAGGAAAGTCAAAGGCTTGAAAAACATTACTGCACAGAGGTAAGAGGCAGAGGGTGGAGCCTGTTCAAGTACAGGAAAAAATTGCTTATCATCCTGCTGTTTGTTATCACAATGCCAAGGGCCCCATCAAGCTAAGGGTTGCAGAGCACAGTGGGAGATGCTCTGTCTTGCAGAGTGAAGAGAGTTACAGAGTGGAGGGCAGAGCACAGCATACAGGAATGACAGCAGGCACTAAAGCATGTTAGTGTTAAAACTGTATTTCTGCTGCACTAGCTGTGTCCAATTCTTTGTTCAAGCTTTTGAGTTATATTATACCCTTAGAAACATGGTGGTGGCAGTGAGAAATGGTGCAATATCATAGTAACACTTAGGCATATGCTACAATCCATGTTTGTTAAGAAAAGTTATCACATTCACGATTATCATTTGACTTGCATAAATTATTTCTTAGATTTCCTACATATGAATACAGAACCTGAGCCTAAACTTTCTGGAAGTTAGGGTTCATCAGAAGTCATCTTTTCACCACAAAAGAGATTTAAAACCTGGGGAGTAAATAATAATCCAGACCACTTGTGATTTAGATGGGCAATTCTTTAGGGCTGCCATATGGGACATGTTTATGATGATCAGGAGTCCTGAAACCCAAAATAAGGCAGTTTTATATTACCTGGAACCCATGGTGAGTGCAACCCCAGGTCAGATCCTATCATTCTGATAGATCAGTGCCACATGGCTTCAATTAGAAAGAGGTCCACATCTCTTTCCTTCCCATGATGCTGACAAGTTGCTTTTCTGAGCAGTGCGACAACTTCTGTCTAACTCCCTAAGCATGTGTGACTGATGAGCCCGAAAACGGCTGCAGTGTTGCCATGTACTGCACCCTCAGCACACCCATGGGAATGGAAGAGCAGAGCCAGTGCTCCCTGTGAATATCCACCTTTGTGATTAGCCTGATAAATTACTTAGTACAGAAAGTTCTGCATCCTTTAAAAATCTATTTTTATATGGATCTTTGTCAAAATATGTTGTTTTATTTTAAGAATAGCCATGCACTTGCACATTGGGAAGTGTCTTTTGAAGACAATTTGAGAATTGTTTCTCAGAACCAGTTTGTAATCTCCTTGAGTTATATTCCTTCAATTTATTAAAAATGCATTCATCTAATCAGGAAGCAAAACAATACAATAGATGATTATAAGCCATGGATAGCAAGTATGTACATATATGATTAAAGTAAATACTACAGAATTCATCTACAAACTCAAATGCAAACACCTAGAGCCAATCTGCGGAAAAACAAGATATCTGTAAAAGTAAATGTGTTCACTGAAAGTAGGTGAAAGGTCTATGTACAGTTATTTGTTTCTTTTTATCACTACAGATATTCATACTTCCTCTAATCAAATTTTATCAATTTTATCAGATTATTATACTTGGGATTAATAACAGCTGTTGGTTTGAATTCTCCTTGACAAGCTGAAAAGGGGCAAAATTCAGTGCAGAGTTCTATTTGTTTCTACAATTATGCATAAATTAAGTGATTAGCTCTTGAAAGCAGCTGTTAAAGACAAATTCCATTCTTCACTAAACCTGTGCTTACACTGATGTATTTATGTGCATCATGGTAAATCAAATGTGACTGTGATACAGATTGTGGAAATGTTGCAGAGAAAATATTAGTTGGAAATATCAGCCTGCAGTTCTAGAAGAAGTGCATGACGTCTCTTCCTCAAAGCTCCTATCTGTCTCTTCAGAAGAGTTGTCATACTGTATCAGACCAGGGATCACCTGGTTAGGTACTCTTACTCTAGGTCTGGCTAATACCTGGGGTGCCACAGCAGCAGTTTGAATGCCAGTGTTTCAAACAGAAAAGAAAAATCAGAAGGTCTCTTCATCAGTTTTTGTAGTGCTGTGCAAAAGAGGCAAAAGAGAGTAATTTCTCTCTGATTTCAGCATTCAGTCATTTAACACTTGCATTCAGAAGACAGATTTCCCATAATACTGCCTGTTCACATAGCTGCAGATGAATCAGATGTCTGATGAAAAACCTTAGGCTTTTATTGAAAATACACTGTCTAAATACTCTAGCCTGGGTAGTATCACCTGTATATGGATAATACAGCCTGAATATTTCAATAAGCCTTGGCACTAGGAGCGAGTGGTTCAAGTGACTCTGCAGTGTCACAGCTGACCTTATACAGCAATGTGTGATTCTCTGAGCCAGATTATTTGTAAATCCAGTCCTGACCACTGTCAGTTTTGCCATTTTGGGCTTATCTGAATAGGGTTTTAGCCGCTGGCACATCATGACTTCAGTTAACTGAAGCAGTTCAACTACAGCCTCAATATTCTTTTAACTGACCAAGTAAATACTTCACATCTGATATGTTCCCACACTATTAGGTGAATTCAAGCAACAGCCTCATTGAGAATCTTGTTCCTGGTGCCCAGTACCAAGTTGTGGTTTACTTACGGAAAGGACCATTGGTTGGACCACCTTCTGATCCTGTTACATTTTCTATTGGTAAGTCCTGTATTTACTGTTGGTTTTTTTTTCTTCCTTTTTCCTTTTCCTTTTCCAGATGAAATTGTCACATTGGTTATTTCAAGTGTAATGAACTCTTATTGAGAGTATTTGTTTTTCTTGTGTTGTCTAGCTCATTAACAAGGTGGGAAAAAGCTCCTTTGGTGAGAGACGGGTATTTCGTATTTTGACAATAGATTATTACAAAACCTAACTAGAGAACAATTATGGATTCACATACACAGGGCCCTATGTAAGGAACTCTCTTCACTTTTGGCCACAGAGCTTGTGCTCTGTCATTTAGGCTGGGAACCATCTCACTTAGGTGTGGCCAGCCTAAGCTGCAGGTAGTCTGTGACCAGTTGAGAAGTGTCCCCTTCTTGAGGGGAATCACTCCTACTGTCTCATGAAATGTATGAGATTGCTCTTAAGACATTTGTAGCAAATGTACTTTATGGAGAATGTAGTGTGATCCAGTCTGAAGGCCATGGTGCTAAAAGTCAAGAGAACTGGATTATCTTCTCCAGTACTATGACCATCACCAAACCCGATTTTTTTGAGTTAAGCCGTGGATCTCAGTGTTCTCTGCTTTGAGATTTGAAGATAAAAAGAACCCTCTAAGAATGAGAGTGACATTTTCAAGAATGTGGTTTCATGACCTACCTGCAGAACTTCTCCCCCTGCGCCTGTAATTCAAGATTCCATCAAGATCCTAACTAAAGAGTGACTTAGAATAGGGTTTAGTATCTTTTAGCTGCAGTGTCATTTATTTTGTTAAGGTTATCACTTTAACAAAATGTAATGAGAAAGGGGCAAAGAGAAAGAGACCCAGAGTATAGAATTACATTTACAGAGAAATATTTAACCTTAGCCTCCCAGCTCCTCCTTTTGACAAATGGTTTGCCTTGTGGGAGAGCAGGTGGCTGAAAATTAGAGATCTTCAGTATTTGTCACTCTGCTTCTCTGTGATGAGGGGAAGAAAGCAAAACAGGAAAAAAAAGAAAAAGGAAAAAAAACAAAAAACAAAAAACAAACTGTTAACCTGTTAAGATGTGAATTCAGTAATTAAAAGTAGATATGTGGACTAGTAAATATGGTGAGAGAGTTTTCATTCTAGGCAATCTGTTCAAGTATTTACATAAGCTAGGTCCAAATAAAAATTTGAAAAGATAATATGATATAGTTCAGTAAATAAAACAAACAAACAAAAAAGGTAAATTAGTAAATATATAACCTTATTATTAAAAACTGTACCATTGAACAATTTTTAGAAAAACTTTGGATTTTATTTCTCCCTGTGTTTTCTTCAGAAATCTGTACATTTCTATTTTCATTTGGGAAAGTGAAATCATATATTCCCAAAATAAATAAGTTTCCTCATTTTCTCCACTTCTCTGTCTCATCACAATCGTGAACAGTTCTTATTCAACTAGAAATGGCAATTATTTTCTAAATAAAGTGTGTCATAGGTTTCTAATTATAAAGAGGACATTTTCTGAAGTAAAACAACAGTTGTATGAGTTTTCATTTCATTACAGGATATTGAATTTGATATTAAAATAGTAGAAACGCAAAACAAACTGTTGTGTGAAATTATCAGTGATGGTTAATGATCAATGATGTGGAAATACTGTAAAATGCACTTTAAAAAGTATTCAGTTCTGTATGTATTTATCATAACCTTCACTTTCACTCAGTGGGTATTAGCACATTATAGAAAGGAAAACAAAGGTCAAGTAAATGGCAACCGATTTTTGAAAGGAAATGCAATCACATGCCAACATGGGCTGAAGTAATTCGGGTGTTCTTGACTTTGACCCTACATGCAGTAGTTGGGGCTCTGCAACCCCTGCAAAAGCCAGCAAAGTACTTAAGTAGCCTCACTGAAGTCATGAAAAATGATTGCTTTCTAGACAAGTAAGGGTTGCAGAACTTGACCCTTACGTGACATATTTCAAATCGTTTGACTTCTCTTTCCCAGTTTCATCATCTGTGAGGCAAGAATAGCAATTCATGACAGCACCTCTAGATTCCCCAGGGAAGGAAGGATAGACATAAAAACTGTTTTCTTCTTGTGGCCTTTATCTTCCAAAGTATTGTGGCTTTTGATGTTTTTGTTTTTGAGAATTCAACCTGAAATATCTCCTAAACAGCCTGATTTTCAAAGTCAATGGAAGCCTCTAGTCATTTTGGAAAAAGTAGACATAAGAAACAAGGAAGATGTTAGGAATTCAAATCAGGAACAAATCAGAAACAGACAGAACTCGGTTAATGAAAGATTTTTTTTTTAAGTGTAGATAATAACAAAAAAAAACAAACATTACTAACCACAATTTCTGGTTTGTAGTGCCCACTGGAATAAAGGATCTGACACTTTACCCTTTGGGACCTACTGCTGTAGTTTTGAGCTGGAACAGACCTTTTCTTGGCGTGTTCAGGAAATATGTTGTAGAAATGTTTTACTTCAACCCATCAACGATGACCTCTGAGTGGACAACCTACTATGAAATTGCAGCAACCATCTCCCTTACTGCCTCCGTGGTAAAGTGAACATTACTGACTATTGCTTTCCCATATATATGTGATGCTGGCACACTGGGGTTTTTCCTTGTCCAGCCTTTCCCCCATGAATACATATGCATGCCTTTAAAACTGGAAAGTTTTAAACTAAACTGGAAAGTTCCAGGCAAAGTAGAGAAAATGTCCAGGATGCTAGAGGCATTTACTTTTACTAGAAGGGGAATGCAGCTGAATGATGCTAAAAGTTAAGCAGAACAAGGAGGTAGAAGATGAGCCTCTCTTCTGTTGACAAATGGGCATGTTCAGCAATTCCAGAGGCAGCTTCAGTTTGTGGGTCAGTTTGTCACTCAAGGCTTTAACCAATTCCAGCATCTCCTCAGAGGGAGTAGTCCAAAGCCTTATCTGTATAATTAATATTGATAATATGGATTTGGAGCTTGCAAGCTGAACTTGCAGTGAGCCATCTGGAGTGCATAGCTGCAGAGATGCTCTTGTGAAAATAGCCTTCATATTTTTGAAGATGGAAAGACATACACCAGCTTTTCACCTAGGCACAGATCATTTCCTAGAACAAAATCTTTGCAAGATTTGCAAGATTGAGTATTCAACAGTAATTCCATAAAAAATATTCATCTTACTTTCCATATTTTTCTAGAGAAGGTGAATGGGTTTTATTCAGACTTTGCCATTGCACAAGATAGTGAGCAGTTTCAGCTGAAATTAGTTGTTATGAGTATGCAAAAAGGATAGCAATAACTTTTGCTGCTTGTAAGAGCCATAGTGATTTACCATAATTCATTTGCATAATACTATTTGTGTAGTAATTTCAGCTACAGCAGCTTAACAGTAATTAGGTACGTGAGTGTAAATCTAGCACATAAATCTCCAAGGAAATTAAAAACAAAAATAACTTACCAAAGGAGTAATTAATATCTTGTAATCATGACGCAGCACAATTAGATTAATACCTGAGTGATCCAAGTCATCTTCGAAATAATACCATCTTCCAGAGTAAATGTGGTTCATTAGAAAATGACATGATGTTGCCCATTACCATTGCAAATCCTGTTCATGAAAGCTAAGGGAAGTTGGCTTCCTTTTCAACTCCTTTGAATTTTTTTAAAGAGTTACCATGAATTAGAGAAGGAGGATCTTCCCCTTGTGTTATGGCATTTAACATATAAGTAGGTATCGCTGAACTTTTACTTGGGTTCACTAGCAGTGCTCAAGAATCCCACCCATCCCACATTTTTCCATACAGTCAGTAAGTCATTTGATATCTCTGATAGTGGAATCTGAAGCAACAGTGCCAAGCCCAGCAAGGAGATAGGGGGATCAAAAATCAAGCTCACAGCTTAGATAAAAAACAGTTTCCTGAAGGGGTTATCACTTGGTCAGAAGTGTTGGAACTGAAACAGCTTTTCAGTCCATTTAGTTGCTTCATTCATTTTTTACTCTGAAGATTATTTTAATGTTATCAAAACAATGTTGGTATTGCCCATATTACATCAGGAGCATGTCAAAAGAATCACAGAATCACAGAATCTCTAGGTTGGAAGAGACCTCAAGATCATCGAGTCCAACCTCTGACCTAACACTAACAGTCCCCACTAAACCATATCCCTAAGTTCTACATCTAAACGTCTTTTGAAGACTTCCAGGGATGGTGACTCAACCACCTCCCTGGGCAGCCTGTTCCAATGTCTAACAACCCTTTCAGTAAAGAAATTCTTCCTAACATCTAACCTAAAACTCCCCTGGCGCAACTTTAGCCCATTCCCCCTCGTCCTGTCACCAGGCACATGGGAGAACAGGCCAACCCCCATCTCGCTAGAGCCTCCTTTAATATACTTATACAGAGTGATAAGGTCACCCCTGAGCCTCCTTTTCTCTAGGCTGAACAAGCCCAGCTCCTTCAGCCGCTCCTCATAGGACTTGCTCTCCAGGCCCCTCACCAGCTTCGTCGCCCTTCTCTGGACCCGCTCAAGCACCTCGATGTCCTTCTTGTAGCGAGGGGCCCAGAACTGAACACAGTACTCGAGGTGCGGCCTCACCAGAGCCGAGTACAGGGGGACGATCACCTCCCTAGCCCTGCTGGTCACACTGTTTCTGATACAAGCCAGGATGCCGTTGGCCTTCTTGGCCACCTGAGCACACTGCTGGCTCATATTCAGCCGACTGTCCACCATCACTCCCAGGTCCTTCTCTGCCTGGCAGCTCTCCAGCCATTCCTCTCCCAGCCTGTAGCTCTTCTTGGGGTTATTGCGCCAGAATACCAAGCAGCTTCAAGGTCCCAGTGTTAATTGGATATAATTGTTTCTAAAAATCATAAAGAGAATAAGCATCAAACCCTGTATGTGGATTGCCTTGTAGCATCTGAAAAATACCACTGCAAACAGCAGAGATTTGTGAAAAAAGCAGTTTCTAACTTGCTGAATTTTTTTTGTTCTTATTTCTTAGTTGCTTTTATTTTGAATTACAAAATATTATTAGGATTTTCATTTAAATATTTTTTTTCTGTGCTGGCATTGGAAGTATTTGAATTTTAACTGAAATAACACAAATGATATTGCAATATAAAATACAATGTATTTTATACTTCATTTATATCTCATTTTTATTTATATATATAATTTATGTCTCATTTATAACTCATTTATATTTCATATTTCATTTATAATAAATGATAATACAATATTAAATACATCTCAAAAAATTGAAAAGAAAAAAAAAAGTCCTATGAAATGATGACATCTGAGTCAAAAAAACATTGTTTCTGGTTTGCCTTGAAAGTCCATTTAATCAAAAAAGCAGAATTTCAGTGGGAGTTTCCCATGGTGAGTAGACCTGTGACCATGTGCCCATGGATAAGCAGCAGTGCTATAACAACCATGTTCAGTCTCACTGCACAGATTTTTGAATAAATCCAAATGCCACAATACAGAGGTTACCACTGGAGCAAGAAAAAACCTTAGTAAAATGGTGCCATGCGCGGGCACTAGGTTTATAAACATTGTCTCATTTTATAAGTCGTGTCTCGTGCTGGTGAATTTTCTGCTGAGCTGCTCTTTGTCTTTTCTCGCTCTGCAGAGAATAGCTAACCTGTTGCCTGCTTGGTATTATAACTTCCGGGTCACCATGGTGACCTGGGGGGACCCAGAGCTGAGCTGCTGTGACAGCTCCACCATCAGCTTCATTACAGGTAAGCATCCCTCTGAAAACACTGTGGAAATGATGCCTGGAGCAAGACTGCTGAGAAAATCTAACCTGGATGCTATGTTTCACCAGCAGATACTTGCAAGTTAGGGTATTTAATAGCTAAGGGGAGGTTGTTCTTGTGTGTGTTTTAAGGAAAGCTCTGATGACTGCTTCAGTATATATAATTTTCCTGTGCAAAGCAGTGTTTAATTGCTCTGTTCCAGTCTTCTATCAGCTGAAGGCATGGCTCCAGAGAGAGACAGTGATCCTGCTTGTCTTCTATGACACTGTATGTTTTACCCACTGAGAAGTTTATAGATAAATAACGTGAATTCAGAGGTTTGCTAATACTGTGAAAAAAAGTCCTTATATTTACACTGTTTCCAAATGTTTTCCTGTCCTTTTCCCCTCCCAGTAATCCACAGATCAGACCATGACTGTGGCACCTTAGCTAACAAGGAGCAGAGTTCTGTGCCCTTAACGCAGATCGAGGCAGGCAGTATGTTTGGCAGCATGTTTTTCTCGTGTTCCAATCTTGCCCTTCCTGCTGGGTGCATTTTGTTTGTACACCATGAGGAGAGAAGGGTGCTTCTGTGACCAAGGCATCACACCTGTGCTTGGTATATTGGTATTGTGAAGCTGTGGTGCTGGCCATCTTTATCGTCCACAATATAGATTCTCAGCTGCAGCAAACTGGTACAACCCCACTGATAGTCCTCTCCCAGCTGGGATCAGTTTTGCATTTAGCACACTCCCTGTCTTCTGTCAGACAGTTTGGGCTCAGGTCTTCTTCATATGGTAAAATGAATGCCGTTTCCTCTCTGGCTAATCCAAGACCTCCTGTGAGCTCATTGCCAAGTGTTTCTAGCATCCAGGCTGCTTAAGCTAAGGTTCCCTATTGAACCGTTTTGCGTTTACCACCATGTAGCTCACCTTGCAGAAGTACAGCTGATTGAAAGCAGTAAATAATTCAGATGTGCTATGAGAGGAAATAAATATGACTCATTTTTCTTTTCCAACTCTGGAAGCCACATTATGAGGGAAATCAGGCTATGATTTCCAGCCACTCCCTCCTAAACAGATACTAGCCTAGACACAGATTTTCTGTTTGGTGAAAGTCTCAGAGGATGTAACTGAGGAAGGGAATGAATACAACCCCTTTGTATTGATGATTAATATAGTTCCTGTGCCTGACAGAACCATGAAGGAAAAAATGATCACTGTGTTGGTTGACTCCTAGCTCCCATGAAGTCAGCTGAAACCTCCCATTCTGAGATATCTGATCCCAAGCTATACTGGGGGGCAAATCCTAGTGCTTGCTCTGTCTATCAGAAACTCACAGCACCCACTAGGGCTCTGTGACAAGTCTTCAGTGACATGCAGTGTCCTTTGGCATCAGTCATCTTTTCTGTTTCACTGTAAGGAAGTAATTTTCCAGATGGCTGGCTGCTGTATGCAGGGAGAAAAGTCTTTCCAACTGATTTGGGTACCAGGTTCAGCATTTTACAGTGGGAATGTTCCAGTGGGGCCCTCACACTTTGTCGTATCTTTAGAAACCTGCAGCAAAACTTAGGAAGATGAAGGTTATTCTAAAATATAAGGATTCATCAGGATCATTTTGTATCTCTGTATGGGGAAAGGACTTCAACTGCTATCAGATGAAAAATGTATCGGTTTTTTACCTTGCAGACATAGAGAAAATCAGAAATGGATGAAGATACTAGATAATATAATCAATTTGTGATTAGCAAAACCCCATTTTAAGAAAAATCATCTGGTCTTACAGTGAAAACATCCAGAGGGGGAGAGGCCACCAATCCCCTGGAAAGTTGTATTTAATTTCTCTTATTATCAAAGGTTTATCTTTTGCTGCTTATCTGAATTTTCCTATTTTTAATATCTAGTCTATGATTCTTTTTACACTTTTCACTTATTGACTGAAGAGCCACAATTTTTTATTTTTTTTTTAAACCTTTGCACTGAATTTAGCTTCACTCTTTTCTGTTGATAAATTGCATCCATTGAGCTCTTCAGGTGCTCTCTCAGTAAGATATTTTCTCATGCTGCTTTTTTTTCCCCCAACTCTGCCTTGCTAATTTTTACTGTCTTTACCAAAGTACATGAAAACCTGCACCTAAAATTGTAGTACCAGCCTGCTGAACACTCCCAGAAAGGCAAAATCAGCTCTCTATTCAATGCTCTCCTGTTTGTGCATCTCGGTGATTGCATTTTCTATGGCTTCACACTGGAGGTCTATGTGATTTGCTTCTATTTTGTCTCTTCTAAATCCTTCCTAGGGTAGCTACTTTCCAGAACATACCATTCAAGCAGTGCTGCCTGCGTTCCTTTTTCCTAAATATTTGACTTTGCATCTGGCAGTCTCAAATATGTTTTGTTTGAACAGGCCCAGTGTAGGGGACAACAATTCAAACCACAGCCCTGTCCAGATTGTCTACTCTGCCAGTTGCTGTGCTACTTGTGTGGTTTATCAGCTGTGCTTTTACTTTTAGAGTATTGATGAAAATGTTGAATATCAGTGAGCCAGATTTTAAGGGAAGAATCCTGATAGATAACTCCAGAATGACCAAATTAGAAGGGCTTATCTATATGCAATCACCATTGAATGTGAGCACTAAATGCCCTCCTGCCCTCTGATTACCTTATTAGTTGAATACTCTTCATTTTTGTCCTGGGACTACTGTCAGGCTAACTTGCCAGACAGAGACAACACCAATCTTTCATGTCTGCAAATTTGAAATGTTTATCCCCAGTAGATGCACTTTTACACTGTTTCAAGTTGTGAGGAGACTGCAAAGTTCTTTATCACCCTCAGCCTGTTTCTTTCCAGAGTGGGAGCAAGCAGATGTTTTTATGGAGCACTCGGTCCCTTTCTGCATTGTTCCGAATAACGCTACCTCTCCTGCACAGCCTGAGAAGGTTGCCAAGAATTTAAAAAAGAAAAACAAAAAAAAGGCCAAAACTAAACTTTAAAATACTAAATAGCAGGTTTTGTGATCTTATTGACAGTACACCATCTGTCAGTTCTTCTGTGTATTGCTGGGAAGCTAAGCTCTGTACCTGGAACATAAGCCTGATTTTTAAAACACAGCAGAAGAATCACCTGGGAGTTTGGGACCACACCTTGCAACAAGCTCAGGGCAGACAAACCATTTCCCTAGTGCAGAATCCCACTGCTCACGTGGAGCCTATAGCTAGGCAGGGGCCCTACTGAACCACAGTACCTGGAATAAAGAGTATGAGAAGAGACTGGGTGATGTATAGCCCTCTCCCACACCAACTGTTTTGATGTCTCCAGAAGAGTGGGGAGGGAGGCCTGGGGGCCCCAGACTGCTCGTAAGTAAATACTTGCCAGAAACAGCATTTGCTCTCTCAGGCTCCTGCAGGAACAGTTGCTTGATGTTGTATTAACACAAGGAGAAATTGTGGCACTGCTGGTGTTGCTGTGGTGACTAATGAGTTTTTAATGCCACCTGCTGTAAACAGCTGGATTTAAAGCAATCATAAGCAAGGGCACTTTAGACCACCAACATTTTCGTTTACTATGAGAATGCTTTTAGCTTTTGAGATGCAAAAAAAAATGGAAAGAAAGGCAGGCAGACTGTCAGTGTTGGTGAGTATGACCACATCTGTCCTTACTGTGAAGTTGTTGTCTTTTGGTCCAGTGGATGCTTTCAGCTGTCTCTTCCGCCAGACAGGCAATGAGCTGTAATTTCCTACAGTCTTTCTGTGCCACTCAGCTCCCAGTGGACAATGGTGCCAAGGGAGTTGGACACATCAGTCCTGGCCCATAGTCTCATTTCACGTACCCTGCAGGTTCTGTTTCTAAATATTTAAGACTTAGATCTACGTGAGCTTTAGGAGGGCAAGCATGTCATCAATATCTAGGTATGTTAGGAAATTAGTAGTAGTATATAAGATTCATGCTGGTAGTGACCTTAGATTGTAAAGAATATGCAATCCATGATAGGGATGGTCTGGAAACTATAGAAATTAAAAGAAACATTGCTTTAAAGATTTTACAATAAATGTCTGCTTCCTCTCAACACCATAAAAGGGCGTTTTCAAGATGAATTTGAGAGGAGAGTCTTACTAAACGTTTCTAAATGGCTCTAAATTGTTCATGCATTGCATTTTCTGCCTTTCTCAGTAACTACTTAAGTAAATCTCTGTTCTCTGACAACTGTCTCAGTGTACAAGTCACGAGTCTTCTTGAAAGCAGCAGTGACACCTTGTGGCCCTGTCGGGCAGTCCCCTGCTCCCAGCCCATCCTGCCTTCCTGTGGCTGCTGGCACCCAGGGCTCTGCCAGGGAGCAGGGCAATGGCTGTCTCTGCCATTAATAGATAGAAGCATCTAATTAATAGAGAGAAGCATCTCCAGGGGAAAATTCTTTTCCTTGCATTATACACTTACGTTATCAGGAAATCTTTGGAGGTTGTATGGTTATCTTTCTCCTTTGGCTTCACAGGGAACCAAAATTTTTCTGGCCTGATTGCAGTTTTAGGGAGTGATCCACCATAAGCCAAACCATAGAACAGGCTCACAGGGTTGTGGTGGGGCATACAGAGGAAGAGGAGGCACAACAGCTACTTTGCCTAATACTTAATGACATAGTCAAAAAGTTGCCAAATGCCTGTAGACTAGACACTTAATGCTTAGATGCCTGTCAGCTGACTGCTGCCTTCTCTGATGGTAGGACTTTCACACTGGGAGCAAAGGGAACCAAAACTTTTCATGCAAAAAGATGTTCTTTGGCAAAGTACAGGTTTGGGACATTTCCTACTAGGAAGATGCAAACTCAGTGAAGAGGTATTCTTTTTTTTTTTTTTTTTTCCCATGAGAAAACTATCCAAATTCAGTGTGACAGTTCTTATTTATTTCTCATTGAATATCACTGCGTTTCAGTGCTGTAACACAGTGAAGTAATATCTGAGGCTTTTAATTTGACTTTGAAGTCCATTTATAGATGTTAAATCAAAACGTGGTTTATATCAGTCACTAGCTTCATGTTTTGTTTTGTTTTGTTTTTCTTAACTGAAAGACTGCAAACAAAAATATACTCCTGTTCCAAACGTTCCTAAAGGAAAATGCTCTTTTTCTGTTCTTTCAGTTACTACTCAAGTGCCTGTATAAAATGCAGATGACTTTACTAATATGTTTTTCCTGTTTTTGTGATGCTCTCTTCCCAACAGTATCCTTTGGCAGAGGTTTATTATTGGACTTGGTAATCAGTTGTGCCAGAGCCTGACTGTAATATATTTGTCCTCTTCCTTCAGCACCAGTGGCACCTGAGATTACTTCGATAGAATATTACAACCACCTTTTATACGTCACTTGGACCTATGGAGAAGACGGTACTGACCTCTCTCATTCCAGGATGCTGCATTGGATGGTCATTGCAGAGGGGAAGAAAAAAATAAAGAAGAGCGTAAGTGTGACTGGAAAAACTGTCGTTCTCTTACTGTTTTGTTTTGTTTTTCCTCAGTTGATAATTTCGTATTGCACAGTTTGAGCAAGATTCATAGAATCCTGGTCAGTTGAAGTTATTTCAGAGTGTGAACATGCAGTTCTAAAGACTCAAGTTCTCAAAATAGCCAGTGGGCAGAATGCTTCTATGGTGATCCTACACAAATTTTGATGGTTTAGGTGAGAATTTAGAAATAGCTTATTAAACTTCTGAACTGCAGACAATAGAACGTAAAGAGTGTTATTTTAGAAAACAGAGTCCTTTCAATTTCTAGTTAATAATAACCTAGACTACACTACTGGCTGAGGGTTTTTTAGTTCATTCAAACCAGTTGCTATAACTTCCCTTTTTCTATTTGAATACAAGTTCCACTAACTGATGAGATGAGAATTTCACCCAGAATTTATGCACTTGTTAGAAAACTTGCCAGATGTTATGAAGTTCTTCTGACCTCTTTCAGCCAATTTAAAAATCACTTAGGAAAATAAATCTGGGTTTTCCAATTATGGATTGAAGTCATGCTTTAGCAGGGTGCTGAGGTGCATGTTTGAACTGAAGGAAAAGAGCAGTCCCTGGACATAGAGTGAGCTATGTTTGAAATATTGGTGGAGCACGGCAGCTCAGGAGCATCGTGACAGCAGCACAGCTTCATGCAGTCTGTGACCATCTTCAACACCATTATTGAACTTTTAATCATAGACAGGTGGAAAAAGTGTTTGGTCTTTTTCATATGGAAGGTTTCCCTTCTACAGCTGAAAGACTCACCAGATGCTGAATTGGAAGTGGATTTTCGGCATAAGTGCAAGTTCATCACCAATTTTTATTTGAGTTTAGATGGAACACTGTAGAATTCATTGGATTCCTAGTGGCTGCAAGAGTGCACCCATCTGGAGCTTGTTGCACCATGATTCTAATTACATGATTAGTGGAACTGTTCAAAAACATGACATTTCAGAACGGCAGGAACTTCCAATATTTGGATCTTTGTTTCAAATGAGGAAGAAAACGCCACATTTTATTTTTTTCCTCCACAAATAAAGAATTCTAACAATTGAATTCTAAACAATTTTGCTGTGATTTCCCTCCCCTCCCTTCCAAAAGTCACATTCTCACTAAGATAATTATTCTTTCAAGAAAAAAAATCTGATTCCTGTGCCACAATTTCTGATAAAATATATTTGAATAGAAAATTCTTCGATTAAATAAATATAAAATAAACATTGAATATGAAATTAAATGAAAATGAATATTGAACTTGAAATTCTTTGTTTAAACTAAGGTTTAAATATAGAGAGTGTCTACAATAAAATTTCAAAACTGTCTTGAGGAATATTTGTCTTTCTGTTATCTTCAGGAGAAAAGAACCCAGCAAGTACACTTTAGAAATTCTTACAACAACATAACTCTTATGGTACCTTGCTAACTTTTATGGTACTGCTTATATTTGTAAATATGGGTGCATCGTGCTTGCAGGCTTAAGGGTGTACCTGTTCTCCTAAGCTCTGTTAGTCACTTTCAGAAATAGTTTCCTTTATTTATTTAGGCTACTTATTTATTACAGTTAAGGTTGCTATTATAATTGTTTTTTCTTCTAGAATTATTAAAATTAATAGATAACAACCAGGTGATTATGATTTCTTCCTGTTGTTTGTATATTTCTGAAGACTCTGGAGAAGTTGGTTAGTTTTTATATAACTTACTAAAATAATGTGGATAGGTCTGTTAGTATTCATTTAGAAGTGTCCATCCCTCCTGGATCTGAAAACTTCAGACTGAAAATTAAGTGACCAGCATAAGATTGTGAAGGTATGCTTTGTAGTTAGACTAGACATCCTCTGAAAACAGTCTGTTGCAGTGTCTGAGTTCTGCATCTTTCTCCATGGCCTTGGAGAAATTGGTAGCTTACTCACACCTACAATAAGAAGGTATTCACATTATTCACATATTTGAACCTTAGCTCAGTCTTGGATCATATATGGTTTCAAATTTGTAGGTGACTCAAGTCAGTGCTCAGTATGGCCTATCTTATGCCATCTGTCATCAGGCCCTGTGTTCTATTGTCATGTCAGTGGGTCTCCAGATAGGTGTTAGACTTACCCAGACAAATTTAATTTGCAGGTCCTTAGGATATATACAGGCTTGCCTATAAGTATCTTGTGTACTCTTCTTAGGAGTTTAAATTCCTTTAACATTGCAACAGACTCAGCTCATTGGTTTGGTATGATTCTGCAGAACTCAAAAAATCTAGATGCAAGTGTATTCTCAGATATGTGAGAGAGGTTTTATTTATTCATTTAATTTTCACTGGTCATGTAGAAAATACAGCCTAAGATTGTTTTCTGTCTGCATCATGGTATTCGTCTAAGCGTTATGGCTTTCTACTGTTGGTGTCCATGGGAACTGGGTCATGTAACAAATCTAAAGTATGCAGAAGAAATCTGATGATTTGCACAGAACTTTCTTTATTGTACATTAAGTGACCAGATTAACTTTAGAAGAAGGATGTCTGGTTTGGGTTGTATTTAACAATTGGTGTCTATAATTATTGTAGGTAACACGCAGTGTGATGACTGCAGTGTTGAGCTTGCCTCCAGGGGATATTTACAACCTTTCAGTAACTGCTTGTACTGAAAGAGGCAGCAATTCTTCCCTGCCCCAGCTTGTGAAATTGGGTAAGAAATGTATGCTTGTTTCCAAGTTGTAAATTGGCTCCTTCTCACATTAAACTCCAGAAGTAACTGTGTCAGCAAATTCAGCATCTTCCTCGTTTCAGAGTCAAGTACCTGTGACTGCATTTCTTTTGGAAAACTGCAATTTTTGCCTCACCTTGCTGTGAAGATTGTCTCATTCCCGTGTGTGACCCTACTTCCTAAAATAGTATTACTCACAAAGAGCAAGAGTAGCAGAATCTAACTGTAAGTGGAAGTAGGAGTCAGTGCCTTTCTGGGAGAACAAATCTGCTCTGTCTTTATTTTCCTAATGTTTGAGCACATGCAGATTTTGGGAACAGAGACTTGAGATTCACAGCTAAACTTTTCAATGCAAAGAAGAACATTTCTTGGTATTGGTAAGCCTATTTCTCAGTTTGTTTTCTGCCTCCTGATCAGGGTTCCCTTTTCCTTTCCTCTCTCCCTGGACTTCCCCAACACTAATGTGCATCTTTAAATACAAATCAATTAGATTATTATTATTTTTTTTTTTTTTTAAACTAAATAGATTAATTAAAATTCATGGCTGTGGACCCAGCGTCTTTCTAAGAGAAAATTGTGTAACCTACTCTAAGAAATAAACAAAAAAGACATTCCTTTCCCTCTGAGGAAGACTGTACAGTACACCATTGTGCTTGAGAGATTTTACTTCACTTTTGCACACACATAGACTTGTTGAGCCCTAGGTGCCTAAAGCTGTGAAATGTTGAAGCATGCTTTACTGCTTATACAGTCATTAACTCCATTTTCAAACTGGATTATCTTCTCTACACACATAGTAAACCTTTCCTGAGTGACAATGAAAGGAATGATTTTGAAGGTTTCCATAATTTCTAATTGAATTTGTGGTCTTTGAGTAATCATTGTCTATTTATTTTTTTCCATGGCTCTCTTCTACTCAAATCCCTAAAACAGTGCTGGGGCAAATAGTACAACCACAAGAATCTGAATTCCTTCCACATCTTTTCATCAAAGGGAATATTTGAAAGATGTAAACAAATTCTATGTATTTTCCCTCCCATGTGCAAGTCCTGTCCACTGTTTTCCCCCATGGCTGTGACTGTGCACACTTATGTGAGTGTGTCATTCCCAACAGGAGATAGGTATATCCCCCCCACTACCATTACCCAGATATTTTTAGGAGGAGTATTTCAAAATATCAGCTAGCTTTACCTTTCAGACAGGTCCATAAGTGTCATTTATTACTAATGTTGCACACCATGAATCCTAGCTGTGTATTCCTTTATCATTTATTTGTTTATTTATGAACAGGGAAAACAGCAACTAGCAAGTGCAGGCAGGCTCTTATTGAACTGTTATGGTTATTTTGCTCTTGCTATTTCATTAACAAGAAGGTGGAAAGAATTTTGATAAATCACTTCTAGCCTTCTGTGTGTGTGATTTTTGCTTTTTTCCCCCTTTATCCTTTTTGTACTTTGAATAGACAATGGCAAGGATATTTTACCAGAGGTTTTCCTTCTCTCTGTTTCTGAGGGAGAGCAATGAGAGTTGTAATTAGCAGTAGTGGGAACTGATTCTAAGTGATAGACGACTCAGCATTTGGCAGTCTCTTAAGCACTCCTGCCAAATGTTCTTCCCTCCATGATGTTTGCTTCATTCTGGCAACTTTCCACCTGCAGAAAAATCAAGCAATTTGCTGGAGGCAGAAGGAGGATTTGCTTGGGATGATGTCCAAATGCAAAGCTCATGTTTTAATTGAGACCATTTTTACCTGGAGTGGGGGATGGAATGTGTTTCTGAATCCAGAAACAGATATATGGATGTAATTATAGGAGAGGGATACTTTCTTATGTATTTCTGGAACAACATCTACACTGCAGTCCTCATGATACAGAAGCAGCCACGTGAGTGCCTCAGTCCTCACCCTGCTCTTCTCAACTCTTTTGCTATTGCCAATATAATCTTGGCAGCTTACAACCCTAGAACACTGATCTGATTGTCTGAGGAGCAGATACTCTCCAAAATATCTATAACCATTTCAGCAAGTCCTGTGACATTTATATTTATTTATTTATTTATTAAAGAAAATCTTACACATCACACACATCACATCCAGGCTTCTGTGACAGCATCACATGGAATAAGAATAACAAATTATTAGTGAAGGGAAGAGAGAAGAGCAAAATGTTGTTGTACATACTGTGTCAGGATCCTGGAATTGGGTCATTGTTGGAGACTGACAACTTTCACAGAATCACAGAATTGTCTAGGTTGGAAGAGACCTCAAGATCATCGAGTCCAACCTCTGACCTAACACTAACAAGTCCTCCACTAAACCATATCACTAAGTTCAACATCTAAACGTCTTTTAAAGACCTCCAAGGATGGTGACTCTACCACTTCCCTGGGCAGCCCATTCCAATGCCTCACAACCCTCTCAGTAAAGAAGTTCTTCCTAAGATCCAACCTAAAACACCCCGGCGCAACTTTAGCTCATTCCCCTTCATCCTGTCACCAGGCACGTGGGAGAACAGACCAACCCCCACCTCACTACAGCCTCCTTTAATGTACTTATAAAGAGCGATAATGTTGCCCCTGAGCCTCCTTTTCTCCAGGCTGAACAATCTCAGCTCCCTCAGCCTAGGACTTGTTCTCCAGGCCCCTCACCAGCTTCGTCGCCCTTCTCTGGACCCGCTCAAGCACCTCCATGTCTTTCTTGTAGCAAGGGGCCAAAAACTGAACACAGTACTCGAGGTGCGGCCTCACCAGAGCCGAGTACAGGGGGACAAACACCTCCCTAGACCTGCTGGCCACACTGCTTCTTATGCAAGCCAGGATGCTGTTGGCTTTCTTGGCCACCTGAGCACACTGCTGGCTCATATTCAGCCAACTATCCACCAATACTCCCGGGTCCTTCTTCACCTGGCAGCTTTCCAACCAACAAAATCTAATCAGTAATCTACTGATGTTTTTCATCAAATATCAGTAGATTACTAAATCTCATAGCCCTGGAGAAGAGCTTGGAAATGTGAATCCTAAACTTTGTACTCTCTGATGGCAAACCACAGACAGGAACCTGGGATGCCTGAGTCTTGAAGATTGACAGTAGTCATTGTGTGAAGGCATCGGGATGAAAATCGGGATCAAAATTTGGTCTTTAAATAATTTTGGAAAATGTATATAGCATCTCAACAGCAAAACCAAATCTGAACAATCAAACACACAAACAGTCAAACAAACAGAAAAAAGCCCCCCAGAAAGGGCTTCTCCTTTCCTCAAGCTTTCCCCTCCCTCTTCCCCGTGCCCTCAGTACCCTGCCGCCGTCCCGGCAGGCGGTGCAGTGAGGGGCGACCTCCACTGGAGGTCAGTGTGGCCTCTGCTGCCAGAGCCACCGCGGTGCTGGGGGGCAAAAGGGGGGTCCTCGACGAGGGTTTCTATCCCCAGAGCCTTTCCAGGACTTCATGTCTTAAGCAGTTTTTCCTTTATGACATTTTATCTTTTTCCTCTCCGTGATTTGTTCTTTTTCCTCCCATTTCCACCCATTCCTCCCTGCTGCCCATGCCGCAGGATGAGTGTAGTGAAGCCTAAAGCATGGCAAAATGAGGCCTCGGATACACGGCAGATGGCTGAGGGAATAATAGCTTCAGTGGGCAGTGTTTGCAGTGCACTCCTGTGCTCTTGTACATTTCATCAGGGAATGTAGTGATAGGAACAAGGGGTAATGCTTTTAAACTAACAGAGGGTAGATTTAGATTAAATATTAGGAAGAAATGCTTCACTTGGAGGGTGGTGAGGGAGTGGAACAAGTTGCCCAGAGAAACTGTGGATGCCCCAACCCTTGAAATATTCAAGGCCAGGCTGGATAGGGCCTTGGCAAACCTGATCAAGTGGGAGGTGTCCCTGTCAGTGGCTGGGGTGGGGTAGAACTTGAGTGTCTTTAAGGTGGTCTTTCCAACCCAAACCAGTCAATGATTCTATGATTCCCATGCCCCCCAGCAGTTTACAATCTTCAGTCTGTTGCCCTGGGGATGGCAATAGCCTTCTTTTCACACAGTTCATCTCCTTGCCACATAGGAAGCCCAATCCCTTGTATATGTTTGTCTATTGCCAGGTCACACCCCACAACAGTCAACAGAAAAAAGTACCAAAGCAATAAATTAAAGACCTCTGAGATCTGAGCCTGTGCATTCAGTGAGAAGAGAAAACTTATTCTGCAGCTAACTGAAATAAGTGCAGATCCAATGGCCCTTAAGTATTAACTTGGAAATAAGATTAAAATAATAATAAAAAAAAAAAGACTACAAGATGTTTTTAAACTGTCAAATGACTATTTCCTCTCTTACAACTAAGTGAACCTAGACAGAGTTCACCTGTGGGAGGCTGTTTCCTTATCATCTCCTGGTTCAGGCCTTGCAGTGTAAAACTTTCTTAGGCCAAGTGTGTTGCTAACAGGTGGACAGCTGTCTTCTCAAAAAGTTTCTGTTAACATTTTCCTATTAATAGAAAACGCTGATTGTTCTCAAGCAAAGACTCGGCTCAAAAGGGAAGTGATTATCCAACTGTCCAAATAGAGAACAGTTTAAATAGAGAAGAAAAACCAAGACACTTCATCATCTTCCCATTTTAAATTGGTCACTTATCATCGTGAGAGGCAGTGCTTTATGCTGGCAGACTATCTGAAAAAAAATGAAAGATAGAAGGGCAGCAGGGATTGCATTTATTTTTGTTTGATGCTGCTTCTTCTTGGTGGTATAGAGACTTAGAGATAAGCTTAATAAAAGGAATTTTTCCCTTAACTAGAACCAGCCCCTCCAAAATCACTTTTTGCTGTCAACAAGACTCAGACCTCTGTGACTCTGCTGTGGGTGGAAGAAGGAGTGGCTGATTTCTTTGAAGTCTACTGCCAGCAGGCTGGATCTGTTCAGGAAACTAAACTCCAGGTATGTGAGCACCTCTTTGCTTTTTACTCTTCATTTCTGAAAGTGTGACTGGACCTTGACTGGACCAATAAACCTTCAGCTTTATTGTCTGCTGCTTAGCATCTGTCTTGTAAAGCCCAATGAAATTTTATGGTCAGTACACAGGTTTGGTCTTTCAACCAGATGTGGTAAGGTGGTTAACAATTAAACTCTTCAGAGCTGAGCTCCTCAAGCATTTCAAATGCTAAATTTGTGGGTTCTTTTGCAATATTAAGATTGGCTTCTGTCTTGCTGATGAGATTACTGCTGGTTCAACAAAAGCTATGTGCATACAAGACATCCAGCAGGGTCTCAATCTTTGGTTAGTCACGAGATGAACTCTAATATACTCTGCAAAACTTAAGAGGACACAAAATTAAGGGAACATCAATGGGCAGGAAGGAGAAAATGGTCAGATAACTTGATTAGCAATGGGTAAAATACACGTATTTAAATACCATGGGTCTGAGATCTTTTATGCAGTATCTAATTATTTCTGGTTTACTTTTTTCTTGGTATTGAGGCCAGATAAGTGACGTTCAGTAGGACCTTAACTGCTATTCAGATTTCCTTTATGTTGCAAGCATTGCAAATGTTGAAAATATTACTGCTTCTTGGGTGTTTTGTCTTCTAGGGTATTTCCTTCTAGGCTCACATTCTCAGCTTTACAAATGAACCTCTTTTTCCTCTGACCATTAAGGTACCTGTGCTCTGAGGTCACGTAAACATTGATAAAGTTGTTCTGTGAAAAGGAGGAGCAGTAGTAGTTTTGATTTGTTGCATGCCAATGTTGTGCAACATCTGATGATTACTTTGTAGTTTAGATGATGGTCTGGTGAATCACTGTGATTACATGCCATGAAACATCATTCTCTCATTTGGGTTCACACGAAATTGGGAAAAAGTGAAAAATACCCACTCAGGCCAGTGATCATTCTGAAAGATCCACACTTTTTAACCCAATAGAAGACCGGTCTGTGAATTATTTAATATTTTATTTATATCAAGAACGGTACTGACTAAAAGAGAAAATATTTAAATGCACTTTAATCTTTTGGATAGTTTGGATTCCACATCTAGATTCCTGCTTTTTAACTGTGAATAAAGAAAGATCAGGAAGTCATTACATACTTAGCAGAGATTCAAAATAATGATGTGATTGGGCAAGGGAGGTACCACAGGATTTGCAGCTTTAGTGCTGAGCAGTTATGTTTTAAGAACATGAGGAAAAGACTGCTCCATTTGGCAGGAACTTCAGTGGGTTTCTTATTTGTTGACGTGAACATCTGGTAGTGAAGGGGAAATGCACAGAGATTATCAGCTCACTTCTCATTAGATTCATCACTCTCTTTTCTGCCTCAGTGTAAAAGGGGGAAGGGCTCCTTTTAGAACCTTAAAAAAATGATGTTTTCTCATTAGACTGGTGAAAAATCTTTAGTTACGATTTTCCATGCTAATTACATGAATATTTTTGTACCTTTCTTCTATATTTAAATCAGCAAAATGAAAAGCATCAGCTTTTCACATTTGAACATCTTTTGGTTGATTAATTTAAATTTTTCTAGAGGGGAAAATAGAAAGAAAAAGTCATATCAAGTCCAATTGCCAAACTATGTTCACTCCCTTCAGCTCAGGGAATAAAGCTCTCCTCCCTTACACTCATGTACATATCATCTGTGTAATATAACTCAGAATTGCACTGCAACGGGAACCCTTGCTAGTCTAGAAGGAGCCCATGGCTGACAACAAGACACTGAAAAAATCCAGTGCTCAGGGCTTGCTGCAGGATCTTGCACTCTGCATCTGGAGTGAGTTCATTTGTGAAAATTCTCCTTGCTGCCTTTCTAAACCACTGGCTCAGCATCCCTGTTGTTGCATCTGCAACCCCCCTCCGGCCCTTCTGGAGAGTAAAGAAAAGCTTTTGAGGACCATAAGGACATGTATCTTTTAACTGATGCATGTGTGGTATTTGTTTTGTTTTGCCAGCTCAGTATTTATAAAACCAGGGATGTGTTAATTAAAACATGATATAAAGATATTATGTAAAGAATTTCTTCTGGCTCAAAAAACAAGCGTGGAATATCTGATCATGGTTATTACCCAAAGACTTCTCTCTAATTTTTTTTTTTCTTTTTTTGCTTCTGCCATTCAGAAGGCTCACAGCTCTTCACACCCAGAGGAATAGCCTCTGACACAGATGCGACCTGTTTATACAAGGGTGTAGAGATTGTGACTACCTTAGCTGCACTTTGAATAAAAATAACTATATTCCTCCTAATGTATTTTAGTAACCAGAGCTCATGAGCTTCCTGCTGACCCTAGGAGAACTTCTGCTGACCTCTGGGGATGTCCTGGGGGATGCAGCACCTGACCCCACCACATGTGTAACTGACAACCCCCTACAAGGCACCCTTCTGCCCGCCCCAAGGATGCTCTGGGACTCCCTGGGGTGCTCTGGGGTGTTTTCACCCCTGTTTTCACCCCTGCTGTTTGTGTGCTGTTTTTACGCCTGTTTCTCTCCCCTCTTCTGTCAGATTACCTGCCTATTTTCAAGGTCAGGCCCCAATTACCTTGTCTAGGTTTTGAATCTCTGCCCTTTTTACCAAACCTAACTTTACCAGGTCAAATAAGTGGGTGGAGAGGGAAGCAGGGATTGTGCTCTTGCATTCATGAGAGAGACAAACTACAGTGTATTTTTCCCCATGTCTGTAGGAACCTGTCACTGTCTCTTCACACGTAGTGACCATTTCCAGCCTTACCCCTGCCACCTCTTACAACTGCAGTGTGACCACCTTCAGCCACAATAGCCCCAGTGTCCCCACTTTCATTGCGGTTTCTACCATGGGTAAGCAGCACTTTTTTGCTTTCTTCTTCTTCCTTCAGCGGCAACATCTGTTTCTCCTAGCTTCTCTGTAAAGCTGCTCTCAGTAATGCTGGCACCACTGATTGTGTCATGGAAGGACTGCCAGATGTGGATGGGGAAGCAACTTCAAAAAGTTTTTATTAAAAAAAAACGATTGGGGTTTGACTTGCAAAGTTACAAACTAGTGGCTCAGTTCTCTACTGGATTTTAGAAGTTAGGGACCTGGTTTGTGGTTTCGAGGCTGAACATCAAGATACTGCCTGATGACATTTATGGAGAAAAATTTCTCCTCAGCCAAGCCCAAATGAAACAAGGAAAATCATATTGATGAGCTGCTAGGGAGAAAAAACACTTTTTGCTTTCATTGAGGAATTGGAGACAGGGTGAGAGAGAAGGAGAAGGGAGAATAGGTTATCCTGAGCAGTCAAACCCTGAAGAGATAGCTCCTGATGCAGGCTGCCTGGGCATGTAATGAAGTCTAGCTCTGCGAAGAAAGAAAATCAGTGTTAAACTGCCCTGAGCACTGGACTTTTCTTTAGTCTCCCATTCAGAATGATCAGTGTCATCTCTGCTTACTTAGGGAGTCACATAGCTTTAGTCACTGGGTCCTATACATCATACACTACTCCATCTCCATGATTTGTAGTCTAAAAAATGCTTCTTTAGGCAACTGTTGATGTAAAGTTATTCTGAGCAAGTAAAGCAGGCAGGTTTTTTCTTATTCTGCTCACTATGAGCAGAATAGGATATCTGGTCTCATGCTAGTAAAACTGTATTGAACAAAAATAAATCAAGGTTTTGTTATTGAGAGCTGATTCAAGATCATAATTAAAACAGAATATAGTGTTAAAAATTATTTGCCAGTGTCATTCAATTAATTTCAACACAGTGTATTAATGAAGCCTTGGCCTTTGGATCTGAGAAGATATTATTACCGAAGAACATCTTCAGAACTGAAATGTGCTTTGGAGACATAGATGATGAAGAATATATGTATTTTATATTTCCTTCTGCCTTTTATCTTGTGTTAAAGTGACAGTTAAAAGTTATATATAGATATATAGATATATAGATATGTATCAGGACATGTCAAAGTTTAACAAAATGCCACAGTGAAGTCATTTCCTCACAGAAATTTAGTAAGATCAATAACTATTCAAAACTTCCTTTTATCTATAGTGGTAGATTTTTCTCTTTGGAAAACTCCAGGCTGAACAGTACATAAAAATAACTATCAACATATAGGGGTGGAGGTGGGGAACTGTTAGCTCTTCTGACCTGAATAACCAAGAGCTCTTGTTTGTATGTACAGTCACCGAGATGAATCCCAACATAGTGGTAATCTCTGTATTAGCCATCCTAAGTATCCTTCTGATTGGACTGCTGCTGGTGACTCTTGTTGTACTCAGGAGAAAACATCTACAAATGGCCAGGTAAGACCAGATTGATGTTAATTCCAAAACTTTCAGACAACAAAAAACACGTCATGACATTAGTTGCAGCTTGTGTGCATGGGTGATGTTCGAGATGCTTGTGAGTAGGATACCTTCAAAAAAGCAGTCTCTCTACTCTTTAAGAGTATAGAGTATCAAGTCTTCTCTTTCAATTTTCATTTTGGACCTTAGCTATGAGCATCAACCTTTGTCTCATTATGAGCTTTGCTGGACTGGGTAAATGAAAAGTGCAGTCACCTGTTACAAAAGGTTTGTGTCAAAAACCTGAAGGGTGATTAGGGTCTGAGGCAACTAGGCATGGGCAGGACATGAAGATGCTTTGCAAATCTTTCATATGGCTTGGAACAGATTTTCTGTGTCAACAGATAAGATGGTTAGTTAATCAGGCCCAGGATGCTGTATTTCAGGTGCCATGTAAGGCCTAAGCCCTGTCAACCAGGGAGAACTGTGGAGGATTCTCCAAACTCTCTGTATGTGTTTCACCTCCCGGGTCTGGGAGGGTCCTGGAGTCTTCATTCTTTTTTTTTTTTTATCTGTGTAGTAGAGTTTATATTAATTTACTCTTCTGTGTAGAGAAAGAAAATGATTTCATGTAAAAAGCTTTTGTGAATAATCTTGGACTTGGCTACCTTGCAGACTACCTTTTGTGTGTTGTATCTTGGCTATATATTCCGTGCTAGAGATGACCACATAACAAAGATTTTTCAGGCCATATCTTTCAGTGGACAGTATGTGTTTTGTTTCTTTTACATGTGACTTGCTCTGGGAAAATCCTGGCTAAATTAATTTTCTTTCCTATTGAATTACTGCGCAGGCAGCCCAAAGAGTTTTTCCCCTCTTTGTCACTGCTTCTAGTCAAAGAAGATAAAAAACCCAGGAGGAAATTAAAAGTAAATCCAATGAGAGTCTGCAAGCAACTGTTGGTTTAAATCAAGGAAACAAAAATAGTCAAGTCAGTTTATCATTTGCAGCAGAAAATAATTAATTTGTGATAAATTTACTGGGATATTACTCAGGAAATTCAGTATTTTTCACATTTATTATGTGAATTCAAAGTTACCATGTCTCTGTCAAATGTAGACAATTATGCATCTTCTCTTTATAGAAGGTGGGACTATAAATATTTAGTGTAGAAAAGTAAATCCTTAGTCTGTGTCCTGAAGCCAGCAAGTAGTGGTAGTGCCAGGCTATAGAAAGCCCAAATCTGAACAGAAGATGTGGTTTATTTCAGTTCTTTATTACCAATCTTTTCCTTTTTTTCAGACTTTTTGAGGATTATTAAAGACCCTGGTCTTGGGTGGTGTTGAACATTTACTTGTTTTGGAGGACTATATTAAGGGATTTCAGTTGTGTTTATAATACATAATCTCAGACCTAGTCACAAATGTGAGTGCTCAGCACTTCCCAGAAACTTCTGGAATTCTCTGTTAAATCAAAATCATTGCAAGCATTGAAAATCCAAAAATGGTAACTTTATACCCAACTGTCTTCCTGAAACAGGGAGTGTGGGGCTGGAACCTTTGTCAACTTTGCATCTTTAGAGAGAGATGGAAAGCTTCCATATAATTGGTGAGTGTTTTAAAGCAAAGCTTTTAATTATATTTTTCCCTACCTCTGCTTTTTGGCAAATATGATATTTAAATCTTAAAATCTTATTTGTATGTGATCACTGTACCTGATTAAGATAAAACCACTATTACTGTTACTTTATTACTTTATTTCTTGAATGATGACTAAAGACTGTATACTGTCACCTGGTATTTTTAGTAGGGAATGATGTACATGTATACATGTCAACCGAGTTGCATACATGTGATTTTGGAGCATATATATATAAATATATATTTATTTATTTTTTTACTGACACATTTTTATTGACACATAATTCCTAAAATAACAGAAGTGTAGAAACTTGATCTATAAGTCCATCAGCACTTCCATAGGAATATATTTACACCAAGGAATAAGCTTTCCTGTAGATGATCAATTAGCAGGTGTCTTCATGCAATACCACTAGTTAATTTTTCCTTGGATTGCAAGACAAGGGCAAACCAACTCAAATATTTACTGTAAATTTTTGTTCAGTACAGTAGAAATGACTGGAAGAAAAACTTATTCTTCCTAGTCTAGAAAATCACCTTAAAGAGCTGCAGGCACTGACTATGGACTCCAAACCATCACTGACACTATCAGCTGAAGAGAAGTATTTGAATGTAGTCTTAGAATTAGCTTTTATAGAAGCAAAAAGTATCTAAAATCTACCTCACTGCTACCAGCATGGTCATTCACAACCCTATTTTGATTATCAAATGGGTTTTTACTATTTTGTTATTAGCAATCTCTTCAAAAAGATCCATGACTTTCAAGGCAAGTCCAAACACAGATATTTAAAAATATGCTGTCAGCCCCCTGAAGCCTCGTTCCAGTATGTAGGAAGAAGAAAATATGAGCCTTGTGTTTACACACATGGTCAGCTTTGTTGATAGCTAAGTTGGAAAGAGGAGTTAGTGTGCTGGGAATTGGTTCCATGATCTCATGGGACACAGCCTGCCAGCAAGGAGGACAGGATTAAATGGATTGACACAACACCACAACAAGTCTTTTGCTAATAAACGTGTAAACTGAACTAACAAGCCCAGCAAATCCTGTCAATACCTCTCTGTGCTGCTAATTAACTGGTTATTAAACAAGCTTTTCACTTGCTTGGTTTAGCTTTAATAGCAGCCAGCTGTATGCAGCAGAAACTAATCTCTCTTTCAGCTTCTCATTCTTGGACTATATTAATGGCAACAAAGGCAGAAGATCAAACACTCGTGTTAATTAAATATCCAAGCCTGAATCAAATGATTAAAGTAGCAACAAATGTTATTAAAACCATAAAAAGCTTTTTTATGGGAAGAGGAATTAATAGGTATGGATGTGTAAGTGAAGTTTCTCGTTGCTTGATTTAGTATATGTGCATGTGTGTGTGTATATATGTATATATGCATAAATTATGTTACAAAAATATAAATTTTGGAAATTATTCTGCTTAATGCCTCCACAAATGTTTGGTATTTGAAGTCAGTATGCCCTAAACTTACATTACTGACTTCTCTGAGAGTTAGTGAAGATACCTTGTTCTGTGTGCCTCTGTTGTCTAATCTCAACTCCAGATTCACTGTCCATCCAGGCAGGCAAATGGGAACCATGGCCCCAAAGACAGGTACAAGAATTAAGAAACCGATTTTGCTTGGTGTCATTCTGGGGTCCTAATAAGGGTGCTATGGGTGTATCACTGATTCCTAAGGAAATTTCAGCTCAGCAGAGTTTTCAGGACTTTGCTAATCTCTGCATCTCTCTCTTTTAATTAAATAAAATTCAAAAATCAGTACATCTGAGCAGTGGGTGAAAGACTGCATAATTCCAGAAAAACAAAGTTTTATTTATTGGGCAATTATGTGTTTTTCATACATTGAACAAAATCAATTATTTTTTCATGCTGGCAGTTCCTAAATCTACATTGTGAATGATATAAGCAGGTCTGCAAGCATACTAGCTTGTGATTTGGTAAAGCGTCGAAACTGCTCGTGATGATTTGACAATGAAAGAAGATACAAACTTAATTAGATCCTACTGCCTCTGCAGACAAAAGGAAGTAAACACTCTGGAAAACCTCATTTGGGGTATCCCAAAGAAAAGATGACTATTTTGGCAACATCATCCCTTCTTTCTCCTAAGACTAATGAAAACCTCTCTGTGGTGCTAAAGATCTGCTTACAGAAGGCCAAAATTTATCCTCAATCTAGTCCCGTGGAAACCCTGATGGCAGATAGGCCCTAAAGCCCTGATCCTATAACTGCTTTGGTAGATAATTATCTAGAAAGCTGAATTGCTCTGCTGTCTTCACTAGTGTTGTTCTCAAAGCACGGAGAAGTAATCCACATCCTCGGTAACATGACTGGTTTCGTTGGTCATTTTTATGGGGAGAGTGGCTCTCCTGCAGAGGAGCTGGCAGAGGAGGAGCTCCCTTTCCAAGTTTTACGTAGGGCTCTTGCTTCTGGCCAACTCATGCTGCAATCCCTACCAATGTCTGGGGAAGTTACCTAGCATAAACTGCACTGCCCATTTTCTCCTTAGCAATAAAACCCAATGAAATGTATCTTGGAGTTTTCACTGTGTGGGCAGTTTTCTATCCCTAGTTGGAAGATTGATATTAGAGGTTATTACAGTTGATATGACTTGCTTTTCAGGGAAAACAGAGTATATACCTACATCATAATAGCCAGGAGCATTGAAAAAAAAAAAAAAAAAAAAAAAAAAGGAAATTTCACTTTGTGGTTCTCTAGAACAGTTGTGGAAGGATGGTATTACCTTTGAGACAGCAGACTTTCTGATGAGAAACAAAAAAAGGAGGGGGGAGTGTATTTGGCCAGAAGTCTTATTACTGTGGCAATTTTTACTGAAGTTTAATAAGTTTTTCACATCTGCAAGGTGCTTATATCCCCCTCAACCACTAGGAAGAACGGGCCTTATTGTGTTCCCTGAGTTAATTTGGTAAAGAGGTTGCAAATACAGAAGTTTGGTACTACTTTGTACTCAAATTTCCTTTAGCCATAATGAAACCTGCTGAGGGTAGTTATTCATAGGAGCCATGGCTAGAGGAAGTTCAGGTGATATTTTGGTGAAAACCTAGAAGAGAATGTAAAGTACAGATAGGACTCTGCAAAATGTTGTGTGGATGTTTTCAGAAATCTGACTCAATGGAGAGTATTAGGAGATACTGGAATGATCTGTATTTAACTCTGATACAGGCATTCCTACTGGTACCCACGAGATCAATTGCAGGAACAAATGTAGTAGATCATCATAGTCATATGTGGTAAAAACAAACTACATCTGTCCTGCAATAGCTCAAAACATCAAAAAAATAGATTTAGCACCACTTAAGTCTGGTGCTAAAACCTGTGGATAAAACTCACAATCACTTTACTCTCTGAAAATCTGCCAGTTTATCATATTAATGCTGAATTAGAATAACAGACCTGAATCAAAACCACAAAACGCATTTATTCCGATCATATAGAATTTTATTGAGGAGTAAAAATTCTGTGGATGCTAATAATATTCTTATGAAGTAAGTAAGAAGAAGCCTTTATGGATTTAGCAGATTTTTAAAATAGAATTTGCTGATCTCCTGACTTCTGTTTGTCTTACTAACTCCTCACTTTTTCATCTTTATGTATGTTATTTATTAATGCTCACAGGCGTAGAAGTGTATTTGCTTTCCTAACTCTGCTACCCTCATGCCTTTGGACTGATTATCTTTTGGCATTTTATATTAATCCTTGGTAAGTGATTTACTTGTTTTTCCATATGCAATATGTAACCGATGTTAATTTCTATTACATGAAAGATGTGTGATTCTTTTATTTTCAAATGGTCAAAGCTCTTGAAGTAATGATTTTCTTGTACTATAACATGGATTGGAGAGGATGTGGGTATCAAAGTATTTGCTACCCTGCTTTATATATTTCATATCAGTTTATGCTCCAACCTATTTTGATATTAAAAAGCTAATTTCATGGTGATAATCATACTCATTTCGTTGCTGTCTCTTTGCAGTTTTTGCCATTTCATTATAAATCCTGGCATCTTCTGTACGAGTTATTCATCTGTTCATTGCCTGGCATTGCCTTCTGCTGCTGCTGCTTTTCACATACTAAAATTTCTTGATATTCGCCCACTTCTCTGTTGTGTGATGTCAAATGCCTTTGTTTTTAAAGGTGTAGTTTTGCTCTACTGACTTCAGTAAAAGTTTTGCTTTTGGAGACAACAATTCACTGAGGGTCCATACAAACTAGCATTCCCCAAGTATAAAAATCTTGTCACTGTGTGCATGTCTGTGTGTGTGTATTTAATAGTTTTGTCTCAAATAGTTTATAAAACCTTAGTAAAGTATTGATATATATATATTTAATACTTATCCACCAAAATCCGAGGGTCTATTTAGAAACAGAACTGTTTTATGAACTATTTACTTTATATATATATACATATATATATGTATATATAAATGGGCTATGATCCAAAAATACTATTTTCTTTACATAATATAAACTTATGTTCCTGATGGTCTGGAGTCCAAGGGATAGTGATGTACAAAAATGTGTTTGGTATCAAAATTAAGATTTACTTTTGACCAAATATTTTCACTTATGTTACCACAGAGCAACAGTGCCCTGGTTAGGTAGTCATAGAAATTTTCAGCATAGAGATTTCTGAGACTGGTGTTCTTTGGGTCATGTTGACTCTGTAGAAGATACAAAGAGCTATCTCTTTCTTTCATCCCTTTGCCTCTTTTTGTTTAGTATGCATTATGAATATTAATATCATTAATATCAATATGCATTAACTCACCTCTCCAGATGTGTGTCATTCTTCAGAGGTTTCCACTACAATGAAAAGCTACCTGGTTTAGTTTAGATGACCAACTTTCAAGGAGTTGAAGTTGAAAAGAGATAAGATGAATTGCTCTCTTTGTATTTTAATCTGTAGCGTAAATGAAAGAAAAGATGAAACACTAGCTAACATTTCAAAAGTGTTTGTTTTGCACACACATTGGTTTAAAACATTTATGAACATTCATTAAACAAATACAGCACTAAAAAGGCCTTTTGAGGAGTCTCAAAGCACAAGAAATTTTTGATGAGAAATGGATGTCAATCATTTATTTTAGTTTTGAAGTGTTCCTTGGAGAAGAATTCTTAAATCAGTCCTGTCATAAACAGCACCCTGATTTTTTTTTCATTCTGAAATGAATTCCAATCTACCCAACATTAAAGATTTATCATGGTCATAGGGGATAGGAAAGAAATGCATTGAGTAATTTAAGTAAATTAATTTTAAGATTTCTTTGGGAAACAAATCTTTGAAGATGTAGAATAAATACTAATAATGTATTTATATATTATATATAAAGAGGTGACAAATAGATGACAGGATCTGTATAGTTAGCATTGTGGGCTGAAGAGGTATATAACAATTCTTTGCAACGTAAAGTAATACTTTACACTCCACATTAGTGTAAAATTGGTATTACCCATAGCTCTTCTTAACTCTGTAGGTGAAGCTTCACATCTAAATGCAAGTGTACATTGAAAAGATAAAAAAAAAAAAATACTATAGCTGTGGCTGCTCCAGAAGCTGAGCATTCTGTAAAATTTAATTTTGGAAATTAAATTTTTATTTTAATTATAAACTTGGAAGGGAAAAAAAAAAAAAAAAAGAAAAGAAAAAGAAAAATGCTCCACTTCCTAATATTTCTTTTTGTATCTTCATTTTTTTGAAATGAAAAGTCTTCAGTTTTAATTTATCAATTGAAGCTATGACACATGTATCTATGACACATGTATCTAGAAATAATTTTACTATTATCATGAAATTAAAAATTGTATCATTATAATGTGATTAATGAACATTATTTGACGCCCAGGGAAAAAAAAATGACACCACTAGAATTCATTATGAGTAAGTGAAAATCTACTCAAACTCTGTGCTTGGTTTAACAGAGAGGATCAGTGTTTTCAAAACTTTATCCAAATTATTTGAGGTTTCTCACTTAGTGCATTTACTCTGGTTAATTGGGTAATTAATTGTGGAACCAACAAAATGAACACACATACACACACCCTCCAAAAATCCACATGGTGGTGGTTAGTGTAGTGTAGTTCTTAAGTCAATTTCTTATGGGTTGTACTGCTTTAACTCACTCATAAGCTTGCTATCACCTGTCACTACTGAATTATATCTCTTATAAATCATGTGAAGACAAGTGTTTTACATGACTAGCATAATTATCTCTAGCTGTTAAAGTCAATTAAAATTATCTGAGGTTTAAGCTTTAGTCCCGCTGAAGTAATTAGGATATTTGCCATTGTCTTCATTGATCATCCTAAGCAGGTTATGCAATGAGTGACAAATAGCAACAAAGCCCTTTCCTTTCTCCTTCACCGTTAACTGAATTTGCAAGTGGTCTTCTCTTCCCTTTGACACTTCTTGTCACTGGTTGCTCTCTAGCATTGGCACCCATTTTCCCAGACCAATAGAACCAGAGTGGAGCAGTATGGGACACGTTGGTTTTCCATCCCCTGCAACAGCAGAGACCCTGCCAGGCTCGGCTGGGCTCAGAACTCAGCCCTGGCCCACATGAAGCCAGCATTGCAGTTGGGTCAGGATTAGCCAAGGACCCGTTGCTTGTTGGAACAGGTTTTCACAAGGTGGTAGTTCCCAGAGCCACTGAATGGAAAACACATCCCACTGGAATCAATGCAAATTTTGCAATCAGCTTTAAAATGACCAAGATATTATCAGCAAGCTTATCATGACTATTATGGTGGCCAGTAAACATGCACTCTTGAATCAGTACTAATTATAAAGAATATATAGTAGTTTAATGAATGAAAAACACATTTATTTATTTATTTTACAGGAGTAAAAATGGATTAAAGAAGAGGAAGCTGACCAAGTATGTAACATCTTTGATATTTAATTAATTTTAAAATAAAATTTAAAAAATCTCCTTAAACTAAACATCTATTATGTGGTATATGGTATAATGATATTGCAATTACATATATAGAAGGCTTCTTGGTAAACATGCCATGAAAGATGTCTGAAGGCAGAAAACAAATAGTAATTGGACAAAAGCAATTCTGCTCAACAGATAAATTGTGGTAAAACAGCTCCTCACTGATAGAAAATTAGTCATCAGGGAAATGATCAATTATCCAACTTAGTGATTCCAATGGAGCTTATCCTTAGTTAAAAATGACAAATGATGAAAAACTGGAATCCTTTTTTTTTTTTTGTGGAGTTATTTCCCTCTTGACATGAGGCTCTCATTACGTTTGTTGCTAGAACACAGAAATCATTAATGCTAACTGGTAAACAGGAGTAATTAAGTGGTGATAAGACAGGTTCCTCTGGGCATATTGCCTCAAAGTAAATGAAAAGATTACTGTGTACATGCTTCAGTAGCTTGTAAATTAAAGCATGATAATTAGGTGAAGGAAGCTGTTTACCTGTGTTTCCTTATTCAGAGTGTTAGGCTAATTGTTTCTCCTTTATGTTCAGAGACTCTGCCTGTTCTAAGGAAAAACCCTCACCTGGTGGAAAAATGTGTAGAATGATGAGTGTCACTAAATCAAAACTAATTTATACTCTGCATAGTTTTATATGCCACTTGTTTCAGCCACACTTGTTTCAGTCTGGGAGGATAATTTGTATTATATACAAATATGTAAATTTGTATGTAAATTTGTATAGTTCTCAAAGCCAGCAGAGAATGTTGTCACTGCAGTGACATCCAAAATGATGTTTTAACATTTTTTTCCAGGACCTTGTCAAAAAACAAAACCTCTATGTGAAATCCGTTTTTCTGTGTGAGCAAAGCTCAGATGAGTTTTAAAATTGTCATTTTGCCAGATGTTTTCCTTGCGTGAAAACAACCTTCTGCATGTCACAAAGGCAACTTAAGTGAAGAAGCATGCTCTTAGGATGGCATGTAGAGTGCTTTGCACCGGGGTGCTGGATCTCCCCACTTACCATGGTGTCACCTGCACCCTGGGGACATATCTACATTAAATGTGGTTCAAGGAGCAGGGATTTGTAGGAAAGGTGCATGGGCCATTCCCCCCGCTTCAGGCCTGTGGTTTACCTCATTTAGGACAACTCCAACCCCCAGCCCTTGTCAAACCCATCAGTGCCAGCAGCACTTGTATATAGTATTCTGAGGGAAAATAAAAATGAAATCTAGTACTTTTTTTTTTTCTTTCTCTTAATTTGTATGTTTTTTCTTTTTTTAAAGCCCTGTCCAATTGGATGATTTTGATGGCTACATCAAGGATATGGCCAAAGATTCTGATTATAAATTTTCTCTGCAATTTGAGGTAAATCTATGGGGACTCTGTCATCTCCTAGCTGCCATGACTAGATCAGCTTTTTCCAGATGTTAGGTTTGTGTGGTGTCTTCCTGTGCAACGACTGTGCAGTGTGTACTGTTTCTAGGTGGGTCAGTTTCACTTCAAGTTCTGCAGAATTTGAAAGCAGGCCTTGGTACCATTAAAGAACACATTTAGTAAGCAGATTGGAGTGTGTCATCATGTGTAATTCGAGACAATTGTCAGATCAACACACTTCCTTTAAGTATAAGACATGCCGATGGCCTAAATTGAATTAAAGGTTTTTACAGTGTCTTTAATTTGAGGGGCAGCAGTGGAACGAGGAAGTAACATCAAAACTCTCTTGAAGATCAAGGAAGGCTCTTAAAAATCAATTGAGATGCATTATCTTCATTACCCTGCATTTAAAGTCAGTTTAGTAATATAAAACTAAAAAGCTCCAGTCATAGAGCTAGCTCCCAAAGGCTTGAAGGGGGAACAAGAGGACTGCCAGGGCATTACCACTGCTCTGGGTGGCTATCATTCCCTTACTGCCAGTGAAAGTCCTCCAGTGCATCACGTTAGATGTAACTATTGAAGGTAGTGACTGGAAAGATTTTTCAAGCATTCCCTAGTAGAAAGATCAAAAGCCACTTGAGGACTCAGTGAAAACACTTTAAGTGGGGTGGATGGCCACCACAGAATTTGTCAGCCCCCTTGATTTGACACTATTTTGGCTAACTACATGTGGGTGGGGAAGAGCAGGCTGTTGTCAGAGCCTTGAGTGGTAGCAGTGCATTGGCACCATCAGTAGATGAGACCACATTGTTGCTCTGTGGCTGTTTGGAGCCAAATGTAGGGGCATCAGATAAATAAACTCAGGGTAGTAATGCTGTTGGTTTCTACTGTTTTGTAAACATTTTCAGTCTGGTACATAGCACAGGCATTCACTTCACAAAGAATCATTTTATGAACCTTGGAGAGTTTTACCTTGGCTTTTTTCTTTCTCTTACTCCAGGAGCTAAAACTGATTGGGCTTGACATACCACACTTTGCTGCTGATCTTCCCATGAATCGCTGTAAAAATCGCTACACAAATATCCTGCCATGTAAGTACAGTACATGCAGGTGACTGATAAAGTCCTTCGAGTGGGAAAGACGATTTTTAATAAGAGAATGAGGGAATCAAGACAGATTTTCTGACTGATAAAAGCCTGTTCTAAAGCTTGTCCTTAGAGAGAAGCAGGAAATAGGTGTTATATTGTTAGCTTTGAAGAGACATAGCTTTTGGGGGATGTTTGTCAAGACTGGAGTTTGGAGGTGGGAAACACAAGGTTGTTTCTACTACTGAGTAGTGGTACTATTTTTTTTTTCCTGTGATTTTAATGAAACATAGGGGAGCCCAAAGCGATGGTAATTGGAGGATATATTTTGCAGAACCGCAGTGATGGTGCATCCATGTAGTATTTAGTGAAGCAAACATTGTTCTCTGTTGGTGAATATGAGCATTCTTTATTTTTTTAGTAGTTTTTATTTTCAGTTTTTATAAGATACTTTTAATTTTTGGTAGTTGGAGTTGAGTGCTGTGCTTGATGTCCAAATTATTTCTCATTTCCTTTTACAGATGATTTTAGTCGTGTCCGGTTAGTCTCAATGAATGAAGAGGAGGGATCTGACTACATTAATGCCAACTATATTCCTGTGAGTAAGGACACTCTGGTCAATGTAAAGAACAGTGTCTCACACAGCAGTTAGAGCACATGAGCTGCAAACAGCACAATATCTTCTGGTAGCTCAGTTACATTATCAGCATCTCCTTCAGCTTCCAGTACTTTGCCTACAGGGAGCTGTGCTTTCCACCACCCACCAAAACAAAAGTGGGGTGGGGAGGGAGTTTTAACCGGTAGCACTCATAGTAACACTGGGTGCATTGTGAATCTTTGTGAAAATAATATTGAAGCAGTAGAAAAATGAGGAGGAAAGGTTAAGTGGTCCAGTGCCTTTTTAAGACAGCAAGGATAGCAATTAGAAACTTTTAAACCAGAAACGTTTCTGAGTTTCTACTGCACCTGGAAAAAGGATGATGCCAGATACTACAACACGCAAAAAGCATATAGCCCAGATGGTGTGTAGGAAGCACTTCTGCTTTTCATTGCTTCTAGTCTTCCCAATGTACCTCCTTCTGCCTGGCAATGTGCAGCTGTTTACACCCAGAACACCCAGAGTTTTAGGATAACTGAAGTGAACCCAGAGCTGTAGCCAAATATTTTGACAAAGGGGGTGGACTAAAACCTCATCATCTCTTTCCACTGTTCCTGCCCAAAGGTTTGCCCTTGTTTTATCACCCCCTTCTCCACTACCCCTTTGCTGGGGTTCAGTGTGTGCTGTGTTCAGGGAGAGCAATGTGCACTGCCTTAATCTGCATGGAGAGGCAGCAGGGCACTTCAGCATCCATTTAGAAGACGACATTTCACTTGGGGACCATATACAGATGAGCATTTCTGTACCCTTGTTGACAGAGTTGGCCCTGGCTGTGCTGGGGAGAGCTGAGTCAGGATTACGGAAAAGGGAGGAGCCCTCAAATGAGTCAGTGAAACCACTTCTCTGTCACTGTGGCATCGCCCATGCATGTGCTGCTGAGTATGTTGCCTGTACTTAGCTTCTATGTGGCAAGGGACTGAACATAAACACTACAGCTGCATCTGTCTGAGCTTGTAGTGAATCAAGAAAGAAAAATGTTCCAGTCTTCAAAAGCATCGTTCTCAGATCAGGAAACTTCTATGACATTGGATTATGGATAATAGGATTTTAGGTAGGCAGTCCTTTCTGGATTACCAAGTTCTGTTTTTTGTAGTTTACAGCTGTTTGGTTTTACTTACAGCATAATGCTGACCAAAAAATTGTCTTCACAAGGACAGGCACATCATCTTAATGCTTGTTTGTTCCTGAAGATTGCTTCTTTACCCCCCTCCAAACACTGATACCAGTGGTAATCTGTGTCTCCATGATAATAAGGATTCGCCACTTAGGCTGGACAAACAAACAAGGTTCTGTGTAACAGAAAAACTTAGACTACACTGACTTTTAGAGATGTCTAGAGGAAACTGTTTATGGAAAGTACTCCCAAAATGTCAGTATTTTTACAATCCACATACTGTGATGGCACAGAAAACACTTAACTTACATAGGATCATGCTGTGTGTTGAATGCATCTTTTGCTCTTTGGAGGAATATTAAATAACTTTCTAAAAGTACGGTTTTGCTGATGCAGTCTCTTCAAATATGGTGATACCACATGCTAAAATGTCCTTTCTGTGTATCTTTCACATGGTCTTTATAATGGTCTTCTTTTCTTTTTGGAGATGGGAAGGAGTCTTTTACAGATAAAAGCACATTGATAATGATAGGAGAAAAAATACATGGATGTGAAGTGTCTCAGCTCAGTAAAACATAACAATTATAATCTGTTAAAAGTCTTGACTGAGCACATTTTCTATTATTTTAAACTTGTAATTGTTGTAATTTCAAAATAAATTAAAAAAAAATCATAAAGTAGTTTATATTAGAGATCACTTTAAAAATACAAATTGAACTTGAACAAGCTAAAAAATACAAATGCCAGAGAAAAAATGGTGTTCTGAAACATTAAGCATGTCAGTAAAAAGCACTTGTCTCTTTGTTTCTTAGGGTTATAATTCACCCCAAGAATACATTGCAACCCAAGGACCACTGCCAGAAACAAGAAATGATTTTTGGAAAATGGTTCTTCAACAAAAATCTCAAATTATTGTCATGCTCACTCAGTGTAATGAGAAAAGAAGGGTATGTAATGAAATCTTTTACATCTTTCTTACATCTTTCTTGAAAGAAACTACTCAAAAACATTTATTTTCTTCTGGGTGGATTTATTTGCATTGTTTTTCATGAGGCAGCATCATAACCGTAACTTGGCTATGCACTTCATTAAGTTATGGGAAGCATTTCAGGATGATTAAAGGACTGGGGCATCTTTCATTTGAGAAGAAGCTGAGGGAGCTGGGGCTCTTCCCCTCGGGGAAGAAAAGGTTCAGATGGTTCTTGTTGCTGTGTGTAAATACTTGATGGGAAGGAATGGAGATGGGGGAGCCAGGCTCTTCTCAGTGGTGCCTGCTGACAGGACAAGAGACAATGGGCACAAACTAAAGCACATGAAATTCAATTTGAACACAAGAAAATGTTTTTTTACTGCAACGGGTAAGGTGGGGTCAAACACTGTCACAGTTTGCCCAGAGAGGTTGCAGAGCCTCCCTCCTTGGAGATCTTCAAAAGCCACTTGCGTGTGGTCCAGGGCAACCTGCTCTGGGTGCCCTTGCTTGAACAGGGGTTGGACCAGATGGCCTCTGGAGGTACTTTCCTACCTCAGCCACTCTGTGTTTCCATCCTTTTAAGTTTACATAAAAATAAAATACAAGTATGAGGCTTTATTTTTCCCTGATATTATAATAGAATAATTTGAAAGATAAGTTCTTTTTTAGCATATTCTTGTTCCCCATGTTTTGTTCCTCTTAGACGTCTTCTATGAAGAAAACAATCTATAAAGAAACTATACATTTTCATTCTTTGTTATGCTAATGCTCCCCTTCTGAAACCACTGTATAACCATATCTGTAGTTACACAGGCGGGAAAAAAAAAACAAGTTGAAAGCCATTGCAGGAAGCACCTCTTGTTGAAGCCTCAACAAAATAATTCTGTAGGCATTTCACTGCAGTTTTATTTTTGATTGTTTTGTCCTTCTTTTTTTAAACATATGGATATATATGTATTTACATATATTTCTGTTTCAGGTTAAATGTGATCATTACTGGCCTTTTACAGAAGATCCTATTGCATATGGGGATATTACTGTGGAGATGCTGTCTGAGGAGGAGCACACAGATTGGGTTTATAGGAATTTCCGAATTTGCTATGTAAGCAAAACATGTTGCATGGCCTTGCTGATGGAATGGGAGCTATGTTGGTCCAGACTTTTTATTAACTTTTGTCCATTTCTGGCATTCAGTGAAAAGCACCTTAAAAAAATGATTGTGGCCTTACTGTCACTTCACACAAGCAAATGTCTTAACCACAAGATTTTCCCCTAGGTTTGTCATCTCTGTGAACTTGTCAGAGACTGAAACAACAGTAGTACCATGGTTCTGGACATTTCTGTGGTTCTGGACATTTCTGTGGTGCAGATGGTTACTGACAATGGGCACATATAGTGTTTTTTTTTTTGTTTGTTTGTTTATTTCTTTAATGTCAGGCATAACCTTATTGCTATAAGCCATTCAAAACTTGAAAATAATGTAGAAATTGAGAATATTATTCAAAGGGGCAATTGTGCAATATTCATAGCAAAGGTTTCGTGCATGTCTCAGACAGGATCTTGAGTAAAAGTTGTCCACACAGATGGTTCTCCACTCCCTCCTGCTGCTGAAATAGAGCATTTTGCTGCTTTCATTTATTAAAGTAGACGAAATGGGAGAGCCTTGCAGCCTATCACAATCAGACAAGCATCCTGCGCAGCTGCTACAATAAAGCATGTGAAAATATAGCAATGAATTGGCATAAAACATGATGGGATCAAATCAGAGGTTGGGCTCTTGGTATCTACTGAAAATAATGATCAGAGTGTAGTTTGCTGTTCAGGTAAACTGTCCTTTACCAAAACCAGGGCAGCTACTTCAGAGGCTTTTGTACTCATCTCATTTTTAAAAACCTTTCCCTAATCACCTGCTGTTGTCTGTGACTGGAGAGGGATTACTAGAATAGGGGTATTTAGTCTGACCCAGAATAGCAAAACTAAAGGCATTGCTTGCTTGCCATGGGCTTTTGTCATGAGACCCTCCCCTCCACACACTTTCAGTCTCAAAGACAACATGTGTTGGATCGAGGATCTTATTTCACCTAATCCACTAGAGGTTTTAGCATTATAAATGCTTTTGTTAATAATGGGTATTTTTTTAAGGAATTTCCTTTGCTGTCTGGAAATGGTGATGTTGGGAGGTGATTTTTTCTTCCGTTTCAGTTACGTTTTTCTTTGAAACTTCAGAAGAAAAATTCTCATGAATCCAGTATTAACTGTTTGCCAACAGTGTTATTCTTTGTCCATGGCAGAAGAAAGAGAGAGGAAATGGAGTAGAAAGAGGAAGAAAGCCTAAACTTGAAAAGTGCAACAGTGCTTGATTTAAAAGGAAAACAAAACGAAACAACCATTAGGAAAGAGAAGGAAAAAATAGTAATCCCACACAGAAACACGAGTTCATGCCTGATCTCCACTTTCCCTACTTTTTAAATCAAATACCGTGTAAATACACATGTAAATGATAAGGTGGCAACCTTTTTGGTGGACTTTACTTTCTTAGGCTGTATTTGGATTTAAAAAAGCAACACAACAATAAAACCTCAGTCTGACTGAGCGTGACTGCACTGTTAAAACTCCTGTGAACATGCTGCTGTTGTGCTTTTCCCATTAGGCTGATGAGGTGCAAGACGTGATGCATTTTAACTACACTGCCTGGCCAGACCACGGTGTCCCCACAACCAATGCCGCCGAAAGCATCCTGCAGTTCGTGCAGATGGTCAGGCAGAAATCAGCAAAGAGCAAAGGCCCCATGATCATACATTGCAGGTAACACTTCAAGGCAAAGGAGAGCTGAAGGAGGTACCTGGTTAGATGGGCTGGGGAACCACTGGGAGGTTCTGGGATTCTGTTCATCTCTTAGGTAAACCAAGGATGGTTTCCCTTGTTTTTAAGGGAAAAGGATTAGTCCCCTGCTTTGATTGTGGCATGTCTGGGATTTCAGCCTGCACCCACAGGTGCAGCACTTCTGTCCAGAGGTGGGTCAGCTCTGGGGCTGTTACAAACAAATTGCTTTGCACAGCACAGCAGGAAATCCTGGTGTACAGTAGCTTGGAGTTGGCCCCTGCTTTCTCATTTCCATGCCTTTGCAGTATGGGTGGTGTAGTGTGTCTGAGAACATCGTCCTCCTTCTCCTCCTCCTCTTCCTCTGATTGCTCAGCTTTCGGAGAATTCAGAATGTGACATGAAGAGTATTATCCTGTGCTAGTAATAATCCCAGTATCCCATGATAACAGTTACATGTGCTTTTTTCCTTTTTTTTTGGAGGGATGTTGTTTATACGCTGACAGATTTATCTCTTGGGCATCATCTGGCCTTCTATTAATGCACTCGCTCCCTGGGCCCCGCCAGGAGCAGCTGCCGTGCTAGTGGTGATATCATACCAGATTGCTTCCTGACACAGCTCTCCCCACTGATTTCAAACCTCTTTGTGGCTTCTGGTGCAAGAGCCACTCACGATAGATTTTCAGAGAGATGTAAATAACCAGGTTGCAATGGATGAGGATGTATGTGTTATGGTGACATGCTCCAGAAGGAAGTCGAGGCTTGATGAGGTCTGTGTCCGCCAGCCTTGCATCATCCACCTCATAGGCAGCGTTTGCATTGCTGCACAATGTGTCAGCACCCTCCAGCGTGATCTTTCCTGTTGCTGGTCAGCACTCTGTTCCTTGCGACACACTTTCAAGTGCTCCTTTCCAGAAAACAGTCTTGTAGAGTAGTGTCTTCTCAAGTTCCCAGAAATGGCACCTGGTCTTCTACCAGAGTGCAGAACACGGGCATCTGTAAAAGCATCAAGTCATGCGGCCCTTCCCGACAACCTAATAGAGAAATTCATAGGGGATATTGTTTTGGGAGTCCTAGTATCAAGAAGGGTGCTAGGAAGTCAGGGAAGAGATTTGAATGTAGGGCTGTGAAATTAAACTCTTTATAATACTTAATTGTTCTGGGAAGGAGTAGGAGAAAGCATTAGAGAGCTGGAAAACAACCAGCTCCTTTTTTATCTTCTTTTTAATATTCTTTTTAATCAGGATGCTCATACCAGCAGAGAGAGAGTTTTTCAGACAATATTTTAGCGTATACTGTACTTAGACTACACAGATTAAAAGTAACAATGTTCTGAAATAAGTGGAAGGGGTGGAGAAAGAACGTATTGATAAACTCCTACAGCAATTGTTCTGAAGCATTAAAGAATGCACAAAACTGACATTTTTACAACTTTTCCACTTGTTATTTATGAATATATCAATTAATGAATCTGTCAAATAAGTAGATCAAAAAATCCGTTGTATTCCATTTGATATATTGACATTTTTTAAACAAGTACAAGAATATAAAAAAAAGACAACAACAACAAAAAAAACAAACCTGTTGCAACTTTATTGCAAATACTTCCAAGTCTTTTCTGAAAAATACAGCAAAACAGAAGAAACAACTTCTCTTAAGACACATGCTTCTCTCCTTAGTAGTAGAAACTCTGTTGGGACTCTATAAAATTGTACAAAACCTCTGAAACCACACCCGTAATGAAATCAGACTTCAGAGTTACACATGAATTCACAATGCAAAGAAATATTTACATATTAGAAGCTATAAATCAACTCATTATGTGTTTGTTTTTCCAGTTGCTAAGCATCCCTGTACGAAAAATGAAGATTTTTCAGCCAAGTGGTTGCCATCTATTTCTGTCATGCTCCCAAGGCAGAATTCCTGGAGCAAAGCCTCCTCTGGATGGTTTGTCCTTTGAGGATGAACACCAGTAGTGCAGTGCCTTTGCAAAGTCTCTAGTTACTACCACAAATGCCTCCACATAGCAGTCACAGCAGAGCAGGGCTCTCTGCGCTTATGGCTGCAGCTCCTGTAGTGTGGGATTTCTCATAACTTTGAAGGGAGCACTGAAAAGTGGGATGAGCAGCCAGTTAAGGGCAGATGAGTGTGTGCATGTGCATGTGAAAGAGATGAAGAGGAGTATATGAAGGTGAAATAATTGCAGAGCCATCCATCCCATACATTCTGCTTAAACAATGCATGAAGGCTTGCATGGCATTATATCCCCCAAATTAACCAACTTGTCTGACCTCAGATTAGCTACATCCGAGGTGCAGGACACCTGCTTTTCACACTACCACTGATTTTCCTGTGTCCACACCTGAAAAACCTAAATGTTGTTCTTGTCTGTGTGTTTTGCAGTGCTGGAGTGGGACGAACAGGAACTTTCATAGCCCTGGACCGACTCTTACAGCACATCCGTGACCATGAGTTTGTAGATATATTGGGCCTGGTGTCTGACATGCGGTCCTACAGGATGTCCATGGTGCAGACAGAGGTAGGATGCCCACTCAGTTCACTTCAATGTGGATGTATCATGAGACCTGTCTCATGCTTCTCTGCAGCATGCTTGTGTCCACTGACTGTTGTTCCCCCTGAACACCTGTCAAAACAGCTATGGGTAGAGACATTTAAGTTTTCATCTTCATTGTAATATTGTCATATTATTAATCTGCTGCATAGGTGATAGTCTGATAATAGATCTTCAATGTTACTGATGTCTTCCAGAGGGGATGGGCTATTCTCACCTGAGAAATGGAAGCGTGAAAATCCATTAGAGGAGATTAGCATTTGAAATTTTCAAACCATTTTGAAAAGTGTTGGACTTGCTGAAGGGATTAATGACTTATGAAGTGATACCAGTATTGGACAGCCATTCACACCTTTGAAAAGGGTATCATATGGTCAAGCATATTAAATAAGTTACATGATGGCAATACAAATACCCAAAGTGGAAGAGACAAAAGACCTCTAAGAGAGTCTGCCAGACACCCCCTCTCCCTGCCCCTGTATCTACTGGGTATTTCTTTTTCTATTCTTGAGGAAAATGTCTGAATAGTCTTATCAGAATATTTGTATGGAAAAATATACAGAAACTCTTTTTCCAAAGCAGAAATTGTTATGCATCTGAAATGTTCCTGTTTCCTCTACTAATGATGGAAAGATTTCAGTGCAAACTGGCAACCCCCACATAGCTGGAAGCACCACCAACACTATTAGCAGCCTGAGTCTGGCAGATAATCTGTTGCCAAGGATTGCTTATCCCAGAGCAAAGCAGAGAAGATTTAGCAGGGATGGGAGAGGAAAAGGAAAACCTGCAGGACACCAGCTACTGCCTAGAAATGAATAAGGTCATTCTCAGGCCATTCTGGATCATTCCCACCAACCTGCCACTTTTTGTCACGATCCCCTAAATTAATCCAAAGGCACATCCTTATGTAAACACCAGAAAGCAAATCTTGGTGCTTTATTTCAGCTGCAGCTTCATTACCGCTCCAGAGGTGATGTGACTTTTTTCTTTTTAATGTACAAACTCATTGTCTGCCTGGGGCTGATGTCAGATTCTCAGTTTGGGTGGTTGCTGAGCTTCTGCTGCTACAGGCAGTGGCTTGTGCATCTTCTTACTGCCTGCTGCTGCCCGTCTTCTCACTGCCAAATGTGCAAACCCACATGTACAAATCATACCTCTTTTATGCACACACGCACACACGCGGTGAGAAGGCTTTTCTAATGCTCTTGCAAATTAGATCAGGATGAAAATGTTCCAGGAACAGGTGCTAATATTCAGGATTAGATACCCGGGGCAGGATCAGACCTACATAGCCTGTCCATATTGGAGAGAGCAAGACCTACATCCTAAACTTGGTCAGCAAAGCTTGCTGTAATATATACAGGTGGCGGGGGCGGGGAGGGGGGAATATCCCTTCTCATGGGCATGTATGGGCTGTCTGCAGTGGCCAGCTGTGGCCTGGGGTTTAGTTTTTGGGTTAGTGCAGCAGGGGGGGCCGCAGCCCCGCCAAGCCCTGTGCAGAGGTCAGTAGGCGGCAATGAAAACCCAGGCACTGGAAGGATCACCTTACAAAACCTGAAGGCACACACAGCTCACCTGGGTTCATGTTTCCTCACATGCTGGAAACTTGGCTGTGTCTGACAGAGAAGTTTTTAAAAAATGGCAGAAGCCCAAAAAGGGAGTTAGAGTAGAAAACACTGAATGAACACACTGAATTGAAACCAGTCACTCTGAGTTAATGGGAGTGAGGAAATCCAGGCATTTCTGTGGTCCAGGACATGTTTCAAGCTCATCCTGATACCTGCTGGGATCAGCAGACCACTGGGGACAGGGACTGAAATCCAGACTCAGGTTTTGGAGCTTGAAACTGCCTCTGTCTTGGTAGAGTTGTTTTTGCTTGAGAGCTACTCGCTCTCCGTACATGGTCAACATAAGGATTACTGGAGGATTCATCAGGGTTTGCTTTCTCTGCTTGGAATAAACTCAAATGATGACTGAGATTTAAATTTGAAACGCAGTGTTTCTCTGTATGATGATGTAATTCAGAAAAAGCAAACCATAACCAAAATTGAAGATAATCATTCTTTTTGCATGGAAAACCTGTCCACAAATATAATGGTACCTATGATTTACTCAACTTGCTTTCAGAGTCACTTGCACAGTGGGTGATAACTCCCAAAATAATTAAGTGCTCTGTGTGCAAAATCAGATTTTAGCATTTTACTGGTAAAGAAGTCAAGCATTAGGGAATGTGGAGCTCTTCAAAATATTTCAGGTGTATGTGTGGCATGGATGTAATTTGTTGTACATAAAGAATTTGGTTACTTTTCTGGGAATTAATTAATTTTCAGGCAATGTAATTATGCACTTCCTAAAGGCCATATAGAGCCTGCAAGCTGAAGACCTGAGACCATGTAGTGTAAGTTACATCTCTACCATGAAAAGACATCAAGTGCTGGGTTACTGCATGCCACAGGTCCCTGTAGTCAATTGCCCCTCTCTAACTGGTCAGGACCACAGGACCAACATTCCTCGTCCTGCAAAACTGCCACCACGGACTGTGTCAGAGACTGTGACAGTGAAGAGCTTAATTTCAGATTTAAATGGGAAAGATAATTCGCACACACAGCAGTGCCATTGCTCAGGAGGAAGCGTGTGACTTGCACTGTGGCTGTCGTCTGTACAGCTGGCATGTGCTTGCACAGCCCCCTCGTAGCACTGATTAATTCATACTGTGCAGTCAAAAGGGGAACTGTGAATGATGGCAACTGTTGTTTCTACACGCAAGTAAGATTTCCAGTAAACCAGGTTATAAATATGGCGTTATAAATATCGGCCATCATTACACACATTGTTAGTAAGTAATTACAATGCTAGGGCAGATTTTGATGCTCAGGTAGATTTTGGTACTTCCACTACTCCTACGTGCAACAGCAAAGGGCTATTATTTGGGGAGCAGACAAGTCACTGTACATTGTGACAGGATGAGGAGGGAGCAACAGAGAAGATGTGCAAACTGTTACTATGACCTATTGAGCTGTTTCACTGTTCAGGCTTTTGTCAGGCTTTCTCAGTTGTGAAAATGCCCATTCATATGTTTCTTTCTTCCAGGAACAATACATTTTTATTCACCAGTGTGTGCAACTGATGTGGCAAAAGAAGAAGCAGCAGTTCTGCATCAGCGATGTCATATATGAGAATGTCAGCAAATCCTAGTTTGGAGTTACAGGTGGTAAGTCAGGCAAGCCTAGCCTTGTGCTATGCTCATGGCTTAGCATCACAGCTGCCTGGTAGCAACCAGTGTCACGGGGGTTTGCTCCTCACACTGCAGGAGCTTTGCTTGGGGTTTGGAGCTTTCTGAGCTTCATCCTCCTCAGAGGTGATTTTGTGAGAAAGTGCAAGCAAAAGTTCTTCAGCCTCTTGCATTAAATAAGCCTCCGTGCTTCCCATGTCAGTGTAAAGGTTTGTTGGCTTACTTGTTCAAAGAGTAAGAGTGTCATGACATCCTGAGTTACTGTCTAATCTATGCATTCCCACTAGCTGTCCTACCACACTTTGCAAAGTGTAAAGGATTCAGGCAGAGGGAAGTTATTTTTTTGCATCGGTCATTCTCATGTCACTCCCCAGCCAGGGTTTGGGCTGGGCTGCTAATACAGCAGGCCTGTCAACAGCTTCTCGAAGAGTGAGATGGTAGCCCAAAAGCTTTGACAAGAACCCCTGGGGAATCAAGAACAGGAGGCCGGCCTCTCAAGCTGGTACCACCATTAGCCACCATCATGCTGATCCAAACAGCCCCAGTTACTGACTGGGTGCGTGCAGCTAGCCCAGTCTCCGGGTCAGCATAAAGCACATCACTGTGAACTACCAGGCCATGGTTTGTTGCCTTCTGTCTACAAAGCTCATGCAAGCAAACACATTTCCTTGCGCAGTGGGGACAAGCTGTGAGGAGGTGAGTCACCAATGCTTGAGCAGCTGAGCTTTAGTTCATTAGGTGGCAGTAATAAGCCAGCCATAACCCTAACATTTGCTTTGAGGTGGAGCAGGAAACTGCACGCTTTTAACATAAACTGGCTTCTCAAGTAGCTGGTGGAAAGCCATGTTATAGGCTCCAACACTAGCCATCTCCACTGGGTTTCTGAGGTGTTGCACACTTCATTCCACTGCCCATAAAATGAACTATGACTTTGCACATGCCTCGCTTTTCCCTATGTCTATATAATTTACTGTCTAAACTGAGTCCCAGAACCTAATTGCTCATATAGGTGAGCTGTTGTAAGGATGTCTGGCAGAAATGAATGCTAAGATCCTTATTTATTTCCTTATCTAACGCATTCTGTCTGTGCTGTGCTGTTCCAGGTGAGACCATGAAGCACACCCATCTTCCCTTGCTTCCAATTTTTTTCTTTTGATGGCTCAAACTGCCAGCCATTCTACCACGAGAGACCACTGCCTTGCAGTATGCGGACAATGAAAGAAAGAAACTTTAACTTTCAGAAGCACTGGGGAGACAAAGCCTTAACGAGCCTGCGGTGTCTTTTGAACTGTTTAATTTCTGGACATTTTTTTAAAATACTGGACCAAATTCAACCGAACAACATGAAGGAAAAGACACTATAATATGTGCATAAAATAGATTGTTCCAGAGCATTTGTTATGTTTGGTACTTTCAGTTATTTTTTTTTCTGTGCAGGTTGGGCTTAAGGTTAAAGTAAGTGCAATATTTTTTTAGTGGTTTAATGAAGAGCTTTCTTCATGTGTCACTGGTCTGTGCTAATGTCCATAGGAGAGCAGGCATTGTTAGTATCTAATAATACCTCATTAGTGAATAGCGAGGCATGAACATACATGAAGAAATCTGGAGATTGTGAAGAGAAAAGGGGGGACGGGGGTGCTGGGTACCTAGATTGGGCTGTTTCCTACAGCCCTGACGTTCTGTGCTTGGGGCCTGGGGAGACACAAGACCTAAGGAATGGATGGACCATCAGAAATCCAAACCACAGAGCCAAAAGCTGAAGCAGGCAGCCAACACTGAGGAACTGTGTCATTTTGGTTTGTGACAGTGCAACTACCAATTAAGCAGAGGGATTGCTCTTTTCACCAAACTTTTCAGTAATGCCATTGATCAGGATGTTTTTTAATCAAGGTGCAGCTGAATTTTAAGCTGGGATATCTTAGACTCCATTACTATAGCATTTAACTGTCTGAGCAGTCTATGGTGCCTATGCCCCTCATTTGTTTATTATTTTTAATAAGTATTAAACCTGTGTAAAAATGTGAAGCTGATTCAGGTTGGGAAAAAAAAAAAAGTGCTTTAATGGATGTAACTATTTCTCCGGGCTCAGAATTCACGGTGTTACACAAACAGTTGTTTTGGCATGTGAAGGGATGGTTATCGTTTTATTGCTACGAGGCTGCCAAAGTGTCAGCATGGATTCCTGCAGGGACGTCGCGTCAGGGTGAGGGGCTCTTTTTTTTTTGCTGTCAGTTTCAGTTCTAGTCAGAATAATTAGCTATATATTTTTTTGTCTTTGTATAATTCCGGTACATCATTGTGTATTGTGACATGGATGCTGTCAGAATGGATGTTTGATAGCATTTTGTAGCCTGTTGCTTTGTGTCACCTCATTGGAAGTTAGCAGCAATGGTAAATCAATGTAAACAAAACAAACTTGAACTGAAAGTAAACACACTGGATTGCTTACCTGTGAAGAAGTCACTGTCAGCAAAGCAGCAAGTGCACCCCCATGTACTTCTTTCCATTTATTTTTTTATTTTTTTATTTTTTTTTTACTCCACAGCTTGCTATCACCTGTCAGTGTACCAGGGTGTAGTTAGTTTTAGTTTAGTAGCTCAGCCACTTCCAGGAGCCTGATAACATCCTTCGAATGACATCCAATTTATTCTGATTTTTTCAAAGAATTATTCCTCCAGCTGGTAAATAGGTATATATTCCTTTAACATCTACTCCATCACAGTAATGGTTATAATGGAAAACCATTTAAACTGTCCCACATACGCTATGCAAAACTGCGTAGACAACATAACCCTCAAATAAACCAGGTCCTTTTGAAGGGTATTGAAAGAAACAGGACTCTACCACTGATTATTAAATGGGTATGAGATGAATATCCCTCTTACTTCTCTTTCTATGCATCTAATACCACTTTCAGAGTTTCCATTGAGCCCTGTCCTAAAGCAGAGCTGCCATCTCTCTAAATAGGAAGCACAGAGATGGATGCGAATGGGCAGAGAGCCCTGTCTTCAGGGGGGGCAGATTGCTAACAAGAAAGGCTTCATTAATGTTATTTCACAAATGCACCTCAGCTGGAGGGCCTGCCATGTTATTAAGAATGGCAAAGATTTGCCCAGCCTAATTTGAAGAGAAGCCAGCATTATAAAAGAGCACAGGACAATTCAGACCTTGCCTTCATCTCTTTGTTTATATTTCACAGTGCCACTGCATGTTTACTTAGAAAATGTGTTCACCCCCTCTAGATAACTTCTAGCAAGGGAAAAAAAAACACCTTACTTTCTCATCTACTGCCTCTCTCCTGCTGTCCCTTGTCCACTGGTTCTACATTTATTATGGATTACAGCCCAGAGAAGCCATGTTGCTTTTAAAACACTGATGCACACACAAAATACCACAGCGTGAGCTGTCTGTAAGAGATCCTTGGATCAGGGTACAAGGTTGCTGCAAAGATGCCAAAAATCACAATGCTGCAAGCTATGCAGCCTGAATAGCCTGGTTTTATGTTTTTGAATGCATGTAAAAAAAAATGCTCCAATTACATGGTAACAGGTGTCTATTTTTCCTCTAATAGCTACTTCATCACAGAATCAGTTCTTATCAAAAACAACCAACCAAACAAAACTTCCTTCAGAAAAAAAAAAAAATCCTTTCCTTCCCTGTGTATTACTCAACTCTGCACACATGGATGTGTTGGGATAGCAGTGGAAACCACCTCTCCTGGCATTCTGCAAAACACAAGCAATAGGAGTGTCTGGGAGACAGTGTGGCTCAGAAGCAGCATGCAGAGCCTGTTAGCATGACTCGACATACAGCTACTTGTCCTGGTCAATGAAAGCCAGACCAAAAGAAGTTTGGAGTCATCCTGCATGTTGATGTGGTTTTGAATATCTGTCAAAACAAACCTATTTTTTTATAATGAATTTCTTGAATTACGGGAACAGAACAACTCTGCTGATACTATATATGATCTATATCAACAGCTGTTGCATTTATAGCAGCTACAGACTCAAAGGTAGGTTGGGAGGGCTGGGAGCTTTCACTGTTGTGGCAGGCAACAGTGGTAACTAAGCAGTTTTCCTGTTTTCTTTCATCTCCTGTTACTTTAATCTACAAATGTTAGCAAGAAATAGAAGCGCAAACTAATATCCTGATACTGGTTTTTGGTCTGGATGTTTGGGAATAAGTGAAAGGTCAAAGTTGCAACCTAAGCATGTAATTACAGGGAGACTAAAGAAAGATACTGAAGAGACAAAAAGAGTTTAAAAGGCACTTATTAGCTAGAAGTTAACATAGCAGCAGTAAAAAAGTCAACATGTTTCAAACTAGTTAAACATGGAACACAAAGCATTCTTGCAAAATTCCTCAGGTTTGCACTTCATGTACGTAACTCCACTGCTTGTGGCAAAGCTGGGAGGCTGAGCACAGACACATTCTTTCAATCATGCTTGATGTGCCTGACTCACTCCTCACACTGGGCTGCTTGTTTTGTGTTTTAAACATTGCACAGACTTCACGGGTGAGAAAATGATCATAGACAGACTGGGTTTCTACAAAATGGTGGCTTGGCCAGGAGCATATCCATTCATAATCATGTGTCCTTTATTCATGAGATGCAGCTCAGGAAAACAAGTGTAATATACCTGCTGGAACAAGGTATTCAGGCTGTATCTTGGTCATCTGTATGTCCTAAAAAAACCCCTGAAAACTCAAAATGCATTCACTTCCTATTTAAAATAATAATAATAACAACAACAACAATAATTCTGCTTTTTACAAGTTTCTTACTCTACATCATACCAGTTATCATGAGTATCTGTTCCCCAACACTGCCAGGGATGCTTTTTATTTCCCAAACACTGGTGAATACACTTAAAGTCACAGGAAGTTCAGTGCATTTCAGAGTACCATATCATTTTGGATGCCTACTTTCACATAAAACATTGATTTCTGCACAAACAACATTGTGGAAGTCTACACATTTTTTCTGGGCTCCAAGTAACACCAATCTTTCCATAACACAATGATTTGTGGTAATAAAAGGGTGTAGAAAAATCTCACTCATAAATCAAAGTTTGTTTGAGGAAAGCACTGTTTAGCATTTGAATTAATAGATGGTAAGCAACTTTGTCTGTCCACATGTCAACATTGGTTAGACATGTTCTTTATTAATTAAATGTGAGGTTTCACAGTCTTTTTCTTTCCTCATGCTGTCTCAGGGGAGGAAGCAGACTAAAGGACTGGGAAGAAGTAACTTGCTGATGTTACACAGTATGCGCTTAGAAAGTATAGAACTGCTGAGTGAGCATAGGCTGCTGAAACTCTCTCCCTCCACCCAGTTAAAAAGGCATCCCTGATGACAGCAAAATATGCAGCAGTTCTTATGTTAGCAAATGGGATTCCTCTTTTTTCACATGTTGTCAGGCACTTAAAAAAAATATGTATGTTTTGTTTCCTTCTCAAAGGTATTTTTTCACACATTTCATCTTTCTAAAACATTCGTGTTAAAAACAACAAACAAACAAACAACTCACTGCTCAAATCCTAAGGAAAAGATTTGGAATGAAACACTGCATTTGACCATTGTTGATCATTCTCATTGAAGACATAGAATTTTGAAGAAAATGTTTTATTTTCATTTGGTTAACCCTAAATCAAATCTCCTTTTGTTTTCTCGTAACTGCCAACAGCTGCAAATCGAAAAGCTGCATAGTGGAGGCACGAAGCTCCCTACAGTGCTTTAAACCATCAAAGAAAACCCAGCAGAAAGGGGAATATGTGCCTTAATGGCACAGTTTTCACAGTCTGTTACACAGAAATCATGCAGTCTAATTTAGTGTAAGATACAACCATGAGCTGTAGTGGTATTACTATAATAGTAATAATAATAAAGCAACAACAACAAAAACTGCAAAAAGTCAAACAAAAAACAGGGGAAAAATATTGTCCTCATCCCTAAAGTATGTGGAACAGATTTCTTGTTAACCTGCTGAGTATCTCCAAAGATGTCTCTGAGCATACTGCCCACATTCAGATTCAAAAAAAAAAAAAGAGAAAAGAAAAAAAAAACACACACACACACAATACAACAACAACAAAAAACAGCTGCAAAATTACCTCTTTCCTCTCAGAGATGATAATATGGGTGCTTCTTCCAAGACCTCTGTGTACCAAACTCCAGAATGTCTAGAGTCTCAGATCTGGTGCCCCCTTTGGGCAAAAGCAACCATATGTTGAATGCAAGAATAAACTTGCAGACAATACGAATATTGGCTTCATATTTTGGTAACTAACAAGGACTGAGAGATACGAATAACCACCACTATGGCTTTTATAGTATCAGATGTACTTTGCATGTGAAAACAGAGTGACCCTAATTTTTAAGTGCAACTTTCAAAGATCTTTTTAAAAGTTTCTTACTCCTATACTTGCAAGTAATGGAAGAACCTTTGTAAGAATAGTTTCAGATTTTCCTTTATATGGTTAGTCAGAGGGCTGTACCGTACAGCGAATGTGCTTCAAGCTAGGTATGGACACTGGTATATATGGACACTAGGTATATACATAAGGTGCAGAAACAATTTTAAACTTGGCCGAGAGAATAGTTCCTATCTTTTGAGGACTGGCCTTGAGTTTTAATAATAGGACAGGCATCGAGACAGACAATTTTCTCCCCTAAAGCTATGTGTATAGGTTGAATGGTTGTAGTCATGCATGTTGGCCAGTTCAAATGTCTCCTGCAGGAAGAATGCAATTGGGAATTGCCATTTCTTTAACTGGGTAAAAAAAAAAAAATAAATAATCAAATTCTTGGCAATTGCTATGGTGTTTGGAATCTTCAGTTTGGCAATCTTCACTTTCTGACCCATTTCTGGGTAAAGACCACATTTCAATGAGAGGCGTAGCACCGATGTACTTTCAACAGGTGTAAAGAATATATGTAGAATGTAATACTGTAGACAGACACATAACCAACACACAACAATATTTGTAAGGACATTTACAATAAATGGCACTAAACACCTTTATTAAGATTTTAATTTCTTTTATGAAAAAATGAATAGGATTCTTTTTTTCCTTCTATGAAGAAGAGCAAACTAATGGCAAAAATCAAGAACGCTTTCTTATTTCAATACCATCTTTGTAGCCATAAAGATACAACTATTTGACAAACAAGAAATACTGTTTATTGCAGACTAAGCTGATTCATGTGAAAAAGGCACTATGTAACTTAATCAAACCAGATGATTAAATTTGTCTAAATTAAGTGATATTATATATTATATATAATACATATATTATATATAAAATCACAAAACCATGTGAAGTAACAGAATATTTTTGTGAAAAAAAAAATCATTGCATCTTCAAAAATAATATTTGCTGAAAAGGATGTTTTCTTTTCTCCCACTTTTGCCTCCAGGAATCCAATTTTCCAAAACATTAAATTTATAATGGAACAATAGCTTTTTACATATGGAAAACTGACATCTGGGATCAACACACAAAGTCTAGATTAAACACTGTTCTTTTAACAGGTTAAGTTACAAACAAAAAATGCAAGTATATTAAAAAAAAAAAGTAATTCAAATTGTTTCATGGCTACCAACAGCAGATCTGACCCCCTCTTTGAGCTGAATTGTATTACTATTTTCTGTTCATTCCTTCTTGTGCAATATTATGGTTCATTATGAGTGAAGTATAGATAAAATCAAAGTACAGAGTATTATTTTGCTATAAACACCCTCATTAGTAATAAAACATCTTGGGAGTGATGCAAGAAAGATTCAGTCTATGCTGGGCTGCTGTTCATTCCCTAAATGTTTCCTCTTCAATTGCTGGCAACAACGACTTAACTAAACATCCTGCAGCTGAATGCATGACAAGAAAGACTGAGCCAAAAAGACAGAGTTGCAAAGCTGGCAATGGAATTCAGGATTGTATTATTACTTAAGGGTTCATATGCTTTTTATTGCTATCTCAGCTTTCCTAGGATGGATCAAAAACAAAGCCACATTCCAGTGTATCTGTCATGGAATGGTTAAAGCCAAGGCCCATCTTTGGGTGTAAGTGACTCAAATCCTAATAGTTTCACCTGTCAGGAACTTCCGTTGGATTTCTCAGCTGTTAATTTTTAATGATGGGAAGCCAGCAGCAGGTTCTTCTGGGGAGACTACTGTAAGTTTTCTCTATGGTGGCTAGTTAGGATTACACTGTATTAAGACATTCCCCTTCACTGCTTCCTAAAGCAAAGCTGGATGGTATAATGCTATGGACAATGGAATTAAAGAAAAGAGGAAAGACTTTTAGTGACTGCTTCCTTCATCAAAGGACTCCACACCTGAATCTGAGGCAGCTGCACTGATTTTTTCTTGTCTTCTTCTCATAATTTCTTGCAGTTCTGAACTACCACTGTTAGCCTGTAAACAAATGAAAAAAGAAAATTGGTTAATTTGAGTTTTTACACAGCATGAGGTTCCACTTACAGGATTTTATTAATGTTTGAACAAGTTAAACACACCTTGCAGCTCTAAAACAAAAACGCACTACGAATCCGGTTAAATAACGTTGGGAATATGAAAGGATTTACACTATTCTTTAATGTGGACCAGAAAAGAGCCTGAAGACTGTTAAAAGTGCCAGCTTGACTTTTAACACTGCTGAGCATTTTTACTTCTCATGCAAGCACCCATATGTCGGATATTTAAGCGGTGAAATATAGCATCAGTAAATGCAAAGTTAAAGTCCAACAAATTTGCTAGGATTCCACCCTTGAGTACTTAAAAATCAGGACAATCATATTTAGAAATTAAAGCACATAAACTCATGGGGTTTTAGATTTACGTCAACAAAAAATTCATGCACGCACATGGGTTTGCACAGCCATGGCCTAAGTAAGGATTCGAATACTTAATCTAAGTAACCCAAATTACACAATGCTCCATCATGGATTTGCTGTTAAGAGATGCACAGTCTTCAAACTCAGAACAGAGCAATAAGAACTGAATCGTATTAGTGTATTAGCAACAGTATTACCTGAGAACAATACTGTGGCTTTAATTCACATTTAGAGTGAAATAAAAAAGAAAAAGATTCTTCTGAGCTACTGGCAAACAGATTTCTTTGGCAATGTAAATGAAGTTATTAACAAGGCTAGGACACATCCACTAGAGCAGAACTTTCCAAAGCACGCATGACTTTGAATAAGGCGAGAAGATTATAAAGCAAGATCCATAACAGCTAGTGTTATTTGCCTGTAACATGACCTTCCAAGCTTCAAAGCTAGGTTCCAAAATATCCTCTCAATAAGGAAGCAGAAACTGGTTTTGAAATATGTAAAACAAATTTCAGGACAGTTATGGGGAAAAAATCCTTCCATTGATTCTTCAGCTTCTTCAAAATCCTCCATTTCTTAAAATTTATCTCATGACATAAAGTTTAATTTAGATTAATCCTGTTAGATCCATTACAATGCATTATCTGAAACTATTACCTGGCAGACAGGTTGAGCATCTACAGGGAGAGGGGCTTGTCCTAGCTAAATTACTATTGTTCTCTCCCCTTCTCCCTGGGTGGAAGGACAAAGCAAAGGGCATATAACTGACTCCTTGAAGGTGAGAGGGCACTGTATTTGTCTTAATTCATCTTGTTCTTGCCCATTTGGTTTCAGATACAGAGCAGTAGTCACCCATTACTGAAATCATGCATAAAAAATGTTAGCAAATACCTGGCAACGTGCTTTATCAAAGGTCATAAAGAAATATATTTTCTGCGAAGGACTGAGCAGCCAAGGCTGAAACAGTTTACCTTCCTGATACCATCAGTAACAGCATGACTGATGGGCTTGAAATACTGCTCAACTAAACAAACTGCAGTATATCATGTGGCCCAACACAACAGGCACATCCTGCTGAGACAAGGTATAACATAGCTAAGTAGCCTAGGGCTGTTTTGGAGAATACAGTTTTTGGAACAGACTGTTAGACCTTGGCCTCTGATCTACCCAACTTAGTCCCTAACCAGATCATGAGGTATCAGTAAGCCCCATCATTCAATCCCACTTCTACCTCTGTGTTTTTCCTTTTACCTAGGTGCCCAAGAGAATAAGCTCTATTTCCAGGCAATTTGATACACATACTAGATAAACTATTTTGAAGTGTGGCCATGCTTTCCACTGATGGAATAGGAAAATAACAGTAATGTAGACCTGAACTTTTTGTCATGTCTAGAGATGACAAAGGTGGTGTTCAGGATATTCTATCTCTATGTTTATCTTCTGATTAATGTTTTTCAACACCAGAACTTGAAATGCTTAACAAAGGTTGAGGAAATGCACACAAAAAAATCATATCAACTTTACAATGAAAAAGTAAATCCATACAGCTGACTAGCCAAGTTGCTAAAATGCCTTGTATGTTGCATAAAAAGTGAACTGAAACTCTCTGGAGCAACCTCAGCTCCTCAGAGGGGTAATCTGATCAGTACAACGTGTGGTGCATCCTAGCTTTCATCTTCCTGAGACGCTGCTGCTACCACCACCATATCTTCTGACAGGAAATAAGTGTTTGTCCCTGGCTATGGCCAGCTCTCTGCTGTCTGACATGCTGTTCTTGCATAGAGTTTTCTTTCTGCTTTTGCTTGGCCAGGCCTAGAAAGCTATTAAACGCCAAATAGCTTCCCCATATTCACAGTCTGTTCCTTGGTCATGTTTATACAGGTACAACACAAAGCTTCCTTTGATGTTTTATACTCTGTTTTGATTCAGGATTGAATGGAGTTACCATGAAAATAAAGCTGTTTTTTTTTTTTTTTTTTTTTTTTTAAAAAAAAAAAAGAAGTAATGGTACCTATTCATTTTTTTTTTTTCCTCAAAAAGGTAAAATTACTAAATTCCAGTCGTGATTAGAACTGGAATTCCAATTTTAAAATGCTAAATTCTTCTGCCTGAGGCAGAAGAATATAAAAAATAATATGAATAACAAATAAAAAAAAAATGCAGCTGCATAAAGGTGAAGACCTGTTTATCAGTATTGGGGAATGCAGACCCAAATCCGAGAGGCAGGGATTGTATGAATTGAGATGGTATGAATCGAGAAGTGTTTGTGGAAGATCCTAGGCAGAAATAACAAGCAAAGACAAGGCAGGAGGTTCTGTAACACTAGACAATGCATGGGTTTGTTCTGACTCCAGCTGTTACTGTTATTTATACTTAGCACCTAGGTCATTTACAGAAATATGATTACAGTAGCACAAGTACTACTGAAAGGATGTCAGAGCTACAAAACTTCATGAAAAGTTGTCACTTCTAGGACAAGTTGTCACTTGTAGGACAATTGCTTTGGTCAAGCCCATAACCTAGTAACCACTTATAAAAAGCATTCAGTTATGCTTGATTGTACAACAGGTACAACAGGTATGCGTGCACTTAAATACTTCTGTAATTAGAAACATTTCTAGTTTGAGCAGTAAAACACAATCTTATTTGGAAGACACAAGCTCACGTATGCTGTGTAACATAGACATTTTGGCTATGACTGATGGTACTCATTCCTAAAGATTCTCTTAAACATGGATAGCCTTTGTGAAACCTGTGACATGAAATACTGCATAGACAAAAAGGAAGATGTGTGTTCATGTTCTGTGCAATGCCGCACACAAGCTAAAGCAATCAGGAATTGCTTCAGTTCTGAATTCATCAGTTAAACCTCAAACAGTTGAAACACAAGTAAGGATTTGCGCTACATGTTCACTAACAAAATCCAACAACCTTGCTTAACTCTCAGGAACTGTTTATTAACACGTGTAGAGCACTTATTAGACATGTTTCAACTCCTCAGTTTCCTGCAAAGTAAGCCTATCTGGGGCAAGCAGAGAAACAGCACAGAGGAAAAAAAGGATAGACCTCTACAGTCCTGTGGATCTCTGGTTTTCAACTTGACTTCCACCAGAAAGGTGAGGAGTGCTTTCTTAGATATGGGAGCTGAAACCCACATACACGCCTAGCATAATCATGAAGTTAGCTTTACACCCTGCTAGGACATCCGTCAGGTCCTCTGGCAGGGCACAGAGTTCTTAAAAGGAAATGCTCTTTCAGGTGCCATGTTAAAGCTCGTATTTCTTTTATCTCCTCCAACAAGTCAGCATCTCTGACGTACATAGATTACCTTTCTCTTTTAATGACATTCTGAAACACGTTTGTAAGAATCATTCTGTTTAAGAAAAATGAAAATAATCCCTACTTTAAAGTTTTAAACCATAACATATTTACTTGTGATGATATGGGTATAAAATTGTTTTAAAGCTATTTTAATAAGCAATTTCTTGGTTTTACTTCCATCTCAGTAAACAAGGCCTTCTTTATGGAACTGAATATTGCTGACATTCCAGAAAAGTTTAAGAATACACATATATCTTCACTAGGAAGTGATGGATTGCATTGGACTGTAGTGACATACTCTTAAGAGTAAAAGTGAAAAATTTCTCTACTCCTCTCACAGGAAAAAAGGGTTTGAAGAAAAGGAATAACGCAAGTTTAACAGTGTTAGAAAGCAATTCTCTCTATTCTACACTAATCAGTAAATCATAAGATATGCATAATTTTAAATGTATTTTTAAAAATAGGCCTGGCAGTTAAATCTTCAAATCAACCAAGTTAGTCCTAGTTTTGTGAGGGAATAAAGGGATATTTTAATATTTTTTTCATGATTTTCTTTTAAACAGAATGTGAAGATTATAGCTTCTTTGTGGGCTAGTCTCAACTCTAGATATTATCTAGTCCATTTCTCCATTTACCATAGCAAGATTAAAATAAAAAATACTAGTATTTTCCTGATTTTGAATTGATAAGCTTTCTCCCTAGCACAACTATCCAAGATTTTAAGGAGTGTAAGGAACAATACCACTGCAATTAAAGAAAACTGTTGCAGAACAATGAATACAGAAGCACCATGTATTTATCTATGGCTCAGTAATTCTGCTATCACAGTATCAAATGCATTTTGCTACTCTTAGGATCCACCAATAAAGATTCCCCGGCTTTTGACCTGAAAGACCATGAGATTCAACAGCGTACTCTCACTCTGTCGCTTTCACACAACTAATAAATCAAATCTCCTCTATGCAGATAGTGCAAAACTGACACATCACCACCAAAAGTACCTGGAGAACCTGTTTGTCCATGTACTGGGCTGAGCAACAAGCAGAAAGAAAGGCTTTTCATGCTCTCCTCTTGTTTTCCCTAAAGTCCCTTTTGGCTCAACTCTCTTTTTGCAGCTGTAGGGAGCCTGACTACAACACTCAACCTCTTTTGCTTGAATACCACTGTACACTTTTTCTAACACTTTGTGGAATCTTTAAGAAGAGGGCAGAGGTTCCACCCAGTCTTTTTGAGGAATGCTGTTTCAATGCATTTATACCAAATAACCCAGGTAAAAAAAATGCGTATCAATGTGATGGGAACAGCATGAAGAGCTACTTACTTCTTTACATACAAAAAATGGTGACTCAAATCCTATTTCTCAGACATCAGCAAGCCAGTGTTAGGCTAGTAAGAAGCGTTATACATACCTCCAAAGCAGACTTTTGTACCGTAATTTGGCTGTAGACTCTAGACCCTTCTGGGCAAACAGTCTTCAGTTCGTCTTTATTGAGGGAGAAAAGCTGTGCACCCGTCAGCACACCAAGGCTGTTAACAGTCCTGAGGTCACAAGAAAAAGCAAGCAAGAAATAAGCAGAAATACAATGGGCTAAAGGGAAGAAGGTGATTTTCTTCATCCCTCACTAGAACAGAGCTACCGAATCAAGTCTAAACTGCAAGCAAAAGAACACTTGAAGTCAATTCAGTACCTGTCATAGCCAGTACATTTTGGTGAAGGCTGATATGCACTTTTTTTTTTTTCCAAAATACATATAGATATCTATAACCATGTAGAAATATATACAAATATATATATGCATTCATATGTATATAAATATATATTTGCTAAAACAAATAATATTTTCCAAGAGTGCAGCTGACACACCTTGATTTTCAGAAAGCTGCTTGATTTCAAAATCAGGAAGACCATACACAACTTACTGACAGGAAAATCATTTTTAGAAGCTTTCTTACATTTGTCCTCAAACTTACACAGGGTTGAATCCTTTGGACTCCAACCACGCTTTCACATCGTCAGGTGAGGAATCGTAAGTGATGTTCACCACCGGGATGTTTGGCCGTGGCACGTGGAACTTCCTCTGGGCAGCACTGCGGCCTATGGTGAGCCGGTGAACAAGTTCGTCCTGCACCTCCTCCATCTGGGATTTCCTGCCTAGAGAGAGAAGTGCCCCACAGAAATTATTCTCAAGGGTGCTTTACCAAGGCCAGGTGATTTCTTACACTCCACTTTAAATCTTAAACGTTTTTTTTTCTTTAAAGATTTACTCATTGGCTCTAATTGAGTTATTATTTTCCTTGATCCCCTGGGAAGATTTTGTTATTCCTAATCCATTTGCAAAACAAAATAAGCTAAATAAATATATTTAAGTGAGACCCTAGAAAGAAGAGATAAACTTGACGTTGCAGAAGTATGCAGAGCAGTCTAGCCCTCAAGCTGCACAGGAAAATGGGTACAGAAGGTTGTTCAATTGCCATAGTTTGAGTTTTTTCCAACAGAAATATGATATCGTGAAAAAAAAAAAAAAAAAAAAAGAAGGAAGAAAATAAGATTCTTTTCACTGTGGAAAGTTTATTACTTTATTGCTCAAGTTTTTGGTGCAAATCAACCTAGGCAAAAAAATAAATCACAGCTACTGAAACATACCACCTTGCAGCTAACACATTAGTATAGTAATAAATTTTTTCGAGGGATTTTAAGAAAAGACCACAAAAGATAATTTGAATTCACTTCAAGCCTCAGCGGTGCAGCAATGGTTGGCTGACACAATGTCATGCTTCAATATAAAAATAACAACAAAAAAAAGGAGCTGACTGTCATATCAGAGACATTGGAACTGGGGCAAGAACTTTTTTTTTTTTAATTTATTTTTAATTAAAACCAAATTATGCAAATTTGCGTTCCCACAGAACCCTTTTGTCTGAAACATTCAGTTTTAAGGCTGGCCACTAGCAGACAACAAACTGAAATGCTTTTCATTCGTTTCACACAATCAATTATGATGATACTGACTTCTTTTAATACATAAAAGATGTTCTGTGGATGATTTCACAAAAAAATAGGTAGAACCTGAAAGGGTGCGAATATCCTCTTAGGCACAGAGAACATAATGATTTAACACCCTTAATCTCTCCATGCAGTAACTCTGGTCTTATTACAAAAATACTTTGACATGCAACTGTAAGTGAACTTGAAAATTCTCAGGATTTCCTTGTTTTTATTTTCCTTTATTCAACAGCCACATTTTCATACACAAAGAGTAACTACATCAACTTCTCTGATGCATTCAGGTGGCAAAAGTCATTCTTTTCCTCCTGTTACACTGACAGCAACAGAGGAAAAAGACACAGCATCATATGGAAAAACTGTAAGATATTAAAATTTTTCATTCTCTTTTTTCCTTTTATATTCTCCCAACACTTTTCCAAGGATCTACCTCTCTAGCCAGTTGGATCAATAAAAACAGGGCTTTTTTTTTTTTCTTTTTTTTAATAAAACCACCAGAAGAAGAAAAATCCTCATCTTAACTATTTTCTTTTCATAAAATAGCCCCAGGCTGAAAGTGGACAAGTATCTCTAGCAAAGCATATGAGGCATTCAGACCCCATCAGTATTTTTTTTTCCAGAGTGTGAATTGGAAGCTAAAATGACGTGCTCAGTGGTACGTGAAGGTCTGAGAGGGGATATATGAATAAAACCTTTAGGCAATGTTAATGAAGCATGCACCAGTTATTTTCCCCAAACAGGAAGACAGAAAGAAAATTGCTATCGTCCTTCTATTTACACAGACTTTGAAAGACTTAGGTTTTATCCACACCAAGACTGTATCAGAAGATAAATATTTAGCTGGTAGGTAACAGATCCTTAGTATTGTTTGATACGTTACCATAAACAAACAAAATACACTCAGTACCAACTGCTCGGTACCCTGATCTTTGCAGGGTGAGGTGGGTGCTCAGGCAGCAGCTGCACAGCAAGGGCTGCCCATTACTGTCACAGAGGCAGTTATTTTCCAAGGACACTGAGGCAGCTGAAGTCCATTGAGTGGGTTTGAGTTAAAGCCCCCGGTGAGGGCACGAATCTCAGGCATGGCCTCTGGCCTCACTGGAACCTGAGGGGGCCACAGAACATGTCTTGTAACCACTTGGTCTACAGCAACCCTTTGCACCTCATACCTACAGCCAGAACAGTTCCCCATGAACAGGGGAAGTTCATTCTCACTTTACACCTCTTTTATAACTGTTCCGGTTTCTGTTTTTTTGTTGTTGTTGTTGTTATCGTTGTTGTTTGTTTGTTTTATTTTACGTGTCAAATCACCCAACAGAGGACAAGGGCAGAAGCAGGCCCTACTGTTTCTTTGGGAAGCTGCAGCGAAGCACATTCCTCCTGCAAGGCTCAACTCCAGTTATAATTACCATCTTTAAAGTCTGTTCCATGAAAAAACTAAAAATGTCCCTGAGCCTTCCTGAGTTAGAGCTTTGGAGGGAGCTGGTCTACCTCCAGGCAATGCCAGAGCAGGCATATCCAAGGAGGCGTGCTTCCAATCCACCAGTGATGATGGGGAAAGAAGCCCTCTTCAGAAAGGATTACACTCAGTTCCAGTTTTTAGCTCAAGTGGAGGTCGGATTTTCTGATAAGGCCTGGGACTGGAAAAGCTGTCAATTCCTGAACTGCAAAAGCTCATTATTTTAACAGCTACTGTGTTAGTAGATAGAGCAAATGCTTGCATAAAAGTTTCAGTTATTTTTAATCTAGGCAATTTCAGTGTTTAAAGTACATTTAGGAGAGAAATTATTGGCTGGTTAAATAAGCTATTTTAACCAAACTGCTTTTTAGTTGATACACAGTAGCAGCTTCAGCAGCAGCTATGTTTTAAAATTACAGGGATGTCTAAAGCAGATTATTTCATGACTGCCACACACTGCTGGATGCAGGTTACCATGTTTTTCCAGCTACAGGGCTACGGATTATATTCTCTCATCCCCCTGAGACAAGGAGGCACTAATTTGCTCAGTGGCCCACCAGTTGCTGTTGCTTTGACCAAGCTGAGAGGTCCTGATTATAAAAGATAAGACTCCTACAACACCATTACAGCATGGTTTCTATGCATCAGCCAGACCTGTAAGTCCTGTTAGAGGCCTTGGATACATGTTTCAGAAAGATACAAATTCCTTAGAAACATGGATGACCACTGATGGAAGTGTAAAAACAGTCTAACTGGTTTCAAAAGCGATTTGGATTGTAATGCAGTAACGATAACGCATGCAAGCAAGCAATGTACATTAGCTAGAGTATCAGCATGGGCATTTACAGTGTTGAAAACCACTGACTGAAGATCCTAAGTAGTCATAAAATGAGAGGATGTACTGCTGTTTTAGGCCTAGCGTAAGTGCAGAAGTGTTTTGCTCCTACTCACCATCATATTTGTATAGAGAACACTGTACTTAGAAAATCAGTATTTTAAATAGGGGGTTAAAGCGAAATATTTCATAAAAATTTATCTGAAACACGAGGTTTTCAGGAATTCAAGGATTAAGCAAAAGATGTAGGGATAGTAGAAATATTTTTTTTTCTTGCTTCTTAAACAAACTTACGATCCACAGGAACTTGTTTGTTCCTCTGGCTGTCTCGTGCAACACTACCACCGCTGTCACTAGAGGTGCTGCTTTGGCGGCTGATGGTTGCAGGCGCCTTCGGCACAGGAACCGGTATAGGTGCTGGTGTGCTTGGAGGGAGGGGGACAGCTGCAGGCACAGGAGCAGGTGTTGGAGGCGGTGAAGGAGTAGCAGGAACTGGACTGGGTTGTTTTGCGGCATAGTCTGTCCTTTGTTTCTGAAAAGATGCAGAGAGACTTGGTTCAACAATAAAACTTGGACAAGAAGTTCGACAAACTCAGGCTTCTGAAGAAAAAGCTGAGGAGCTTTGCACCAACTGATTTCATTTACTGAACAAAAACATCCTACTTGCCAGAAACAGTTTCAAAATTTGCCAAAGCTTGATTTGGTATCATTGTCAGGCATAGAACTCAGAACAATCACATCATATGAAATGCATTTATTTCTTTCAAACAGATTATTTCTATAAATAAAATTGTTTTAAAATTCTGAACTTTACTATCTGGCACTTTTGAACAACTTCCAAAATTTTTTAATTGTTGGAGTTTATCAGTTTAAAAACATGTTTTATAGAAGTCATGTTAAAAATAGTGAAAAATGGACATGTCCAGCCACACCTAAGCCTGACTAATGATTTAACTTATGAACGTCACCAAATTGGAATAACACATTGTTTCTGAAGCTGCAGACAATTTTTAAGAGGTTCCGGCTCCTCCTACCTATTCAGGAGTGGCATTTCAGCTATTTGTATGAGCACTAACAAGCCACCTCAATGCAACAATGCAATTAAACAAACTCCATAATTCTTGGAATAAATTCACCCCAAAACTTTTCTAACAGCATGCAAATTATCTTGCTTTTAATAGCTAGCTGGCAGATGCCTCAAAATAATTTGGGGGAATAATTTCTTCTCTCCTTTGCCTCTAGAATGGTGCCAGTGACAGGAAGAGACATGCATATTCGCAAAGTAGTCCCAATGACAGGCAAGCCCAGAAACTTGCAACTAGCTTATGTTACTTTTTTCTTTCCAACAATTCTAATTTCACAGCTCACTGTTTTAACACTGCTCCCTCTCTGCAGTTTTAGAATAACACGGCTTGGAAGTTTAATATTAAAGTTTACTTGCTCAGTACTGATGTCTCATTTCTTAGTTATGAGAAGTCTGCTTATTTTGCTATGAAAATAGAAGAGTACATTCCCCAGACTCATTGCTCCATCCTGAAATAACATTTACTATTTCCTTGGAGGCTGAGGGGTTATGGCAGATCAAGTAGAGAAATATTTGTAGGAGCCATATGTTAGAAACTGAATAGCACATCACTGCCCTGTCAACAAGCAAACCTTTATAAAATGTCAACAACTGCCCTTATACAGGAATCCTCCACTTGGTGCATCTAACCAATGGGCAAGGCATTTTGTAGCGCATGTGAACTGGGATTGTAAACACTAATCACTACAGGGTTACACCAACCAAAAATTCATCCCATCAGGTTCTATAAAGCCTAGGAAAAAAAAATGTATTTTGCTTCCCTTAGATAATTTTTCACTTAAATTGTAGTAGTCAGCTACTGAAGCAAACATATAGTCCTACAATACATTCTCCATTAAACCTTTTCAGTTTCTGTTCTTAGCATGTAAAAAAAATTCGTATGGATCATTTTGTGTTCATCTGGTGCAGTGCACTGTGGAGGGGGTTTTTTAAAAAAAGTTATATACCTGACTTTTCAGTATTCTACTATTGTGATGTGAAGACAACAAAACACTTTTTAAAATAAAATCTCAAATGCCAAAAAAGTAAAATGTAGAATATAAGAGAACAAGCAGAATGTTGTATATTTAAGAAATTTACACAGAGATTTACTCTGATATATCCAAAATTATGTTAATTTAAGAATTTCACAGATTTTAAAATTTTCTAACAATATAAATAAAATCTGCCTTTTGTTCACGGATTCATATTTCTAGACTACTACCACCATGCTTGTCCTTGACCTTCTTAACCAACATGCAAAGAAAAAGCACCCCTCTTTATGGTAGAGAGGATTCATTACAAACCAATGCATAAACTGCATGTCACCACAGTCACAATCCAGAAGTGACAGCAAAACATTACATATAGCTCTCAACAGATGATACTAATGTTGTTTCTGAAACATGTAATCACATACTGCAATTACAAGCCTCATCAAAACGACTTACTGCATGCTGGAGTGAAAATAAAAACTGATCTGGAAACATTACTCAAATTCTAAATTTAAAAATGAAACAACATTGAAATACACTTCAATTTTTGTTGAACACTGCACAAAAAACAATTATACACTTGAATCAATTTAACATTACTTTTTTTTTTTTTGAACATTTCTTTCTTTAATTCCAGATATTCTGAGGACATCCACAGATTCATCCCATCACTTCTATTCATTGCTACAAAGAAAACAAGCATGCACTATGGAATTTGGTAACTACACAGTCTAAAAGAGTAATTTTTGAGGTTCAAATCAGAATAGTAATTTTGTTACCTCTGAAAGCTCTCCCAGCAATTGCTGTGAGGAAAATGGAGTAAATCATACCAAAGAGTATTGTTAGTAAGGTAAAAAGTAACCGCCTCACACATCTTTCCTGAAATTTCACACACACTAGCAATTTAAAAAGAAAAGAACATCAGTGCTAATAATTACCTCTTCTTACTCACTAAGCAACTCATATAATGAGCTATTCTCATTTTTTTCTTTTGGACCATGAATGGAGTATTGGCTACTTCAACACTCATATGTGAAGCCATATCAGCAATGAGATCTTTTCAAAGCACCTATCCATACAGACAGAAACTCAGAAATAGATTTTTTTTTTAAAAAAGAAGATGAATGTTTGTGATGATGCAAATGATATCACAACTGTAGAATATTGAGAATTAAATCAGAACAGGTATGGGAAAAAAGCCTATTTATTGGAGTTTAAAAATATTGAGTAGCTTACAAAACAAGGTAAAGATTGCTGCTGACAGACATAGAATCATACAGTCATATTGTACCTTGAGTTGGGAAGGACCCACAAGAGTCATCTAGTCCCATTCCTGGGTCCACACAGAACCACGCAAAAAAACAGACCCTATGTCTGAGATCATTACCCAAATGCTTCTTCAACGCTGCCATGACCACTTCCCAGGGTAGGCTGACCACCCTTTTGGTGCAGAACCTTTTCTTGACAGCCAACCTGAACCTCCCCTTTTGCTTGCAGCTCCATACAGTTACCTTGGGTCCTATTGCTGGTCACCAGAGAGAATAGGCTTGTACCCCCTTATTTGCTAATGAAGTACCTAGGACTGGGAAAGGAAATTTCAAGTGAGGTCTTTAACTTGAGTTGCCTTTGGTGGGCTCAGCTGTTACACAGAATCAGACAGCTGCCTATTAATACTACTAATACTATTATGAGGCACCTACTTTACGCTTTGTGGGGTGTAAGGAATTTACGGTTTTACAGGATTTACAAATCCATCTTGCTAGAATCTTGCAAGAAGGAAAGAAATATATTAGAAGGAACAAATTAAAAAGTTTGAAAGAATTTACTTACACAGATTGTTATTAGCCAAGCATAGTCCCCATTTCTTACAAATTTATGTATATATTTGGGGAGCACGCTGTGGACTTTTAATTTTTAGCAATCATGCTCTTTTTTACAATTATTCATTACATTTCTGTTTAATAAATGCCATCCCATAATTTGGGATTAGATCAATGTTGAATTGGACACAAAAATAACCTTTCTTCTAAAGCCTTAAAAAAGCCTTGGTCTGATGGCATCTTTAAAGAGCATTTAATACGAAACAAAGTAAAAAAGATACTAGCTCGTGATCAAAAATTGTGACATCTCTTTGGCCATGACAAAATGAACACCTGGCAACTACATCTCTGCATTATCAAGCAATTCATGATCTGCAGGAAAGATACCAGTTGGCAAAAGATGAGTATGGCACTATGACACTAACTTGGAGCACAAATGCTGCGCCTGAGAGAAAACAACTTCCCACAGAGAGATATTTTCAGAGAGCTGCTAAACAGAGACTTGAAAGAAAGGTTTTGATGGTAGATCGCCAAGAAACCCAAAGGATGCTTGCCCCAAATGAAGTGGAGACTTTTATCTCAGTGTTTACGTACCAAAAGCATGACTCATAAATATACCATATCACTTCTGTGGACAGTCAAGGTTTATTAAAATAATACTAATGGACTGCACTTGGCTTAACATTTACTGTCCGTGCCTCAGGATTTCATTTACATCACCGAGAAAATAGCTGCCTCACCACACAAAAGGTGTCATGAGATTAATTAACATACCCAGCAAGATACAAACCTCTATCCTAATTATGGTTTTCATATTTCTTTTTGAAAAGCATTAAGAAATATTACAAAAGGCACAGAAAATAGGAAATACCGTGATTAATTATTTTGTCTGTTCTCTGGGAATACTTGTACATAAGGAGAAGTTCAAGTACTAGGGAAACTGTTTATATTATCTGTAGAGGATGGTGAAGTATGACTGCTGTTCCACCATAAAGAGGCAGACTAAATGACCAACACCAAGGGAAACTGATAGTGTGTAATTAACATTAGTGGAAGATATAAACAACCATCAAAAAGCTTTACCTAATCTACAAAAGTATTAAAAGCAAGGGTTTTACTGGAAATAATTCCAGACTTTTTTTTTTTCCCCTGACCAGAACAATGTTACAGACTCTGACTCACAAAGACAGTGAAATTACTAGGACATTGATTACAATGGTCCTGCAAGTATCATCTGTAGGATCAGTTCATTGCTTTCAGGTAACTATATGGGATCTGGATCCTGAAAGGGGCTGAGAGAAGAATTAGGTTCTGATCTATCATGTGGACTCACAGAGGGAACAGAGTGAGAGTAAAACAAACTTTGCAGCTCTGAGAATTGTGATAATCAGCATCCATCTCTCAGAGGAAGGGTGTCAGCCTGTAAAATGACTGAATGGAAAAATAATCCATTTTATTATGAAGAAGAACCCTTAATCCTTCATAATAAACTGGAAGCTTATTTTGGTCAGCTATGCTTTGAAGTCCATTATCCTGAAATGAAACATGCTTCCCTTGTACATCGCACTTATCTGCGACAAATAGTGGACCAGGGTGCTCGACACAGCTAGCACACCACTTTGAAAATAGTCCTTTGGAAACCAAAGACAACTCAGCAGACTGGCAGAAATCTGGACAGCACCAGGCACTCAGAGCCTGCTTGTGTTCAGGGTCTCTCAAAGGCACTGATAGGAACAGCTTCAATTTCCCTGCTCTGCCCACAGGCTCTCTTGTTTGACCTTGGGTCAGTCAGTAATCCCTTCAATGCCTCATTTCTCTCTGAAATAGCAGCAATGTCTCTTGGCATTGTTATGAAAATAGTGTTATGCAAAAAGATCCCAAACGAACCATGTAGCTATCACAAAGAAAGAGATGAATGAGTACATGCAGCAGTCCTAAAATTATCATAATCAACATAATGTTGAGAACAACATTACTGACATGTCTTGGTAAAGACTTCCTTTATCCAGTGTAATTCATTATATTGTTAAATACTTTTGCAGCTTTTAAAGCTCACATTTGAATACGATAAAGCTACAGCTGAAATAAACAATGGGCTGTAGGGAACAACCTGCCAGAGGGGAAAGAAAAAATTATCTTAGAAGTTGTTCTCTGTCCCTAATTTTCATGGCTTCCTGGAGAATGCTTCGTGAAAATGATTATTTTACTACTTCCTATGCCATGTAATTATTTCAAATAGAAAACATCAAAACCTGCAGTGCATTAAAATAAAAAAATAGTATAAGAACTTCTACTCAGTTCTATACTTATTTAGTCTGCTCAATATTTCTCAGCAAATTCCAAACACACAGAATTACATGCACTTAAAGAAAATAAGTCAGATCTTTAAAACAGGATTTGAAAAGCACTCTAGATGCATGCTTCACTTCACACAGAGCTAAAAAGCATAATCAATTTATAAAGAGCTCATACCTTATTGGCAAACAATTGCACATAGGAAAAACTCAGAAATGATGTGATTAAAGCCCAGCAAGCTCAGGATACATCCTCCACATGATTGTGGGAGAAATAATATAGAACCTGTTTATCAAGAGACTTTCCATATCCATGGAAAGACTGGAAACACTGCAAAAGCTGCAGCTTTCATGATAACTCTGTATACGTAATTTGGCACAGTGGCACCTTCAGCTGGAACTTTTAGATGAGTCTGCAATAGACTGTTAACAATAACATTATGGAATTTCTTGTTTTTCAGTCAACAGCTGGTACATGTAGGCACAAGGAACAAATATTAGACTAAATAACATTTAATTCAACTTTAAGTTTCAACAAAAGTTTGGCTTCCATTTGGACTTAAAGTCTCATTTAGAGTCAGGCTTGGAATTTCTGCTTAATCTGAAATTGTTTGCCTAATTTTTCAAAATCATTAGATATAAGAGGGAAGAAACAGATCTTATAAAATATGATCTTTTGTTTTATGAGCCTCCAGACAACTCAAAGTTGGTGTAAAATTATACATTACAACTTTATCCTTTAAGTCTTTAAATCCTTACTCAGGCAGACAATTGCACTGATGTAAGACTGGGGGGGGGGGAGATACAGGGTTTGGTGTTTTGTTTATTTGTTTTTTAATATTTTACCCTCTAATTCTGTTCGGCATATATATATATATATAAATATACATATAAAGTTAATTCTGTGCTATAATGTGAAAGAAATAAAACCAAAATTAGTTTAGTAGACTAAATTGCTGATGATGCACAGGAATAATAATTGAAAATACCTGCTTTGTGAATTCAAAAGCAAAGACACCTGTTTTTTTACAACTCCAAAATTACTGTATTTAAATAGATTTGAAACTAAGATTGAAACACACACAAAGAGAGAAAATAAAAAGAAATAAAAAGAAAAACTAGTGTTCACTCTCCTAGAAGTAACAAAGAATACCCTACCTTAAATAATTCAAACTCCTTCTTTGGCATCAACAGCTATCAATGCACAAAGGATATTTGCAATTAAAATAAATGCATAAACATCCATTAGGGTGGAAATTACTACCTCTAAGTAAATAACCAGAAAAAAGCTCTAAAGGAAAAGACTTTGCTATATCTCTATCAACTTTATTCTCTTGTTAGACTCCATGCAATACAGAAATAAACTTCAGCCTGTAAAAGAAATATGCATCTTTTGACATATCAGTAGACTATGAAAATATTTTAGCTTTGCTGTGAATCTCTTCCTCCTTTGTAAACGCACAAACAAGTACACACACACTTTTGAAAAGAAATTTTGTCTCCCAAGGAATTGATGGTACCTGGATGGCGCGGGTATACACAGGTTCTGGCAATCCTAGATCACCTTCATAATTCCTCAGAGGGTCCAAAATGTTGTTTGGCACAAAGCCTGCGTTGCCGCTTTTATTCCGAACCTTCCACCACTGCTTTCTGTCATCCAGAATCTGAAATAATTTGGTAACATAATTACATATTTTTTCTGACTTTCCTCCTGCCAGCACTTACATCATTTCCAAACAAAATCATAACTTTGCCAGGTTCTGTGATTGTCAACAAATCTTACACAGATGTTACACAGCCCTGTAGGCTTCCTTGATTATCACCATAAGTAATTCTACATCATAGTAGTTCACTTTTCAAAATGTGGCTCTCAAGAAAGGATACTGTAGAATAGCACACAAATGAACCTGTGTGAACTCAGACATGTGCAGGACAACACAGTGGAATAAAAATCAAGTACTTGTACAGAGAGGCTGGCACCCAAGGGAAAATGCATGACTCTGCTATGGCACAAATTTGGAGAGTGCATTTCTGAGTAAAGAAGGAATTGGAGCAGGATGGACAGCAGAAATTTGTTTTCTGACTACGAGCAGAGCAGCCTTATACACAACATTTTCTCTGTTACTTCTTCCCCTCTACATTTCTGTCCATCTCTCAGCGTACCATTGCTTCCAGGAAAGGACAGTCTTTCACTGTGTGTACACAGGTAGTGTTTGACAGAGCCACTTATTTACATGCTACCAAATGATTTTAAATGAGAAGACAGAAGAAACACACAATTATATTACAGCATGAATCTCCAGAGCAATGAGCCATAAGTCAGCACAGGATTTCTGTTTATCTTGTCTATGATGCAAAACAAATTAATTGAACTTTCCATATTAATGGAGATCAATCAGATAAAAACACTGAAGTCCTTAGTGCTGCCCCCAGGAAAGGTACCCTCAGCTTTGACTAGTACCAGAAATTTATGTCATCTCTTTGCAAAAAAGTTACCTCTACTATCTCTTCTTTCATGACAGAAAGCTCACTGTTGTTTCTTGCCATAAACTCATACTTGCATTTGGCATATTTCTTGGACTGCGTTTTATTGTGTGCTTCATAGTTTCTGCAATGTAAAGATCAGACTATTGTTCAGTGAGACATTCAAGCAAATAAAAATATAGATAAAATGCCCTCCTTCAACAACCCGCAAAACATTTAAACAGCAAAAAAGAACATAACTTGCTGTTGCTGTAGAACTGTCTATTCACAACATACTTACTAAACATGTACACATCACATTACATCACACACATACACAAGAAAAGAAAAAAAGAAAAATGTGGTTGAGCTGCATGAACCTTAAGAACCGATAATCTTTATTGGCCCACTGCTTGCAATGTGTATGATAATTACTTGGATTTGCAGGTGCCATTTTATTAAGATAAATATGCACACTATATTTAGTCTTATTTCTTATAGAGAACTACAGTAAGTTAAACAATCATTTCCCATACTAATAAATGAATATGCTTGGTATACACTTAGTATCTTGTGCTTTGCACAAAATTGTATTTCTAGCATTCATTATAAATTAAGCTTCAAGTCATGTTGACATTGATACCAATGGAATTAAACTACAAGAAATGCTTGCCTGCTGCAGATCAGTTTTCTTAATTATTTATAATGTATCATAACCTCTAAGAATCTCAAATTATTGCATCAATTAAGAGCAGGGTTCATTGTAAAATAAAGCATACCACAGTATACATCAGCAGCATTCTTTTCCTTGAGGAAAGATCTGTTCACATTGCCTTTGGGTAACAAGTTACTAGTTTCTTTAATGTGCTACCTCTTCAAAGTGACAAGTCCCCCACCCCCCTCAGAATACATCCAAAAGAAACAGTAATATTATTCACCTGTTGTAAATAACACTTAAAAACCCAAATCCTTACCAAACAGTAAAGCTTAAAACAAAACAATAAATAAATAAAACAAAAACAAATGAGAAAAAAAAAAAAGCAAAAAAAATAAACAAACAGTGGTTTGGCATACAACATCACAGCACAGGGATACAAATGCAGATGTCTGCTGATGTTGGTGCTGTGCAGCAATGGATCCCAGGTGTGTGCCTCAGCAATCCAGGAGTTACCTAGCTATTGCATGGCTGTGGAGAACTGTCTCACTTGACTTGAAGAGCGGAACAAAGAAATAGTCATACTGAGATTGAAAATGTATTATTTTGAAAGAAAGACAAAACACTTAGAGCATTTAAAGGAGAGAGCGAAAAACATGGGATAAACCACAGCCTTCATAACACCCTATTATGAGGTTTAGAGACATGTGAGTAATCCAAATTTTTTCAGCCACCCACTCAAAATTTATATAGTTTTGAGGTGCTTTCTTATTAGTTTGGTGATATGACTAACCCACCTCTGAAGGCAGTATTACTGGTAGACTGCCTTTCCAATCTCATTTTATTAACTGTGTCTTCCTGCCCAGTCAACTGCTAGATATCCCAATCCCTCCAAAAGACATAACTCAGGAAGGATTATTATTATTATTATTATTATTATCATCATCATCATCATCATTAATAATAATTATTATTATTATACATGTAAATAAATGTGTTTATAATAATAATAATAATAACAACAACAACTTATACACTTATGCTTCAGTCTTACCCCATTCTGTTGCAATCAACCTCAATATCCCCAGAACATGGGCTGGACAGTGGCTATATACTGCTGAAGAGATGATACCACTTCAAGCCCACCTTAATGAGTCAAACTGTTTACTTTGGGTACCCAGAGTTTCCGTCCACCAATCTTCTGCTGCCTTCTCCTATTGCCTGCCAGATATGCTGTAACTGCAGCTCTGCTGTGCACACTGCAGGAGAACCTGGTAGATTGCACTGAACCCCAGGGTGCTGTTCCAGAAATGACAGTACAAAAACAGCTACATAGCATGCTGTTTTGAAACACCATACAACTTTTTGAAAAACTGTTCAGTGTTCTTTCAGCATCAGACAGAGCCCCTGACATAGCTAGTAACACACTGGAAGTTTAAGATCATGATGCTTAGTTTAAGTCACCTGAGGAACGCATGCCTTACTGGAGGTCCTGGCACATAAGGCTCACTCAAGTTCTCTGTGATTTTGTGCTCTTTGGACAACGCGTCACCTGCACATCTCTGCACAGGTAGTGGGTGGCTCAGTCACTGCCTTCAGACTGCTTGTGAAAGCCAGCTTTCAACAAGGACCAGCAAACAGTGGCTGAAACATCCATCTTGTATTTCTTGTTCCTTTCCCCCAAACCTCCTTCCCTCTGCACCTGCTTCTTCACAGGTGCTTTACAATTTATCTTTAAGTGGAAGTTACTAAGGGTAATACATATGAATAGCTTTCACCCAATAAGGAACTCCTCCCAGGCATGTATTAAGAGAGCCAATTAACAAATGGAAGTTTACATCGCATTGGATCAGGAGATAGTGGCACACCATAAATGTCTACATCAGTACCAGCCATCTAGACTCCCTCCTGCCATCAGTGGTGAGAAACAGGCACCACCACTGCATGTCTCATTTCACATCTTTCAAAAGACTGACTTCACCTGACGTGACCTGATTCTTAGAAATGCTCCTTTCTCTTTGCCCACTACAAAGGAAGCTTGGATGACTCATTCTGTTACAGCCAGATACGCTGATATCATCAATGGGTCAATGCAATAAGCCCCATTCTTTAAACCTGAAACAGAGGCAACAGCCTTTGCATTGCTTTCAGTCTTGCTCTGAAAGGACAAAACAGGTCTTATTGCATTACAGATAAAAGATAAAAGAATTTCTAGCGCAAATCATTTAGATTGCAAGCTGAGTGGTCCTCAGACGAGAACCCTCAAAGTAACCAAGTTAGAGAAAATGTTTAGAGATGACCATTACGGTTGCTGTTGTTACAAAGAATAAATCCAAAATTCAGAAAAACAATGGAGTCTTCACCTTGCACACCACTTGGGAATTTGTTTGCGTGCAGATTAACAGCAGCATCTTTCAAAAATTAGGGGTTATGCAAATTATGACTCATATCAACACTGTTTTTACCAGCAATCTGATCACAAAAGTTTAGCTTAAGCACCTTCCATGGCACATGAGCTAAAATACTCTTCAAATGGTGCATAAGGAATACAGTTTGGTGTGGAGGCACAATTCTAGCACTACTTTACTGATTTACTTCCACAGCTTTTACCAGCAGAAATTCTCCATGCCGACAGGGCTGAGACTCCAAGGATCACTGCGTTTCACCATTAAGCTATTCAGATTTAGGCTAAAATGAAGGGGATGAAAGAGGATGTGCAAGAAGACCGTGGTTGCTATGCAAACACTTTGTAGCTTTGTTCATAGTGAAAACAGAAGAAACAATCAGTTACTATTCTGGAAGTGGGCATTCATACACCAGCCCAGAACATCAAAAGCAAGATACTAAGGAGCAGCAAATGAGCAGCTAAACAAATCAAACAATCATTCAAAACAAGGACAGATGAATCTGAGTGTACTTGTAATTCTTTGTATTTTCAAAGAGAGCAAAGAATAGCTTTAAAAAAATTTGAAAAAAAAAAAAAAAAAAAAACAGAAAAAAAATAAACCCAAATAGCAGGATCCCGTGTTCTCTATCAGATTGGAATTTTGCTATATCATTTTTGACAAAGGCAAGAATTTAACAGCATACATAAACACGTTTCATAGAAATGATACTGAAAGAGTCCTATGGATGTGCCTGGGAGAAGCAAAGGCAAAACAGCCACTGCTACCAGAGTGGCTGCCTTACAGAAATAAGGATCTGCTCCAGGCACAAACAGAGGTGAACAGAGACACCACCACCCCAGCAGCAATAAGTCGGGACAGTTATCCACAGCACCACGTACGACGTTGATTCAGTGTTACCTATCTACATGTCGGCTAACAGTTTGCTTAAAGGCAGCAACAGCTGCCCCTTGGTCCAGCAGAGGCCCTCTTTTGTACACTGTGTTACTGAATGCATACCCATCAGATGGAGGGTAGTCGGGAACACCGGGAGGCTGAAAGACAAAGAAGAGACAAAACCGAAGAGGGGATTAGTGTCACACACAGCAACACACTGCCTGTTTTGCCTAATCCAGAGCCCCCGTGCTCCCTGCCAGCACTCCCATGTCCTTGTTCTCAGGTGCTCACATTCTGCTATGAAATGTTAATAGCTTCTGCATTTAAAATACGTACGCAGAGAGATCAAAAGAATAAAAGAATTTCAGTCCTAAGTCATCCGCCTGCATTAATATTACAGTGGATATTCTTTAGAAAAAAAACAGTTCTCTGGGGCAAGGTCCACGTCATCTCTTAGGTATCGCTACAGCAACAAAAGTTATAAACAATGCCTGAATGACTTTAAAACAAACAGCACTGAGAAACTGCTCTGAGCTTTTGTTCTATATGTACACTTCAAGCCAGAAAACTCTAGCTAGCTAACCATAAGTGTATGTCAGAAATAAACCTCCCAAGTAAAATTATCACCCTATTTCAGGATCATAATATCAAGCAGCTCATTTATGTCACCCTCTCACAGAACATGATTGAAGTCAAAGAAGAAATGCAAAAAGGAAGGTAATACTTCGTGTAATTAAAGATCATAATTAAAGGAAACAATCACAACTTATTACAAGCACACAGAGAAAAGTCTTTTAAAGCAGCAATCCTTTAAAAAAAAACTACCTTAAATCCAGCAGTGATACTCTGCCTCTAGTAAGAATTATTTTAATGTCCATTCCCCAAAAGAAAGACAAGTTGAGCAGTTCATTTCTGGAGATTATGAAATTGAAGATGCTCATTCTTGATCATTTTCTTATATCACCATCCAACTGCACAACAAGCTAGAACAGCTGAGATTCACCACAAGTTGCCAAATCTCTATACTCTGGCCTTTTTTTCTTGCTGTGTGGCTACAGAAAAGCCACCCTCCTCAAGCCTGCCTCCAAGTACCTGACCTGGCACCTAGAAACACTTGCCTATGGGGCTGAGTGTTTGTAAAAAGAAATTAAAAACACGTAGAGAAAAGAAAAGAAAACAAAACAAACAAAAAAACCTATATAGACAGAATTTTCTTTAAAAATACATGACTATAACCTCTTTGAAAAATAGACTCTCAAGTGTCACTGACTTTATAACTCACATCAAAAGACACTCAGGAAGCTGGCACTCATTTTTACTTCACACAGAAATTATTTGCATCTCCTGAGCCTCACTCGACTCTCATCACCAGCTCCCCACTGTTTCACTGCCATTTGAAGTCCCCATTGCTCAGCTGACTCTACCTTCAAACCCCTTGGTGGGAGCTGCATGTGCAACTACATATTAGGATACAGCATTAGAAAGAAAAAAAAACAAAAAACACCTCATGAACAAGGCTTCCCAGTGCACATGCTCAATAAGCCCTCCCAGCAGGACCAGCCTCCACCTCCACCTGCACCACCCCACTGAGGCACAGGGCTCATGAGCAGCAAGGCATGGACACAAATTCTCATATAATTTTTCCAGTACTCTCTGTCATCTAAGCTGTTCTGATGGACTTAGAAAGAATAATTTTTCTAGTATCACCCACTTCAGGATGCTGCTTTTGCTGTAGATATTTTGCACTGGCGCAGCTTTTCCAGCTGAGCACCTAATGCATTTCACGGCTATTAAGCAGCTCAGCACTTCTCCCCCAGGGGATGTGCTCAGGAGGCACTGGTGCAGGGAGCCAAGGTACCAAGGTTAAACGACTTGCCCAAAACAACACAGGAATCATGAAACTAAGGCTTGACATCCCAGGTACCAGTCACACAAATGCCTTCATTGAACTGTTATTATTACTATTATTATTACTGCTACTACTATTATTTGGTCTTTTGAAGACTAGGACAAAGATGCTAAAAGTCAGCACAAACACCTACCAACCCAACCAACATTACCAACATCAAGAAGAATGCAATCCCCAAAACACAAACAAACACAGTATCTCAGTGTATTCCCCCTCCCAAATGTTTCAACATATTATATACTAATATAACATAAGAAAAATACGTATTCATTAATAATCGTAACAGAAAAAAGTGCCCCTTTTTTTCAATACTATTTTGCACTTTTCACATATCAATATAAGTTGAGAAAGGGTGGGGTGTTGTTTTGGTTTGTCTTTTCTGTTTGTTTGTTTATTAATTAAAAACGAGCACAACATAAACTATAAAACCTGAAGCAATGTTTGATGGAGCTTTTTTGGGGAGATGACAGGAACAGCTACGTTTCATTTACTGTGCCCATTAACTTTTACTAAACACTTTTTTTTTTCTCAGAAAAATCTCACAGGCAATAACATACTTTTTGTTGCATTTATTCTTGTATACCATATTAGGCATAAAGCCAAACAATGTTTTAAGTAATGAAATTTGAACCATGCTAGCCTCCTTTGCTTGGCAGACTTTTTACATGGTATACATGTACACTTTTTTATTTTTTAAATGCAGTTTCATCAAAACAACGTTTCATTGTGACATGTTTTCCATGGACACATTTAATGTTTTTGTGTTTTTTTGTTTTTTTTTTTGTTTTGCTGGAGAAACTTTGTTGTCTCCAATAAGACAACACGAGAGTTGTTCTGCAAGAGAAAGCCATCTCACAACAGCTGATAAACAGTAAATGGTGAACTCAACTTTACAAGGCTAAGACTGAATGTTTCCCATACCTCGGACAAAATATCCTAACTATAAAAGTATTCTGAAATTTGGTTGTTTTCATAATGAAAACTTCATGAAATAGAAACTGATTGACTTCTTAGATTCACCCCTGTGCAGGCATGTAGGACCTCGCAGCACAGAGGTGAAATGGCAGCCTCCTCTCCCAGGATATGGCAAATGCTCATGGCACTAGAAAGCAGAGCTCAGCTCAAAACCAGAAAAGGCAACTGTGACAAATATTTTTCAAAAACACGGCAACCATGTGATCCATCTAAAATAATTCCCTTGCATTTTCTTCCATATGCGCATTTTTGTCACTAGCATATATATCAAGCTCACAATTATAAAATTAAGATAAAATCTGATATAATAGTATTAAGATGTGTTCTGAATACAGTACGGTGTAACTTGTCCAAGGAAGATGCATAAGTCTATGGGTTGAACCTCAAAAATTCTTAGCTGTGCTTCCATATCACAGATGTTAACAGGGGAACTTGGACTAGCTAACTTTTGATTTAAACTACAGCTAGTTTAATACATTACAATCTTAAATTTAATCTTGTCTCTTCTCAAAACCAAAAAGCTTCCAAAATTAAAACTTTCATATGTTTAAAATAGCAATAGCTTTTTTTTTTTTTTTTGGTGAATTAAAAAAATAAATCATTTGTATTCTTAAAGTTTTCACATAAGTCAAAGTACATTTTCTGACCAACTCTACTGAAAAAGTTGAAGGTAAAATCTTGATAGTCAGTCCCTTTATTTTCCCCTCACAGAATTAGTAAGAATATGTACTTAGATTTCTCTGAAGGCTTTAGATGCAGGTCCACGTTTCCATTCTCCAAACAGAATATCTTTTTTTTTTCCTTCTAAATTGATCTTATTTTGCGGGAGAAAAGCAAAGAAAAATGTTCCTGTGCAACAATTCTTCTAACTGGCAAGACTTTTCAGAAGTAAATTACCTGACATGGCATTACTCTGATAGCACTGGTGAATATTTTCTTGCAAAACAGTGGAAGTATCAAAAAATCAATAAAAGAAATATTAAATTCTACATTCATTAACAAGCAATTAAAATTCAAAATTCCCTATTTTTTGTTTTGTTTTGTTTATGTTCCTGTGCATGGATGCACATTTGAAAACACTGTTGTTCAAATTTGCCTAAAGCATATACAATCAAAGTCAATGGGATCTGAAAGCACAGGACAAGGGCCAGAACAAAACTTAGGGGCTTGGATTGTCCTTTCAACTGATGTGGGAAAACACACCAAGTTCAAAGAGGGTAGTAGGCAAAATCCTCGTATTTTTCCTACTCACATTTTGGTGGTTAAACAGATATTTGGTTTTCTATAGCTTTTGTGCAAATATACTGAGCTTGCACTGATGTTGTCTCTCCAATGTCTCAGAATGTTTTTTTCTCTGAAAGTAGTTTATGTTGCTTTCCACGAATTTACAAACCAGCGTCATAGTTAACCTACCTCAGTTGACAATCTTTTTATTTCTTGCTTCCGCTGTTGCTCTGCAAAGTTTGCCACAGACTCAGCCAAATGATTGAGTTCTTGTTCATTTGGAGCTCCCATGAAGTTCAGCAAAGGAGGTTCCCAACCATTTCGGAAACGGGGGACATAAGGTGGAATAAACTGGTCTTTGGGCCAGTCCGCTCTGTATGAAAAGTAAATTAGAGAGCTTTGTCAAGGGCCATAAAAATATTATTTAGATAGGTTTTCTAAAAATTGAAATGCTTTTTATTTTGTTAGTGAAGAGGACAGGCTCGCATTACAGTATAGATACAATTGTGCTAGAACACAAAATTTGCAGAAAATATGTATTGACCATAACTACTTTTCTGCAAGGCACAGCAATAAGCTAACTACTTTTGCCATAATGACTTGTCAGTGCTAAAACAACAAATTCCTGTCTCCTAGCAAAGGATGAGTAATAGAAGAATCAATCACAAACACATCTAGGATTTTTTTTTTAGCTGTTAGATGGGAAAAAGTGTTGCAATGCTCTGTTTGTGTTAAAGGAATACACAAAAGACTTCAAAGAAACCGCCTACTGTATAAGAAAGTCTGAAACTAGGTATGAAGTACAGAAGCTTAGGCCAAGCAACACTTTAAAGAAATTAGGCAATGAATAGCTTATATTGAAAAAAAAATGAACAAGAATTATCAGCATATTTAATGTTTTATACTTTAGATTAATTTTCTTAGAATACAGTATTACTTTTTAGTGCTCCACTAGCATTTCCTACTGTAATATGCAGTACCTAAATTAATGCTTTCATGCTCTGCCTTTGTGCCATGCATGACGAACCATCTTGCAATATAATTACTGTATCTTTACAGTGGAAGCAGAAATGGAAACTGACATTACAGTGGCTTAACAGTCTCATTGTTGACATTGCTCAAAATTAAGGGAAAAATGCTGTCAGCCACACAACTTGCAGGAACAGTCAGCAATTATTATCCCATTAGCAGGCCTGATGTAGGTCAGTAACCCTTGAGTTTCATCATTCATCTCTCTTGCTAAACTGCACCACTGTGTATCTCTGTATACTGAGATCACTCAGACTGAAATATCTAATCTTCACAGGTCAACTAGCAGCATTCTAAGTGCTTCACTCTTCCCTATCCAACATAAGCTGTTTCTCTTTCAATCACACTTTTTTCAGTATGTCTGAAGATAATAATGAAGGTAGTTCCAAAGACAAGGAGGCAACGATTTTACACAGAAATCCATTTTCCCTTCATGGGGCTCCAATGCTATGGAAATTTCCAGAGTCAGCCCCACCACAAGCTGCAGTGAAGCCAACAGAGCTCAGAGCAGGTAAAGGCAAGCAGATACTGCTTTTCTGGTATAAACTCTCTGGCAGTCACAAGGGGATCTAATTACTGTTTCCAGCCCATTTTGTAGTAGCAGGCTGGACAACAGGCCCAGGGATGTATTTGGACATTGTTCCAGCATCAGAGTGAGATCAAAAAGGGATCACACACTCCCTACTATGAGTATGCTCCTCGCTCCATATTCTAGGGCTTTCTATGCAGCCTTCCTTACCAGGAAAACACTCAATTCACTTTTATCACTTAGTCACTTTTAAAAAATACTTTTTATTGATTAATTAATTTAAAATGTAAGAAATCTACTTGGTAGATGTTTATTTCTGAATTTGGAATCTAAGAGCAAGACAAGTAAATTCAAAATACATGGTGTGTTTCCAGTCCAAATGATTGCATGCTTAAGCATTGTTACATGTATTTATCTACCACAGATTACAGATTGACATTTTGTCAATTTAAGATTTTTTTCTGCATATTTTACTAAGTAATTTCAAACCATATACTCACCTCAAAAACAACAAATACATAAAATAATTTCAGTGAAGCTTAACCATAATAGTGACATGTAGGGTATGCACACATAACATGACTCAGCCAATAAACACTCTTTAAAAGTTTGAAGCATTTTCTTTATAGCATTATGATGCTTTTAAAGAAGTAAAGGCATTTAAATTTTTAGCTTTTAATCATTATTGGAAATTCAAAATAGAAATCTGTATCCTCTTTTGCCACATTTTTCACTTTTTATATCAACTTCTTCAAACTGATTTTTAATCAATTCCAAATGATTGGGTTGGAAAAATAAGGGTGTAAAGCAAGCATGCAAAAGACAGTTCAGAAAAAAACGATGATGTAAGACTACATGTATGTAATTTGGTCTCTTCTCCTAGATTCTATGGAGGAAACAAAAATTTCTGTCTACGTTTTCTCCCTCCCTGTGACCCCTAAAATCAAACCATTCCCAAATCCCATTGAGGCTAAAGGGTTCCTTTCCAAAAAACTTCAAAGAACAGCTGTGAGGAGTCCAAAGACCACCAAATTAGTAACAGGTTTGTTGGGGGTGGATCATATGTCAATAAACTTGAGCTTTTTCTCACCTGGCTTTGGTCCACGTGTCACCCAATGACATCCATAATTGTCCTTCCTCACTGGTGACAGTATATTGCAGGAAGTCTATAGTATCTTTTGTAAGAAGGGGACTTATTACTGTACTAGCAAGCTCTGGACCTCCTGTTGTCTGCACCACCTAAATACAAGTATTAAAATAAAACAAAGAACATACATATGGCAAGTAAGGAAGTTATATTGAATATATATCTGCAGTGCTGCTAGGATACATTTACTACTCAAACAAACAAATAATATTTGAGGAACTAACATGTGTCCTAATGTCTTATGGATAAAGTAAAAACACTTATAGCAAAATAACTGCTGTTCTGATCACCTACTAATTTATATTTAGACCCACTATTTCAATGTTACTTTAATCTACTGATCAAAACCACACATACTTCCATTAAGGCATATGGCTATGCATTCAACTCTCCTCCTGCATTATATAAATTATCACATTTTTTTAATTGTTAATTAAAAATGATAATTTCAAAATGTAACATAAAAAGCTAAAAACATTTTAAATAAATACATTTAATAAATGGATGTGTGTGCAGAAAATGATATGTTTTCTGAAGAGACCCTCATCCTCAAATGCACACATTTCTCCTTAGTTACTGTCCAGGGACACAACATTTTAATCTTTTTATCTTTGAAAAGGTTATAGAGTATACAGATACAAGAGTTCTGAAGGAAAACACTGAAAAAAAATATAAAAGCTTACCATATGTAGTGGGGTAAAAAGAAAATGAACCAGTTCCGCTGCACTAGGATTCTGGATATGGAACTTCAATTTGGCCTGAGGGAAAGGGAAAATGATAAATTGTAAGAAACAGTTAACTTTAATGACAATAAATACTTCACATAAGAATGACCATCTCAAGTGAGATCACAGGTCCATCCAAGCTCAATTCTTTGTCTCCAACATCAGCTAATAACAAGTGTTAAGGGAAGAATGTGAGAAAAAGGCAAACTCATAAGAAATTTTCCCCAAGATATTTTGAATCCACCGGTAATTACCTCAGAAACCAGAAGTACAAAATGCTAGTGTTTTACATTAATAGCCATTGATGGATTCTTCTTGTGAATAAATTCACTCAATTGCTTTTGAATCCATGTAAATCTTAGCGTGTACTATGCAAATAAGAAGTTTGGCACCTGGATTCTATGCTTTGTAAAAAAACCATCTCCTTTGGAAATGTACCAGCTCTAGGTTTCATCAATACCCTGTAGTTCTTTTCCAAAAGAAAACTGATCAATCCTTCTCTCCTCCCTTTTTCAGTGATGTTCGTTACAATTTATAGATTTATTACATTCTCATTCTTTTTGGTTTTTACTCCAAACTAAAGAAAAGCCTAAGTAATCATCCTTTACAACATTCTTGTCCTCCCTGTACATTCTTCCATTTCACTGTACTGGGACCAAAATAAAGCCAGTGAACATAGTGGCATATTGATGATCTGTATTCATTCATTTTTGTCTTTTCTGATGTCTCTTAGCATTCACTTGGTTGTTCAGTACATGTACTGAACATGGATGATACTTTCACAGAAACAAGTAGTACATCCACATTTTTTTTCTCACTTATTCTATATATGATGTTTTCCCATTTGTATCTTATCTGTCAATACTGAATTTCATCTGTAAATTCACCATTTGCTATCATGAGGTTTTTCTCCATTTCTGTACTGAGGATTAGTCTCATTTTACTATCCAGAATAGCTTAGTAGCCTCATCAAATCTTGTCACTTCACTCCCCATTTGCCCAAAAACCTGTGAATATGTTGGACAGCAAAGGCTGTCATGGTATAGGTGTACATGGGACTTCACTGCTGAATTTACTGCACTTTGAGAATGGGCATTTCATGCTTATAAATCGTTTTCTGTTTTGCCAAGCAAGAGTCTAGGAAGCTCTGTTTGAACTCAAAGCAGCTCATTTTCTATACAAACTTCAGGGTATGTGACCTTGTTAGAAATAAAATAAAAATTTGAGAAATTTGTAGGCATCATTTCGCTTTGCAAGATGTATGTTTTCTTCTTCAATTTTAATATACCTGTCTACAGGTTTATTATTTAATAATATATGGGTATAATGTTAAATGTCTACCATATCCCATGAGGGGTACCTCATGGATACATGGTTGTCTCAGTCCCTCAGAGCCCTGAAATTACTTTAAAATTATAAACATTACCTTAATCATTTCTCTTTCTCAGGAAGAAAGCCAGTCTGAGAGGTTGCACAACACTGTGTGTGGTTTGTTGATTTATCCGTAAGTTTTTGGAGGAGATGGATGAATGGTACCCATTCAACAGAGTTTCTATCCATCTATCTGTTACCTGCCATTTTGATTTTCTGTTCTTTTTTAACCCATTACCAGTTCTTCAACATGAAACAGATACTCTCTTGTGCTTCCCATAAACAATGGTTTTCATGAACATATTGTCCATTATCAAGCTTTTCCAAGTAAATATATGCATTAAAAAAATACATATTTTTCTCTGCTACAACTTCTTGGAGTATTCCTTTTATTTAGTGATGACCTATCAGCTCTGCAGACTCTAGAAGTAGCAAGCATGCCAGAATGTGTTTTAAAAAACTCTAGTAATTCTTATTGCATCTTGCTGTCTGTTCCTTCAAACTCCTTTTGTCTAGTTTCATCCTATATTTACATCTAGCCTTCTAGAGTGTGCTTCCAAGTTAAAAAACAAAGAGGATGTGTTTTTAGTGCTAATAACTTCCTATACATTGTCCTTCAGATGTGACAACTTTCTTTTGGTCTTTGTAAACATTTTTTTTTTCCAAATGGTAGGCACTTTCTAGCAGTTTCTGGCATAGTATTTTAAAACAGTTTCCATTCTACTGACAAAGATTTTATTCTTCTAGCTAATCATTTTACTTTTAAACTAGATTATTCACTTTATACAGTTCTCCATGTCTGACATAAATGCCTAGGAAAGGAAATTTCAAGTTTTTGTGGCTTCTGCAATGACATTGAAACAACACACCGGTATGGCACAGATCTTCATGAAAGAGCATTAGAAACCAGGTCCTAGATGCTCTCAGCACCAAAACAAGAACTGCTTCTACTCCTGAACACAAAATAAAGATTTGGATACATGGGTGTTCCTCGGTGAAAAACTAATTTAAACGCAGTATTAAATTATAATGAAAAAAATTAACATTACAGGCACTATTACTGAGAAAGATCAGCATGTTCTAAGACATCTCCTGCCTTTCCCTTTCTCCCTTTTCCCTTGCACCCCAGCAGTCCTCTAAGGTCAGAATCACAACATCTGATAATGAGGTCTTAAAGTAATATATTCTTTACCTTTCTAAATAACACCCACAGCCCTGCAATCAGAATTCATTCCCCAAGAGGAAGAAGAACGAAGATTTGACTCAATGAATGTGAGAACAAACTTTCTTTTTGGCATAGCTTCCCCAGCAATTGGAAGGGACAGTCAGTATGTGGAAGTAAATGCACTGAAGGTGTCCTACTTGCTGCCTTCCAGTAATAGCACTTGAAGAAGAGGACATGCCAGGGAGAAGGCTCTTGAGTTAGCACCTCCGTTTGTTGAGAACTTCCAAAAAGACATCAATTTGTCAGCTGGAGTGTTCTGAGGCCAGAAAGGTCCTATGTAATGATGGCAACAAGTACAGAGAGTTTGATGGGCATAACTGAATAAAACTAAATTAAGGCAACAGCTGGTGATGCTGGCAAGCATGCAAGAAAGCTGTGATCCCAACTGATGTTCTTACAAATCCTTTTATGATTTAAACTTGAATTTCACAAGTAAAAGGTTTTAAAGAGCCATGAAAAGAATAAATGCAACAATGCTAAAAGAGTAAGAAATATTTTTATCTTGTCACTGCACAGAGCCTTTGAGGAGCAGCATCCTAAAGCCATTTTGAAGGCCACTGTTGGCCAGAGGTGGCAGGCACTGCTCTTGCCTCAGTTTAGCCTCAGATAACACGGAAAAGTTAGAGGGCCAAGGCCAGTCAAGTAACAACTGAGCTATCTTCCTGTGTGCTAAACAAAGACTAAGCAAGATTATGTTTCCAGGTCTACTGACATTCTTGAAAAGGACATCTGTGGGTCTGCTCCTTTTTAAAGAGTAGTGAAGACCAAGACAACAAAGATCCAGACTCACAATTACCCATATGGTGTGACCACTTTTGCACGGCTTACATCAGCAGGGCATTTAAGCTCCACCAGGTTTCTCTATGTAGACAAGGCACCAGGAAAGTTAGAAAACAACACCTGACTACTGCATTCCCAAAGAAGAGATGACCTTCTGCAGCCCCCTCAGGGGAGTCAATAAAGCAATCACACCTCCTGGAAAAGCAGGAACATCCACGGAAACCCAACTTAAAAATAACTTAAAGCAAATCCATTGTGTTACTTATTCTTTCTTTTCTCTATCTTTCACAATAATTTTCATTCTTTACCATATTAGTTGAATAAAACAATGGAAAAGCAATACATTAAAACGGGCACTCGAATTGGTAGCAACATGGCATGACATATTATATTTAACATTAACTATACCAGCAAAACACTGTTATAGCATGCCTCTCTACACTAGTAGTCACTTACCAGAAGATTGAAGCCATGCTTAAACTTTTGGAAGCAGTCAACAAACTCATCTGGAGGTGGTGGTTTTGAACGGAGAGTCAGAACTCCCTCTGTTGAACAAATAAATTGAGATTTCATATCCACTCATATTTTACACAATTTCTATAAATATTAAAGATATAATAAACATATAAAGACATAATTAATAGATTTATCAACGTACAAAATGCTGCAAATACAGAACCACTACAGTGAGCATATTCTGCAGTCACATCTCTAATCAGCCACTCTCCACTGATTTCAAGCAAATATTTTTAACAGATTTTTCTCTAAGAATATACTGCGTGGACTTTTTTTGTGCTTAAAGTGAAAGAAAATTACTACCTTCCAGAAAAAAAACAACAAAAGCCATATTTGCTATCTACTTTGGTGATCCTTAGAGAAACAGAACTGTGTTCAGTAAGAACTCCTACCTCCAGGTCCTTTCTTTTTACTTTTCTTAGTCTTCTTCCTCTTTGCAAGTTCAGCAAATGCTTCAGCAGCTTTTTGAAGTTTGGTAACAAAATATTCAATGTCATCCAAAATATGGTTCAGAATTTGCTACAAGAGAAAAATTACAGTTACTCTATTGAAACTGTAGCAGTAATATTCAAGAAATCAAAAGAACTATACTCTTAGAGACCAGCAGCTTCCTCTGTACAAAGTTGATGCTAGAAAACTGCATATTTTGATTCATTGTGTTCTTAACTTCACATACCTGTAAAATATTTTAGAGGTCTTTTTTATTTGTTTGTTTGTTTGTTTTGTTTTTCAAAACTCAAGGAAAGAAGAAGTTTTTAAAATATAAACATCAATATTATTAAATTCAGATTGGAATTACACAATTAAATCATACACTACATTTTCTCTCACAGCATGTGAAAAAAATTCTAATTATTTGTGTAGGACAGCATTTTCCTAAACCGTATAACTTCATAATCTCCTTTAGCACAAAGTATTAAACTATTTGTTGAATGTGGTTTTATAGACGTAGTGCTCTTAGAAGAATTGTTTCCATAGAGCAAGTGGAGGAAAAAGAAGGAACACCTGGGAAGCATGAATACAGCAATTCAGCAGGCCCCAACATGCTTCCCTCAAGACCCCCTGATGTTGCTGAGGGCAGCATCAGAGTAGAAGAGTAGAATATTACAACAAACAAGCAGGTATTTGATATTGCATACTTCAGAGAACCTGTCCTATATTGTTGCTATGTGGCCAGAAAAGATTAGTTTATGCATGTGCATGGTACATTTGTCTTCAGAAATTTGCTAATGTTCTAGATACTGCACATGCCTAAGTCCCACAAAATTGATGGAATTAAAGTTTACCCTTACATAGTCTCTGAATTTAGTCTTCACAAAATTACTATTAATATTTCTAGTTTTTCACAACAGAAAACTTATTATCTATCTATCCATCCATCCATCCAACCATCCATCCATTTTAAGGAAAAAATACTAATAAAAAAGAACAATTGTCTATTCATTTAGAAGTCTACTGCACAAGCATAGGGTGTCCAGAATGCTTTCCTCTAGAACTGAATGTCCTGTGTGGAAAAAGTCTTCCCAAGACATAGGGCTGCAAAATTTCACAGACATTAAGCCACATCTCTTGTAGTAGCACTATCACTTACAACATCTCTGTCAATCCTGGCTGCTATCATCTCTGCTGTTTCTTCATGGTCATGGTATTGTCTATGTTTTTCAACTGTGGAAAAGGGAAGAGGATAATAACACATCCATATATGCAGAATTAAAAAACAATACTTCCTAAATAGCTTATGCTTGAAACCATTCATTCTACAGTAAAAAAAAAAAAATTTAAAAAAAAAATGTACCATTCATTTTACAAGGACTCTATACAACCTGATGAACTTGTACTGTAATACCTGACCTTGACAAATCTAAATATTATAAATAAGTATTATACTGTACATTGTATATTGAGTAAATAAATATTATATTGCTTTTGTTAACAAGAAGGATTTTAGTAAACACATTTTAGAAAAGATCCACATGAATGGAATAGAGGGATCTACAGGAACTCAAATCACTGACAGAGCACTTGATAAACTACTGAAACTTTTTTTTTTTTAAATGAGAAGTCAAACAAACGAACAAACTAGCCATTACTCAAGGTAGGTGTTATGCTGCAGATTAGAAGGTGAAAACATTCTTGACATTGCATGTTTTTCTGAACATTTTTGTTTTTTTTACATAGTTAGTTTGCTTTGTTGAGTGATATAGCTTCATAAGCCAAACATAATAAAGATGTCATGGTTAATGACTTCAGTTATAAAATTTTAGTATCTATTATTAAAAAACAAGTGAAACAAAACAAAAAACAGCCCTCACCTTAACCAAGATAACTTCATTATTAGTCTGTTTTACAGAAGGAGCTTTATTGTTTCTAAAGATTTATTTTTTTTTTCAAAGGAATCTGATCAAAATAAAAATGTTGCCATTAGAGATTAAAGAAAAAAATATATCAGAAATTCTACAGCATTCCTTGGTTAAGGTTTTAAAAATACGAACTACTTTAGTCATTAACATATAAATAAATAATGTTTATCTCCAGTCAGATTATAATCCAAGTGATTATATTTTTTAATTATCTGAAATATCTGGCCTATGATTTCCCTATTACTAAATAGGACATCATTAATTTACTAGAATTATGACAGTACTGATTAATGTGTGCGTTACTATGTTCACATAAAAGCCCAAGTTAAAATTCATAGCCTATACAACCATGTAACTAAACACAAGTAAATAGGTTTCTGAACAGAAATTCAGAGAAATGATAAGTAAATGATGAGTCAGATTATGACAGATAGCTCTTCCATAGATCAAGCAACAGTGGCTTGGGGTGTTTCAAACTGGACTGGGAGAATAATCCTGTCTGCTCTCAGCAAGGACAGAGGGGTGACCTATTACAACCATTTCTCTATGTGCATTTAATTCCTGTAATCTTCATGAAAGTGTTCTTTGAGAATTATTTTTTGTTATTACCGAGGATCATAAACACCTACTGCTCAGAAAAAGTGTTTATCACTGTGCTGTGCAGAAATACTCACACTCCCCATGCTCAGTAGCCCATGCAGACCATGCTGCCACACGGCTTCTCACATCCACCTGGGTGATGGTCCCTGGTGGCACAGGGGCAGGTGCCCGCGGGGGTGGAGGGATGGTGCTGTCAGCATTGGATATCATCCTACAGGAAGAAAAGGATGCCCACAAGTGACACTTAAAGCAAAAACATTATATTTTTTAGTGATTCATCAGAGAAGGCTAGGAGGCTATATAAAGACCTATTCTGCTGTTGAACACACTATGGACTTACCAAATTAGCAGTACTCAAGACCATGGTGTGTAAATATATTAAACGTAATAGGAAACACACTTCATGATGGGGTTAGCAAAATATTCACCAATAAAACAAAACCTCTATCACCCTCCTGGCTCCCACATAAGACCACCCAAAAAACAGTTCCTATGTCTGACAGCATTGTCCAAATGCTTCTTGAACTCTGGCAGGCTCAGTGCCGTGACCACTGCCCTGGGCAGCCTGTCCCAGTGCCTGACCACCCTCTCAGTGCAGAACCTTTTCCTAACACCCAGCCTGACCCTCTCCAGTCCCAGCTCCATGCTGTTCCCTTGGGTCCTGTCACTGTCCCCAGAGAGCAGAGCTCAGCGCCTGCCCCTCTGCCCCCCTCGTGAGAAAGCTGCAGGCCACCATGAGGCCTCCCTTCAGCCTGCTCTGCTCTGGGCTGAGCAAACCAAGGGACCTCGGCCACTCCTCATATACCTTGTCCTCTAGACCCTTCACCACCTTCATAACCCGTATATTTGACCCAACTGTGGAACTGAGACATGGAATGTTAATTCTCTGGCAACCTGCATTTATGTCAGATGTTCCAGTCACTAAGGTGGAATTGTGAAAGTTAAGAGTCATGCTATAAATTGAAATAGCATGAGATAAGTATTAAATCAAGGCCTCTACATGTGATTTTGGAAGTATATTATCAACTAGCAAAAAAAAGAACATGAAACAGCAGATAGACTTGGGGAGTTGGTGATTCTATATATTGCCAAGAAATTAGATTTTTACCTCAGTGTTTCAAGTCTCTTCTTTTGTTTCCCACTTTTGCAGTCACTGATTGCACTTTCTATATCTTCATGAATAAAGCTAGCCTGAAGAGACAGAAGTAGAAATCATCAATATTCAGCTAGACTAACGAGACATATGAAATAATTATTTCATCATACACTTTTTTTAAGGTATCCTTAGATTAGAGAATCCCTTATCATATCCCACTTAAAAATAAATAAATAAATCTGGGATAAATTATTTCATGCTAACGGAACAAAGAAACACACAATGCAATTGTCTGGGAATTGGTATTTTTGTAACTGTTCCAATCTCAAACATTATTATCAGATGAGTGTTTCATCTAGCTACCAAATTTGTCTGAACAGCTGTAATCATCCCAAGCCAACAATTATTGCGTAAGTTATTTTATCCTCCACGTACATCACTTTTGTTTTTGTCAAGCACGTTAGTGAAAGACATAACCAAAACTACTATAGATAGCAGCAGCATAAGGATTAGGAAAATAACTGGTAGCATTACAGTCTCCTTTAAGAAGTAACAATAGCCTCCAATTTCTCTTTGGTTTACTAAAAGATTAATTTTTCAGAACATTTCCTAATCTGTAGGTACCTATCTCCACCAGCAGCTCACAAGTGAAATTCTGATACATGTCTAAGGCATCATTTTAATAGATCTTGCATTAAATAGGTCACGGATTCTCATAGGATTTAGGATGCTCCATTACATGTCTTCAGCTGACAAATTAAATTTCCTATCCAGGCTGTCAAAGCCCCAGTCTGTCCATGTATGGCTCACTCTACAAGGCCCACCTCTATCTTGGTCCCCTTATGAAGGAGAAGAAATTTCTTGAGAGGAACATGTAACTTCTGCCAGGACCAGAAAACTTCCTTGAATTTAGTAACTAAAGGGATTAACAGGCTTCTCAGACTACAATGAACTGTACCCAAGATCTATTAATGTTAAAGAATGAATAGGAGAAAAACTTGAGGGGATAACAGAAGAATTTCATTAATCACACTATTGATATTTGTTATTTAACATTTTTTATGAGAATATTCAATGCCCAAAATATAATTTTATATTTTTGAATAAATTATTGTTGCAGAGGTTCCTGAGGTTCATGGTAACAGCTGATCAAAAGCAGTAAAAAGGCAACATCTCAAGAAGAGCCAAGTCTTATGGGAAAGGAATAGAAACTAGGGTAAAGTCACAGACTCAAATAATGTTCCAGAAGCAAACAGGGATCCCAGACTTCAAGTCATGCTTATATGCTCTGTATTTTTATTTGTACACACTGGAAAAACTTCAAAAAATGAAAATCTGAAGGAAAGCAACCACCTCTACAGCCTGGGAGGCTTTGTCCAAACAGACCTTAAAGAGGAGCCCTGCAGTATTTAGCAAACTACAAACTGAACTTCTAACAGAATCCCAATTTCCACTGAAACAGAATTCTGTGAAACTAGAATTAACACAATTGGTCATCTTCAAACCTCTAGCACAGTAGCAATTTCCAAAAGGTTGTACAACGTGATTACCAATCTGCTGTTTAAAGACAATTATATATATTACTAAGAAGGAATTAAAAAAAAAAAAAAAGAAGGAAAAAATGAAACCATGAAATTATTGACTAGAATTAAAATAAATGCCAATTATCTAGAGTAACTAATACATCAAAATTTATAGTCCTGGAAATAAACAAGTATTGCTGAATGCATTAAAATATTTACTCTAAAAGCTCGGAAAAAAATATTATAATCTTGCTATACTACTTGCCCCTCTTGCAAGTAGTATTTTCCATTTTACTATCTCTCATGCAGGACAGAGATGCAGAGATGTGGAAACACAGAGGAGGTTAATTGTTCATCGGCAAAAAGAGCAGAAAAATGGGAAAGATTAGGTAAGACTCCGAATGAGTTCTTTCCAGATTATAAAATATATTTGAGATAACTCAAAATATTTTATACCACTTTCTTCAGAAGCGTGAACACAAAACATATACACATTCCAAAGCTTTACTCATTTGCAAACCTAAATGTACAGCTACAGAGCCCAAGAATCAATATTTACAGTAACAACATATTTGCACATGCTCTAAAGATTCAGCTTACATACATAACTCACTCCTCTCTTACAAGACATACCCTGCTGCATTTACTAACATAAAATAGTGTTCAAATCATAAATGCATTAACCTTGAAAGATACTTGTAAGAATAAAAGAACACAATTATTTACTATGAATCCATTTATTTGATTTCATCCATTGTAATTGCTAATTCATGAAATTTCCCCCATTCAAATTAGTCACAGTAAATCTCCATTACCACCTTACCTTAATCTCATCACATTGGAAAAGATGCAAATCTGGCTTGTTTTGAGTTGGTTCTTTACATACTAATGCAAGAATTGAATTGTAATTGCATGCATTCATCACAGCTTGGCAATGCTGAATTGTGCTTAAAGGAAAATTCTCCAGTTCATTCTGCCAAAAGAAAGGGAAAAATATATATAAAAAAAAAAGCATTAAAAAAAAGCTACATGAGTTAAAAAGGGAAAGTGATAATAAGCTAATTAAAATACCAAACCTTACATACATCATTTTTCCCTTCTCTCTCCCTCTGAAAATGAGACTGCCACTCACAGATCTTACCTTTGATTCTAAGTCCACCAAACTGACAGCTTTGTCATCCACTTGAAGAATCATATCTTGAGTCCACACTTTGCCTTTGGCATCCAGCAATTTCAACTTCCTTATTCCATCATCTACTGTAATCATCGCCTCTTTTCGGTCCAGAACGAAGGTCGTTAAGTGCTAGTGAATGGTACAAACAATGAAGAAAAAATCTGTAACTCTCCCTATCAATAGGCAATGTCAGTATTCAAATTGTCATGAAAGAGCAATACAAATAATTCCTGAATAGAATTGGCTTTGTTTATGACAGATCCCACCAATACGCTATAGGCGAGGTTGTTCAGTCTGTAATGTCATTTTAAGTTAAATGATTTTTGTAACTCGCTATTTGTCATCCCCTGTCATTTCCTCACTACAGTACTGGTTACATCTGAAGGCAAATTCCAACATCTTCCACATATCATGGCTAGAATTGAATCTTGAGTATTTAATTAGCTTTATTGAGCATTGAAAACCTGCGCCAATTAGCAAGCTGAATTCAGAAGCATCAGCAGTAGCATCCCAGAAACAGCCTGCCAATATTCTTTCACCACCACCCTGACCTGGAGCATCCTCATCTTCTCCAGAACTGCCAATTAGCACACTCATGGCAAACACAAAGGGCTTGCATCTGAGTGAGATACCCTACAGACAGGCTAGTTGCTTGTTTTATGCAGATCACAGTAAAGTTGTAGTATATGAATTATTTTTGCTCACCATCAATTTGGAACATTCTTCAGATTCCATTAAAGGTCTAGAAATTAAACTGTACTTCACAGACATCACTTCAACTAGTTCCTCTGTCATTAAATTTTTGACAACTTCCCTTCAACATGTCAGACATGCAAGACAACCCATAAAGTTATTTAATTTAATCCAGGTATAACCCTAACTTCACTTTTTATTTTAAAGATCTGGATACACTCACTCAAGTTGAATCAATTTTAATATATGCCTGCATACCCACTTTATAAATAACTTAAAAGAATCAAGTGAGTTTTCTTCTGTTACAGGAAAAGAGTACACTTAGTAATGACAGACAGAAGAGTAGATACGAGTTGTATATAATCAAAGTGTTTTAAAAAGTGAAACAAACTCTACTGACTGCTCGTGCAGGAAGGCTTAGACTTCAAATACCAGTACTAATCTTTATGCCAGTAGAGTATGAGAATGGTTATGTAGAAACTGAAGACAGACAGATAATTAAAAGCAACATTAATGTTTCTTTGGAAGCTGATCATGGGATATAAGCACTTCTGCATACAATTTCACAACTTACAGCTAAATTTAAAACCCAGCTAAAATGGACTTGAGAATATAAGTTTTTTGCAAGACTCATCTTAACCTATGACAGTGTTCTGATGGCAGTAGGAGAAAGTTTATGCCAAAGAAACTACGGAATGAGGCACTGCACCCAAAAGTGTCTAACAGATGATGTATAGGCACCCAGGCTTACTTTGCTGAACATTTTAAACATAGCTATTTCTGGAGAAGATATGAAAGCAGCATACAGTATTTCTGAAAAGCATTTTAAGACAAGAAGCAATGTATTTTGCATTTTTCACTGGGGATGAAACTGTGCAGGCAAAATGTACTTGTTAAACTGCTACACAACAGACTTATTAAGGCTTTTAGGTTTTAGTACCCAGCTCTTTCTAAATATCCCAGCCCCTCTGTTGATCATAAGTGATCAAGATATTCATTTAAAATATCAGTCAGTGTGCCTCTCCAACAGCACAGTGTTTTTCAGCTCTGCCTCATCCTTGCAACAAGACAGGTTCAGAGACAGGACGGCATAACACACTGAGCTGTGATCCCATTGAGAAGCTCTGTCCCTTTGCCAAACTACACACAACTTTGCTTACATTCTTCTACATAAAAATTCCAGCTTGTTATGGCAAAGCTAGAGAATTTGATACATTTCAGTGTAATCTGTTCTGAAGTGACCTCAGGCTGGCAGGATATTTTGGAAGATTCATATGTCTTCAAGCATATTATCCTCAAAAATCACATAAGCAAAAATCACATAAGCAAAAATCACTGTGTGTAACCAAAAGCTGTAATTGGTACATTGCCTTGTCATACATCCTTGTCTCACCTCTACATGATACTGCGAAGTTTCGGATATGCTGCTGGCACTGTCCCGTGCATAATTCTTTCTTTGTTCTAAAGAGACGGAGAAAAGAAAGAATAATTATTCATTCGAATTCTTACCATGCTGTGTTTTGGATACTTCTCAAAGATGCTTAAGACTAGCCATATATGTGAAAGTAGAAGGTGAGCTGCTCTTTATTTCTGTATTCAAAAGAAAAACCTTCATGCTCACATAGTTCAGCACAAACATCGTACTTACATCCATGTTAAAAGCCATTTTTCTTGTCTCATTGTCTCCGGATGGGAGGAGAGCTCTGATGGAAAACACTTGACTGGGAAGCCTGACTATTAAAATCACTGGCTTACCACTTTGGTAGCAACATGGTAACTAGGTTTGTTATAGTTGTATGAATGCACCTGAAAGCAAAAGTGTTTTCTGATATAAACACATTTCTCATACTAAATCTGGAAAACAACAAAGTCACACACAAACCAGACCTGACTCATTCCTTATCTCTTCCTAGAGTATTCAGTTTGTTGAATTACTAATGTAGAAAAACACATGGAAAACAGGGAAGGAAAAAAAAGCCAAAAGCTGCAGCAAAAAAAATACAAATTAAGTATCTCAGAACACAAATATTTTTCATCTGACAAACAAAATGCCGCAAAATCAGAAACATTGTTTGTCTTTAACTACATAATATCAAACCAGGGGAAAAGGGAAGGGAAAATGCAAGATGAGGACACAACACACACCCACACCACAAACTAATGAATTAAGATGAATGCTGGAAAAAAAAAACAAAACAAAACAAAAAAACTTTTCAACTTTATTAGAAAAAAAGATGAATGAAATATTTGCAGGGTTTGTCCCTTTTTTTACCTCCATAACCACTAAAGTGCCCAATTCAAAACACTGCGACTTTTGTCTAAAAAGTCGCTAGGAGACTTCTTCAAAAGAAGTACAAGGAAATTCTGCATTAAAAACAAAACAAAACAAAACTCATTTCTGATCTTCAAGTAAAATAGGCAGTTTGATTGTGTTTGGAATAAAATATATGTAACCGAAGTTACATTCATTTCATCATACCCATTTAGAGTAGCTGGGGCAAAAATAAGAGCGTATGATTCTGTCACCACGAGAGATAAGTTCCTTTTTGCAAAATTAAAAATGCTACCTACTACCAAACACATGATCTGTGACGTACAGAGATCTGTAGTGAGGATGCCATAAAAGCAACACTGCAAAAAGCTTGTCTGTGACCTGGATTCCTTCACACAGGAATTTCAGGTATTGACAAGGAAAGAAGTGCCAACACTTACAGATGTAATGTCTGGAAGGATTTTGTCACCTTTTAGAATCACACCCATTACCTCTCCAATCCTCAATGAATTTCATGAAAGATAACCCAGCTTTTGAAACCCCTCCCTGGCTTGATGGGCCCCTTCCTCAATGACAAACACTGCTCATACAGAAGAGCTATCCTGCTCCCTTATTACAGCTACTCAGCTTGGTTTAGCAAGAGGAGTCCACAACGCAAACACCAAATTGAAGAATGCCATGGATTATCAGAATTTTTAATTAGGTGTGTGAATTGTTAAAAAACAGATGTCTTAATTTCATCACCCCATATCTGAAATCCCAGCACAGAGGACCTGCACTGATTCCAATTGCAACTAATATTTCTGCTTTTGCAGCACGTTATTTAAGGCATCTTGTTTGGTTGTTATGCTTTTAAGGATAATAGACACACACATGCACATCCCAAAAAAAAAACAGTCAGTGAAGCAGTACTGTCTGACTTGCTACCTTTCTTTTTTTGTTTGGATGATGATCTGAAGAAGTAAAGTCCATCTGTTCCTAACAAAACAAGGGAATTAAAAAAAATAGTATCTAGTTTAACTCAATAGAATGTTTTACATCTCCAAGGGGATCAGTTAACAACCCTCTTTAATGGACTGTAAATGATAGTCAAACACTGTCTAGTAAGAAAGCAAATACCATTAAAAAAAGTTTCAATTAATAACACATCAAATATTCAACTTTGATTATTATTACTATTATTAGGTGAAAAAAGAGCATTATTTCTAATGATATCAAATTACACAAGGATACAAAATCTTACAATCACTGTAAGGATTAAAAATCTTGCAAACAATAACAGTTGGAGTGTTTTTAAATAAAGACATCCTGGTGTAAGTAAAGGCTCCAAAGAAATTAAAAAACAGAGAATGACTTTTGCAAGACATTCCTTGCTCTGATTCATACAAATTTTGTTTTGCATTAGGATATCCAAGAACACTTGGAGCACTGATTAACACATCCTCTTCCACAGAACAGCACAGCACTCACAATGGACAAGACGGCAAGGTTTTCAACACACTATGTCACGGTGAGAATAATAGTGTTTGTATTAAGAAAGAGAGCTTTCTGAGTGATAATAAAAGCTATGACTACCTGTGTCTGAGAGCAAAGGAGACCCCCCAAAGTTCTGCGTTCTTAATTACGACAGGACAGTAACAAGAACTTCAACAGAACTTGAATTAGCAAAAGTCAGTCAGTGTCTGTGTTAACAAATAAAAAGTATACTAACCACAACTGACAGTCTACTTTGAGTTCAGCAACAGCTCCTATTTACCCGTTTCTATTTTAAACACACTTATGCTGGCAGAATGTTTATTAGAACCAGTTAGATATGTGAGTTACCCTTTGATGTCCGTCCAACAAGCCCTTCTTATAAAAACACTGCAACAGGTCACTTACAGACTTTCAGACTCCAGAGCCCAGGAAAGTAGCGCAACCTAAACTCTAAGTAAAGCATGCAAACTAAACCTGAGGAGGCTTCCAAGTCTTGTTGCAGTTACAAACCAACATGTACACACACATACACAAGTGTGTGTGTGGGGAAACACCTCACAGGCTCTTGATTGCTGTTCAGTGCTGCAACATTTTTCTAGCTTTGAATGAAGTAAAAACTAGCCTGTAGTAGCTGTGAATGTTGTCAACACTGACACAAAGGAGGTGGAGGTAGATGTTATGGGTAACTCATCCATCCTGAATCATACACCCTTCAAAATACAACTTCTAATAAGTAACCTAGCATCAGTAAAATTCTTCAGTTGCTTCTAAAGAAGTTTTTCTTTAACCTTTGTTTAAAGGTTAAAAAACCTCTGCAAGTTCTCACCTTGCCCTCAGAAAGGAACTTATAACATGATATTCAAATGCTAATAACTCACCCCTACTATTTAAAATAAGGATGACTAATTTTCATGAATTTGCTGACTTACTGAATGTACTTGGTCTAGCTGGAATGGAGTTAATTTTTCACAGCAGCTTGTGTGGTGCTGTGTTTTGGATTTGTGACTAAAATTGTGTTGATAACACACCTAGGTTTTACCTATGGCTGAGCAGCATTTGCACAGCATCAAGGATTTCTCCATTTTTTCTCTGCCCCCAGCAAGTTGACTGATGGTCCAAAAGAGGCTGGGAGGGGGCACAACTGACCCAAACTGACCAGAAGCCCATAGCATATAAAGTAATGCTCAGCAATAAAACCCATGCTCAACAATAAAACTGAGGGGTAGTCTTTCCAAAGTATCTAATGCTCAGAGACTGGTTGGACATTGATTTGCCTGTTGGAGGCTGGTATGTAGTATGTAATATAAAATGCCTTTGCATTGCTCTTTTTTATTTCATTTGTTTGTTTTTAGTTCTTTTTCCTCTCATTTATCAAACTATCTTTATATTAATCCATGAGCTTTTTCCTTGCTTTTGCTCTTTCTATTCTCTCCTCAATCTCACTGTGCAGTGAGAGAGGGGTAGGGATGAAGCAACTCACTCAGGGTAAGTCCTTAGGTGCTGGCCGGGTTCAAGTCCTTACAGTGAAAAAAATAAAAATAAAAATGTTTTATATGTTCCACTTCACTCTCCTAATCCTCCCGATCAATCTCAGCCTCTCATGGGTCCCTTCAAGCATGAAGAGAATTATTGCAGCTAAAGTGATATTCTACAACAGAAGCTTTGAGATATGATGAATAAAACAATCACAACAATCACAACTTTTTTTCTTTTTTTCTTTTTTTTTCCTGTTTATTCTATTTATTACAGCTCTTACATACAATATGTAAAACAGTGCAGCCTTCATAGCACAGTAAGTTCAAACTTAGCTGATGCACTGCACACAATTTATCTAAAATATTTTCCTCTGATAAAAGAAAGCATGAAAACAGAGATAAAAAGAATCACAACAGAAGACACCAAATTCTTAATCACAATTATATACAGCAAAAGCAACCTGGAGGAATCTGAGCAAAATAAAATCTCTCACAAGGCAAGCACAATAAACTTAAAAGGAGAACAGCTTTTCGCTTATAGGCCCTGACTATAAGATCTACTAGTTACTAAGCTTTTCAAAGGAACACAAATATTGATCCACAGAAAGCAATATTCCTGCCTCTTTCTGATGTGGAGTGATGCCATGGCTCTTCCAGTCTTTGTGAACTTACTGCATTTACCAATCATCAGGGATGGACCACATTTATGGTTTTAAAAGATGTGAAAGGGTGCTGACTTCATACTAAACTTGGAAACAGCCACAGAAACACAAGATAAAAAAAAAAAAAAAAAAAAAACAAATAAAAAAACTCTCAACAAAAGGCTTTTGGACAAGCCAAAAATACAATAGGCAGTACCCTACACAAACTCATTATTGCCCTCATTACAACAAAAACTTTGTGCTCTCCCTAGTTATTTCTGGCCATTTCATACTTCGGAAAGGTAACTACTCCACGGTTTCAGACAAAAATACCAGCTTTGCCCAAGGTCATTTGAGGCAGAGCTATGTACAGAACCTGACATAGCTAGAATCCTCTCACCCATTTTTCCACTGGAAGAGACTACAGCTAAATGGCAAATCAGAAAGTTGCTTAATAAATCCTACTGCAGTCTGACTGTCATTGTCCAGTAGAAAGACCACAGAAAAATCACAGCAAGGTATCAGGAGAAGGCTCTTCATTGAGAGGGTGGTGGACACTGGGACAGGCTCCCTATGGCAGTGGTCACAGCACTGAGCCTGCTGTATTTCAAGAAGCATTTGGACAACACTCTCATACATAGGGTCTGGTTTTTGGGTGGTCCTGTGCAAAGCCAGGATTTGGATGTGATCCTTGTGGGTCCCTTCCACCTCAAGATATTCTGTGATTCTAAAACAAATCCGATTCTTTATCTAGGTAGATTATCTAGGTAGATTCTTTATCTAAGTAATTCTTTCCAAATATAAAAGTCCAGAGGCTGGGTCTTCATGGATAACTCAATAGTTATTTTACTATTTACTAACCATAACTCAATAGTTATTTTACTATTTACTAACCACATCAGAGATGGCAATGGCTGCAGTCTGTTTTTTAACCAAACTGTCTGTAACACAAATAAAAAAAGTGGTGCTGGTTAGGGCTATGCTATGTTTAGGTACAAACAAATTTTCAGTGCCTAGAGCATAAAACAGAAACGAAGAGTTCCTGTGCAAAGACTTCCCCTGATAATTGCATCAAAGATGTAATAAAAGTTATCAGCACTCCAGTTATGATAGTGAAAAGAAGGATAACAGTGAATCCTATCTTACCCTTCCGTAAGGAAACTGGAAAATGTCTATATAGTGTAAAAAGAGACAAAGCTCTGAAATTAGATAGCAATCCACATGGAGATGGACTAAGTGTCTCACAAACTACCCTACAAATCCTGATACAACTGTAAATTATTACCACACATTGACAAGCAGAAAACCACAATACGTAGTACTACTGTATATTTATGGTTGCATTGGACTGATTGCTGATACACCTTTAAGAATATATTGCAGCAGCTGGAGAAAACTGAGACTCAGAGCAAAGTGCAGAAGTTGTGATCTACACCTCCAAGGAGAAAGGTCAAAACTTGATTTAAAAACAAATGTCAGTATCAGAGGAGTAAACACTATCACTTTCAGAAACTCTCGCTATCATTCTCCCTGATGGCTACATGCAGCTAGCTATCAGAGAAGGTGTATTGTTTAGAAGTCAATTGTTAGTTTAATTCATTTGAGTATCAAATAACACAAGAATGTTACACGGCTGGCTTATTTTAACAGACCCCTATTACACTACATTTCTTACTCTGAATGAGGTATTTGAGTAATACAAAGATACACATGCAATTTCATTGCTAGCACCTAATCATGGCCATGGGAATATAAACACAATATATAAAACACCTGGTCTTTTCTGATGCAGTTACTTTCATAAAATCTTCCAATTCTGTACTGAATAACAGTCCAACGATTTGGAGTGAAACACTAGCTTATGACTGCTGGGAAAGGGGGCTGCTCCGCAATTTGTCACTCACTGGCAAACTCCCAGTGCAGCACTGGCTATTGGATCCAACCGATGCTACACGTCTCCCTGTGTGCTGAACAGCAGAAGACAGATGGAGAAGCTAATGCTAGAACAACAGATGACAGTATGAGCCAAAACCCATTTCAGATGGAGAGATGAGGAATTGAATAATGAAATAAAAACCCTAAGAATGTGTAGAGGGCATCCTTTCTCTTAGGTCAGGGAGACATTTATCATGCAAATAGAAAAGATTTCATTTCAGGCAGGAAATGCGTCAAAACAGAGATTATTTGACACAGGAAAAGGCAGTTGCAAACAAGTTTTTGCTATCAGGTAACCACATCAGAGATAGCAATGGCTGCAGTCTGTTTTTTAACCAAACTGTCTGTAACACAAATAAAACTCCAGCCTCTTTTCCCAATCAGCAGTGCAGTCAGCCTTCTTCCTGAAGCCTGAAGGACTGAATAATCATGAATGACCTTACCAAAATAAGCACTGGGACTCAACAGTTAAACTTCATGCCATGATGTATATATACACATATGTATATAGACAGATAGATAGATAGATAGATGTTTTAAGATCTTCACTGTGACTGGAAAAAATTGCATTCAAGATTTAGTGGTGACTTAGGAGCTCAGGTACCATTTCTACCTCTTGATATCCATGGATAGGTGCACTTTAGTCCAAATAACATTCAGAAAATGACTTCCAGAAAAGGAAGTTTGTCATGAACAAAATTTGCTGCTAGCATTACATTGCCACCTTTCATAAAACAAAACAAAACAAAAAAACACAATGTGGTCCATGTTATTTCCACTAAAACTAATTAGATATCTATAAGTGAATCTATTAAATACATAGGCTTGAAGTATTAACATAACTGGTATAGTTGCATGAAGTATACATATACATAAAAAAAAAAAGAGAGCCTTCAATCTGCTCATAGTCTTTCAGTCTCACAGGTCAAACAAAACACATACATTAGCTATTAAATATAAATTAATAATAAAATATTTTATATTTAACTGCTTCCCACTCCATTGGGACAGAATGCACAAAATTCCTAAGCATGACAAAGGAAAAAACATTGAAGACACATGACAGATGCAGCAGAATGGTAACACAATTCCTAAAAGTAATATATAAGTGCCTAGAATTTGAGGAAGGTTTTAGGTATTTTTCTTGTTTACTCCAGCTCATACAGTTGGTGATACTGACATACCTAGTTTATGTATATAAAACTGAGCAGAAGCAGTAAAATGTGCAAACCCCTCTCTAAAGGTTGTGAAAATGTATCTTTACTTGAATCTCCGGGATAACTGGATCTTCTACTTCATTCAGTTCTTGTCAATTGCTACTGCAATTTTTTGATCTATCTACTAGCAATGGCAGTAAAACAAAATTAACAACTCATTTTATAGTAGCCACCTGTAACGCAGTAGTTAAACAGCAAGTATTTTCAAATAATACTTGAATTCAATTATTTCAGAAGTAAAAGGCTGTTTACTGTTATATGTTTCAAATTTACTCACTTGTCCCCATATTCTACTTACATACAAATATTCCATGATGTTTGACATGAAAAACCTCATACAGGTATCATTTTAAAAGCCCACAAAGATTAAAGGACATGGCTAAAATACTTGCTACTACTGCCACATCATTCAAAACAGGCACTTTTGAAAAATGATTAGGATGATATAAAATGAAAATAGTGAAATGCATGCCAAAAAAATAATCTGCAGATGAAATAATCATCAGAATGTCTCTTGCTGGTTTCTGTTACCACCTACTCTTTCTGTCAGAACGCATAATTAGTATGTTGAGTGAACATACACAGGATGCAGAAATCACTGTTGAAAACTATCACTTTAGTAAGAATAAAATCACTTCTTTTATTTTGTTAATACATATTGACAGATACATAATATACATACCTATAAACATATACATACACATTTCAGTTTTGTATACATACTATACAAAAGACATAAATAAAATATATACCAAGACATCACAATCAATGTTTAAATAACAATTCCAACATAGAAGTTCAGTGACTTTATGCCGTCTTACCATAAAGAGCCTTTGCACTTGTTCTTGAATTCTGCTCCCTCTCTGCCTGACCAAATGTTGGTGAGCCATAGCCACTGGAAGGAAAAAACATTTCTGGTTAACTTCTGAATAGATATATTTGGTACAAAGACACAGGCATTGAATAAAACCCTTCCATTATGTAGGGCTATACACACCTACAACATTGCTAACAGAGGTAATGCTACTGGATACTGGTTCTGCATCATGAATATAATGAAGTGTATTTCTCTTAGGCTGGAAGCCTTTATGTGCTACTTTTTGTTGCATTAATACAACATCATGCACAAGGGGGATATGGTATACATATAAACACTACCATAAGCTAAGAGTAATTACTATGAAGGAATAATAATGAAGATTACGCCAAAGACTTAGTAGGATTTTGCCTTTTGCCTATGTACACAAGTGTTAATTGTTTTTAACAGTTTTATGTGGTTTTCATAAAAAATAAAAGGCATATCGCTGCCTACAACAAATTAAAAGACAATCCAACTTCCTTCTAGTGTAACAGCAATAATGATTCATATACAAACTCCTTGTAAAGGGACAACAATATGAGAAGCAGATGATAGCACAGATGCCCTGCTCCATACAGAAATACATGTTCTTTTGCATCAGACTAGGCCAGTTCTCATTAGTGGTGTGAATGAGTCTAGTGCCATGCTTCTGACACAAGGAACATCCTCCTATCTCAGAAAAGGTAACACTTTCAAGGAAAGCAACAGTTTCTCAGTTCTGTTTACCAGGAAATGGTATTTTCTCACAGATGGAAAGAGCAGCCTCATCTTTGATGCACAAAAATGCATTCACCCAGAGCTAGCCTTAAACAGCTCAGGCATACAAAGACCTCTCTGAGTCACGTATGAATTATATTGTGGCTACAGCAATTTATTTTTCTATGCCAGATGACTACATTCCTTAATACAACTTTACCCTTACACTGATAGAAAAATCAGTCAGATAATACCTATCAGTTTGGTAACATAGTTGGGAAGCTGTAACACTCTTTCACAGAAATTGCCTTTGTATTATTCCAATGAACTCTAATAATCATGGCTCCATCTGAAATGAAAGAGTAAGGAAAAAAGCACAAAACTATTTTTTTGTCCACAGAAGGAAAATCAAAGGCATAACCTTACTTGATTTGAGGAGAATAACTTCCATAACCACCAGGAGGGGTATTTGATATATGTCCATTCATTCTTACTGTCACTTACTGAGGGAAACGATCTGCGAAAAGAAACAGCAGCAAATGAATTGAAGTCTCTAAAAAGATGAAGGTTTAATACAGATGCAATACAAACCTAATGAAAAAGTTATGGCTGAAATGGGAAAGGAATTGCATCCACAAGCTCAATTGTTATTACTTGTATTGTGGCAATACCTTAAAGACCTATTACAGAACTTCCCCCAGTTGAAATTTGATAGGTTTTGCTTCAAATAATTTATAATTTGGTGAACTAAGCCATTAGAATAGTCTTTAGGAAAAACTTGTAAAATAAAAGGCTGACTAAGCAAAGAACAACATCTGCTGCAGAAGTGGACAAGATGTTTCAAATGGCAACTTTAATAATCAAGCATGCTTGAGTTTAAACCACAATTCAATTATTTGAAAGCAACTTTAGAAATGAATTTTTGATACATATTTCTTCTATAAAATGTATCAGCTGAATTTTTAGAAAAATGCATTATCAAAACAAAACACAATTGTTTACACAAGAGGAAACTTGCAAGGTTAGTTATTTTGGGACTGAAAAATATATATATATATTTTTTAGCAGCATGTAATTTCCTGAAAGTTTAGTGTGCCAAATGAAGCTCTCATATAATAGCAATCCCGAGAAAGCTATGATGAAAGAGTTAAAAGAATTTCCCCCTTTATTATCATGCTATTGAAATTAAAATTGACTCTGGTAAACGATTTTCATATTACAATTAATAAATCACTATTTGAATTTACCATGAGCAAATATTCTTCCACATGTGTATATAAAATACATATTTGAATAATTATCTAGAATCCAGAGTCATTAAATAGAAAAAACTATTTCAACTTAGAATAAACTATTTCAATTCCACAAAATATTCAAAAGTATGTCAGATAAAATTTGTATCCAACAGATGTTCCATTTCCAAAAGTAAGCACAACCTGCTTTGTTGTACTAAAGCCATTTTCCAAGCAGCTTATTTTCTGAATCACTGTTAGCCTACTGCTTAATTTAACTGTTCTCTTCCTGCTTTACAATGAAGCAGCAGCCAATTGATCTATAGTGCATACTGCACTTTGTATGTGTTATGCTCTCTTCCTTTTTCGTGCAGAAACACAAATCTAAAATGAATTCTGTCCTCAGCTCCAAAGCCTTCTGCTATTTCAAGACTTAAAAGCTGGGATGAGTCTTCTGCACTCAGCAGAGTCATTTTTATATCTTTCTCACCCAAAATCTCTTACCTGAGATGCAGTTCGGAAAACTAACTAGAACAGAGCTATATTGATTAGATGCCAACTGTCACCATGTGGAAGTGTGCTATTTCCCCTACTGCAAGCACATACTTTATAATCTTTTTTTTTTTTTTCCTTTTAAATCTTTGATTGCTCCTTGCAAAAGATCTTTACTGACAGACGTGTATTTTACCCCCAGCTCTCCTGCGTATCACCAATAACATTATCACATATCTAATTTGGTAGCATGTTTGGCTGCTCTTAGGCCACGTTTCATACAATGCAATACTTGACAGCTGTCTAAAACAAATCATTCCCCATGCTGAGCACTGTTCAATTCGTTCGCAATTACAACCTTTTGGAAGCATCCTAGAATTGACCCATGACTTGAAAGAACAGAAATATTCATTTATACAGCAGGATGTGCCAGGTCGTTGTGTGCTCCTTGTGCCATTCTAATACACACATGGACCACAGCCACTCACAACTGCTGTTCTCTAGATCACACTGTTATTAAGCTCTTTGAGACTTCATATTCGCTATTAATTCTTATCATCTGCAAACACTGCTCAATTCTGATACACTGCTTAGCAATTTACAGTAGGATTAGCTTCCTAAGAGTGAGTGGATCATAGAACTTCCACAAATTATGTCCATTATCTTTCAGTATCCCTCTTTTCATATACTTTCCATGCATACTTTTATTAAGATGACTCTTACTTTATTCTCTATACCCATTTACCACCTGTGATTTTTCAGATCACAAATTCCTCAACAATTCATTTTAAAGTTATCTGGAAACAAACACATTTTTTAAAATCAAAATTATTTTGCTTCTCTGACATAATTTTTCTTCTTAATCAGCAACATATTAGGTTTGTTACTTTTACTCCACTTAAGTTTATGATAGTGGTGAAACATTTTAAGTAGAAGCAAAGTAATATCTTAAAAGTCAAAGCTTCAGTCTTTGAAATTAACATAATGCACTGCAAGTTTTATAGCAACAATGACCTTGAACAGAAGATTTTCACATCAGAAGAAAATACCTTGATTAAATACTTGCTCGCTGTAAAGTGTAACACCACTTAGTATTAATACAAAAAGCTTTAAAACTGCATTTGGGATCAAGTGATGGTGCAAAACCGAAGTTAGAAGTTTTGTCTGTCTCAGGGAAAAAGCAAAGAGGGAGATGGGAAGGGAGAGGGAGATGAAATCTTGTTATGCCAAGTAAGCACAAAATTTTTAGTGAGTTTTAGCAAACAAAACACCATATTCTATTTGATTTAGGTAAAGCCAACAGTATTTCCAATCTCCTATGCCATTAGAGGAAATCAAATGCTTTTGAAACATCAAGATTACTACTTTGATGGCACAATTCCAGAGCCTACACAGTACTTCTCATAACTTTGTTCAAGAAAGCTCCTGAATGTGAATAAAATCTAACCCTTCACAGTCATTATTCATAATTAGTCCTCAGTAGTGATGATTCCACCAAAATTATCATGCTATTTCATCTCTCTCAGTCTAAATATTTCTGGAAAAAAAAAAAAAAAAAAAAAAACATTTTAAGAAAACACTAAAATTTTCTTAGGTGCATAATGGAGACAGGGCAGACATAAAAGACATATGAGAATAAGAAGTGTAGTGCTTCACTTACTATGCACTTATACAGCTTTCTTTGCTGTATTTTTCATCTCAAATACTCTTTCATCTCTTACAAACAGTCCCACAGAAAAAGTCAACCAGCGCACATTGCTAAACTTTTGTCATCCAGGAGTCTATTAATAAACTCCACTTCCTCCTTAATCTTCCCTTTCACCTCAGCTCACCAGTTCACAGTAAAATATACTGGTGCCATAGATTTTAAGATAAACATCATTCAAAATTAACTGTACAATCCCTCTTTAAGTAGACCTGAAGTATCAACAGTTTACTTGTGAATATATCCAAGCACGGTCATGCCTTTTTAAGAATCCTGAGAAGAAATAAAGCCTACTCTGAACAGTAAATATTTTATAACAGGAAAACTAAGCAAGAATTTAGGAAGAAAAAACTCATAAGAAAATAGGTAAAAATAACAATAAATAGTGAGATAAATGTTAAAATACTTATGTAGAAGTATATTAAAAAATACATAAAATCAATACCATGAGAAAAATAGAATCATAGAATCATAGAATATCCTGAGTTGGAAGGGACCCGTAAGGATCATCAAGTCCAACTCTTAAAAAAAAAAATAAAAAAAAATAGTTTTAAGTAGGAAATTCCTTAATGCAAAACAAAACAAAAAACAATCAATTTCTGGCAGGATCTGAGACTGAAGAAAAAGAATCCACCCAGTGCCATCAGCTTTATTTTTGGCAGGACTCTAAGATACCAACATTAAGCAGCAACATAAATGACAAAGGTTTGTAAATGACAAACCATTTCTGAGCAAAATATAACTTGGTTCTTCAGTTGACAGCTACTAGTGGGCTAACCTCAAATATGGCAGTACAGCAGTGGTATACAAGATGATTTCATTTGTCATAAATATTCATTAAAAATATGCCCAAATCCTAAAATACTCCTTACCTTCCCCACCTTACAGCACAGCATCCTAATGAAGGCAATATAATTTGTGTGCAAGAACAAGCTGACACATATACAACTCACACATCCTGCCATTTAATTTCCTAGTAGGAGTTTGAAGGAAACAAAATCCCTCAATTTATTTTAAAAATCCCTTTTCTAGAAGGGCAGAACTATCTCATTATAGAAAATGAGGTATACAAGACCCTGGTGTTCTTTCCACTCATCCTGAATCAGTCTCACCAGTGATAGATCACAATATCAAATGGAAAATAAATAAAATAAAATAAAATAAAATAAAATAAAATAAACAGCTGAGTGGTGTGGGGTTTTTAGACATTATGTAGGGAGCTGGGAGGGTTAAAGAGAGGAGGATGCGGGGGAAGGAAGAGGAAAGCCAAGAATGGCTGGAACAGTAATTATCTACCGATTAAGAAAATGTTATTAGTCACACGCCATTGTTACCACATGCCCCAAAAAACACACAGATTCTTCCTCAGCTAGATAACAGGCACAGACTGTAACTCCAGCAAACAAAAGCAAGTGGACCATTACAAGGTAACCCTTATCTGTAGCAGATCTGACATTGTATCAAAGTCAGAAAAGGACCCTGTCTCTCCAACCTTTCCCCTTAAAAAAAGAGGGGGGGAGGGAGCAATAAAAACAACAAAATATCAGATGAGTCCATACTATGCTGTAACTCACTATAGCTTCAATAAAAATGCCTAGCATTGCTATTCCACAGCATTCAGTGCTGCTGTTCTTGCAAACTTGCTTGCTGTTTCATTTCTTATATTTCACATGCTGCTTCTTGATTCACCCTCTTCACCCACATGTGCCTTCCTTCAAACCCATGTTACTCCCACATGGTAACTGGTACTTTTTAATCCCCTTGTACCTCTACACTAAGGTCACTTCTTCACTTATTCCTTGTGTACTTTTGTATTGGTGTCTTGGCCTCCTGTGTGTAACTTCTTCTTCTCTGTCTTCACTACAACCACAGATTTTACGAATGGGAAAGTCCTGCTGGAAGTCACAGACAGTCTCTAATGAAATGTTGCCACTGCCCTCTACTTCAAGACTCGTTTCAGACAACAACCAAGAGCAAATATGCCTTCCGCACTCTGTTCAGCATCCTGCCTCTAGACAAACATCAAGATGCACACACATGCATTCAAGTAGGTATTGCTTCAGAAATGCTCACTGGGGATTTTCCATC